ACTCGTAGTCGTCGTCGCGGGAGCCGGTGGTGCCGGAGCGATCTCGTCGCACACCGGAGCCGTAGCCGTGGCCTGTTCGGCCCTCCCATACCACGTTATCGTGCGCGTCGTCGTAGATGGGGATGTCGTTGTACATGGCGTCGCTGCTGGTGTTGACGTTTCCGGAGAAAACGCGGGAGTTTAAGACGTTGAGGAGCGGGTCGGCCGCTGGGGGTGGGCGGATGGAACCTTCAAGTAATTGTCGTGCGGTGACTTTGGCGTTGTAGAGTTTCTCATTGGCGTCTCGCCGCTCAACTAGCATGGAGCCTTCTAGTGATACTCCTGCGAATAGACCTTTTGTTTTGCTGTAGGCAAAAATGCCAGCGACGCCCTTTAAGCTTGCGGCTCCTGCGGCTTCGGCATTTCTGCCCACCGGCCCTGCTGCTATACTGACGTTGCCGCCTAGTGTGATGGATGCTTGTTGGGAGAAAGCGCGCACGGCCGCCGCATCGTTCAGGATGAAGACAAAATCGGTGAGCTCGAAACCGATCTGTCCGCCAAAACCGGCGCCGGCGGTGCCGACAGCGGACGGAGCTGACCACGATCCATCAGCCAGTCGAGCAACGACGATGCCAGATCCAAATCGAGCAGTGCCGATAAAGCCGGCTTTGAATTGGGTTATTATAGCCAGGCCCTGCGGATTGAATCAGCGTGCCATAGCCAGGTGCAGATGTGCGTTCGGTGACTTCTCTCATACTCTTGCATTGCTCAGAATCTGTGGTGGAATGACCTTGTCTGGTCCAAAGGCTTGCCGAGGGTCGACGAAGGATGCCAATATTTTGCCGGCCTTCTTACATTCGCCTGCTGGTTGTCAATCTCCGTCTGGCTCGTATTGAAATTGAATTTGATTATGTACATACTCCTCATAGAAGAGGGCAGAGGATTGTTGATACCAAATGGCATCTTGCCCAGTAAGTTACCGGATGCTAAATATGTGTGCTCGGTAAATCGGATGGCAGTGAAGCTGTTGTTTTTGGTTCGTCTGAGAGGAAGAGGCAGGCTCTGTTGGCAGGCTATGTCGGCAGGCTCGGTTGAAAGTGGAATTCCGTATGTAGTAGGTATATTACTTGACCCGGGATTTATGTACGTAGTAGAGCATTCAAAGATGGTTCCGGAGACGTCGATGAAAGCCGCATGAGCATCCTGTCGATCAACTGACGCGGCGCAAGATGCTCGGCGACGATGTCATCCTTTGGGACGAGGCTGTCCGGTGCAAAATCGGAATTAGCAGGCTACAGCTCTACTATGGTACTGGGCATAAGTATTCGTAGCACGGCGCTAGTATATTTTCATCAAAACAGGCTGCGAACCAGACATCTAAGCCTTGAACAGTTAGCGGTACTAATGTGGCCAATCGATATGAAGAATGGCCAAATAAGCTTCAAGACATCGATGTGGCGCTGTATCCGAACTAGCTGCTACTAGCGCCGTGCTACGATTACTTATGCCTAGTACTGTAGTAGTCCTCCGGTCCAGAACTTTTGCAACCAAGGACGAATTAGTATCACCGAACCTCAAATTATTCGACGTACAGCTACTATTCTCCGCGGGAACCTGTTTGCTACGAAGTCGTCGTCGCTGCAGCTCGATTGAACCACCAACACTCACCATCTCGCCGTCATACGGAAGGTCGGCCGCAGTTGTCCATCAGCTTGCCATCGAATCTCATAACATCGCCAACTCTCGAGTCCCGCAATGTGCTGCGATTACTGCGCATCATCAACGTACTTAACTGAGGCCACAGCATGGTGCTGAAAATACTGGTAGGAAATTCTGACGCCAGTGTTGCCCATATTGAGAACACCGCGAGCAAGAGTAATGCTTCAGAATCATTACAAGACGACCAGGGATAGATTGAGCCCCAGGCATTTTGAACGAGCTTGAAGCACCAAGAAGAGTTTGGAGAAGCTGTCTCGAAATATACCCCATTCAAGCCATTCCCGAATACCATCCTAATCTTCACTTACCTGGCAGCCGTCAATACACCATTCGTACCTCAAATCCGTACAGACTATCAGATATCAGAGCTATTTCTCGAAGACTCGCTTACAAAACTGGAGCATATGCTGTCTCGTTCCGTGTGCGATGTTGCACTGGTTTTTGAAGGTGTCAAAATCCATGATTAAGGCTGGTTTGCCATCGAGTATGTAGCCTCGACCACGAAAATCCAGTGTCTCTAAAGATAGGAGAGACGTTCGGTTCGGCAAATCATTAGGGATGGAAGCGGTAGAGGAGCGGATGCGGGTTTGATATCGACTTGCATACGCACATGAGGCTACTCCACAATGACGAAGACCAGCAAAAAGACCTCGTATCGTCAAGACTAGGTTCTGCTAACAAGGTCTGCTACCTGTAGTGACTGATCAAGGTCTGAGTGGCAGGTCTATTGCAAAGAAAACAGTGGATTGGAAGTGGGTGGCTATGACCTCCGTTTTCTTGATTACAGGTTTCTTACCTGGCCATTCTTGGTCAGTGTAGAATTTTATTACGTCTCGTACCATATTTCGAATGTTTAGTCGTAACAAGAACGACTGTGTAGGACAATGTGACCGGCCAAAAGAATTCAATTTGTGGTCCCTCCTTGATTACCCGGACTGGCACTGCAATCTTGACTCAAATAGGGGTAGGCTTGGCCCGGAGGCCCTTGGCACCTTGGCATTCCTCCGCTGTTCCTCGGTGCAGGTGCGCTCCCAGCAACTTGAAGCACAAATTTCAGCACCAAGCTGCTGAAGCACCTTCGCAGATGACTCAGGCATGAAGCCTTTCGTCCGAGCTGGCAAGCAGCCGACTCACCAGCAACGTCTTTAGATGAACGTACTGTCTGCGGCGCTTGTTTGCTTCTCAGTGTCACACTCCGCTAATCCGTTCCGCATCAAGTATTGCTCATCCATAGAAATCAAGCGTCCAAGGCTTCTGTCCACATCCTTTTCTTTCTTACGTCTACTTCTGCTAACAAACGTAGGCTGTCGCATACCAACCTTGCAATGGCTACAGGTGCGCAATTTTTTCGCGGTATTCTTCCGGTACTGATGGCGCTCCAAAGCAGTGAGAATTGTTGTTTGCGGCGACGAGGGCAGCGGGAAGTCCAGTTTAATCACATGCCTGGTGAAGGATACTTTTGTCAGCAACCGCATTCAGCCAGTACTTCCACAGATTACAATCCCTCCCACCTTAGGCACCCCCGAGAATGTCACGACAACCATTGTTGATACGTCGGCTCTGCCTCAGGAGCGACCAAATCTTGCACGGGAGATACGAAAGTCCAATGTCATACTCCTGGTATACGCGGATCATTACAGCTATGAGAGGGTTGCTTTGTTTTGGCTACCATACTTCCGCTCGCTTGGGGTGAATGTACCAGTGGTGTTATGTGCAAACAAATCAGATCTCGCGGCCAATGGTACCCCAACACAAATAGTGGAGGAAGAAATGCTGCCGGTCATGGCCGAGTTCAAGGAAATAGACTCCTGCATTCGAACAAGCGCCCGCGAGCATTATAATGTCAATGAAGCATTTTTCCTCTGTCAGAAAGCTGTAACACATCCAATTGCTCCCTTGTTTGACTCGAAAGAGTCAGTTCTGAAGCCTGCAGCTATTGCAGCTCTGCAAAGAGTTTTCTACCTGTGTGACAAAGATAAGGACGGGTTCTTGAATGATAAAGAAATGGAAGACTTCCAAAGCAAATGCTTTGGCAAACCTCTCAACAAGGTAGACCTGGACCACATCAAACAAACCATCTCTCGGATCTCGCCAAATGCCATCTCTACCTCCGGTATCAGCCCTCGAGGTTTTCTCCTACTCAACAAGTTGTATGCCGAGAAAGGTCGTCATGAGACGGTCTGGGCTGTTTTACGCACATTTCAGTACACAGATAGCCTGTCCTTGCAAGAATCTTTTCTTCACCCAAACTTTGGCGTACCCGATTTCGCATCTGCCGAGCTATCGCCCGCCGGATATCGTTTCTTCGTCGATCTATTCCTGACTTCGGACAGAGACAATGACGGCGGGCTTAGCGATACCGAGCTGGCCTCGCTATTCGCACCCACTCCTGGCATCCCATCATCCTGGCTTGAAGATGCATTCCCTACGTGCACTGTGCGCAACGAGGCTGGTCATGTCACTCTGCAAGGCTGGCTTGCTCAATGGTCAATGACTACATTTACATCTCCTAAGACAACCCTGGAATACCTCGCATACCTAGGGTTTGAGTCTTCAGACCGATCAAACCTGACAACAACCGCCGCATTGAAGTTGACTAAAGCGCGCAAGCGGCGTCAACGTCCAGGTAGGACTGGTCGTAATGTTGTCCTTTGCCACGTTCTTGGTGCTTCAGGGTCTGGCAAGTCTTCCCTGCTTGAAGCGTTTCTAGCTAGGCCATTTAGTGCCACCTACCACCCGACGATCAAGCCTCGTGTTGCGGTGAACACTGTCGAGCTTCCTGGTGGCCGGCAATGCTACCTGATATTGAACGAGCTTGGTGAGCTTGAGCCGGCCATACTTGAAAACAAGAGCAAGCTTCTGAGCCAATGCGATGTGGTTGCATACACCTACGACTCCTCAGATCCGGACTCCTTCTCATATATACCCGCTGTTAGAGCTAAATATCCTCACCTTGAAGATTTGCCGGCTGTGTATGTTGCGCTGAAGGCAGATCTGGACCGCACTACCCAGCGAGCCGAATCACAACCAGATCACTATACCGCGCAAATCCAAAGGATGCCTCAAGGCCCACCACTCCACACAAGTGTGACCTGGCATTCCATACAGGAGCTGTTTGTCACTCTTGCGGAAGCTGCCCTAGAGCCAGCTACAGCCTTCCCACGTAGCCTCGAGGAAGAGAATGATGCTAAGTGGATGAGCTATGCAATCGCTTTGGGCGCTGTTGTCTGTGCTGGTGCTGCAGCAGTAGTAATTTGGCGTCGAGCAACCAGCGGCAACGCTGCTTGACGTTCTCGGAATTGAAAACTCTGCAAAACATCTTGCCATCCGTAACGGTGGGTTTTCTACCTTGCATTGACAGTGGCACTTCAAGCACTCGAGAAGTAGGAACAGCTCCTTCCATGTGGATGCGAACTCATTAAAGCAGCGCAGGATTGGCCTGAACTCCGCTTGAGGAGGCACCACTGCTTCGCGAGACTTCCTTCTTCGGTGTCATAGGCAGCAGATCAGAAGAGATCGTGCCTTCTCTCCCATCCAACCCATGAAGCCTTGTTGGATTTTTCCAGAAGACCAGCGATCTCGACCTTCACAACCACTTGGATCAACAAATATCAACACCAAGCATCAACACTCTCTTGAAGTCTATCTGTATCACTGTGTTTCCATTTTGCACTTGAACCTTTCTCTCGAGGGGCTTCAAGAGCATCAACCAAACGACAGACTATTTCGCACCTCCTGAACCCATCCTTTAGAAGAGCGCTCGTACTCTTTCTTCGAATGCTTACTATGCTGTCTCGAACCATGTTAAGCCGTGCGTCCTTGCTACCCAAAATAGCTCGGCGCCGCTACCGCAGTCATGGAGCCGGCATCTTCTATCCGCCTTCGAGCGGCGTTGCTCCGTTGATCGAGTCCGAATCAAAATCCAGACGTCGGTTTCACAAGCAGCATACAACTGCAGACGTCCTCCTGGCTAGTACCGGAACTTCAAACGTGCGGACAGTCCCAACGCACAGTCTGCTCACGTTATTGATGTTTTCTAGAGTCCGTCTGTCAAGAATGCACTGCGCCCTTACAGCTGTGACCCGGCCGCAGAATCCTCGATGAGGATGACCCAACCTTTGTCATCGCAGGTGATCACCACTCTTTCACCTACATTCCAGAGATTCGCACTGAAGGACAAAGTGGCGATAGTCACCGGGTCAGTTCTTACATTAGGATTGGCGAGATATGGAACACAAATGCTAATGTCGTCTGCAACAGCGGCGCCCGAGGCCTAGGATTAAACATGACTCAAGCTCTCTGCGAATCCGGGATCAAGGCAGTAGCCATCTTCGATATCCAGCCCACACTTGGCGAGTCCATGGCAAAGGCTCTTTCGACCTCCACGGGCATTCCGGTCAAGTATTACAACGTCGATGTTGTCGATGAGGAAGGCGTCGACTCCGCAGTCAAACAGGTCGCTGAGGAGTTAGGTCAGATAGACATCCTCATCAACTCAGCCGGCGTAGCATTCTCCAACATCCCAGCCGAAGCGTACAAGATGTCCGATTTCGAAAAGACCATCAACATCAACCTCATCGGCTCCTTTCGCATCGCCCGCGCCGTCGGCAGACACATGATCGCCGCCACACCCACACCCACAAATCCAGCCCCCAATGCTGATCTTCCAGATCGAAGCATCATCCTCATCGCCTCCATGTCCGGCACCATAGTGAACTACCCTCAACCCCAAGCCGCCTACAACGCGTCCAAAGCTGCCGTGATCCAACTATCCAAATCTCTGGCCTCGGAATGGGCCAAATACGGCATCCGTGTCAACACGGTCAGTCCCGGCTATATGGATACGGCGTTGAACAGAGTGCCGGCTTTGGAGGGGCAGAAGGAGATGTGGAAGGAGAGGACGCCAATGGGGAGACTGGGGGCCGTGGAGGAATTGAATGGGCTTGTGGTTTGGTTGGCTGGTGAGGGAAGCAGGTTTTGTACTGGCGCGGATCTGAGGGTGGATGGGGGCTATTCCATTTGGTAGAACAGCTTTTTGGTGGTGTTGTGGTTGAAAGATTGAGACATCGACCAGAGGAGGAACGAAGTGGGTTTTGGTTGATCGAGTATATCTTTAGCGCTTATCATTATGACGCTGTACAATACGACATCGGGTGGTTGGCGTGTTGGCGTTGGTACTGGTCCTGACTTGCTGTGTACTAACAGTGTTCCCTTTCCTAAACGCAAACTCCCTGGCCCTTTGCAGCACCTCGCTGAGTGCCACTCAGACCCAGCTGAAGAGTGACAGCCAGCCAGCTACTTCAGCAACTTATGCAGCTAATGGTAGTTAAGATCTCTGAATACCACTGGTGGATTCTGATCTCCGCTGTGCCTTCCCCTTCCACACTGTTACTCTCTCTCTCTCTCTCTCTCTCTCTCTCTCTTATCATTGGCTGAAATCACGATAAGATTGAAGGTGAGTGATCGTGATCATGATCATGATTCCGGTAGGGGAGCAGACCCGAAGAGGGCAGATATTTTGGTTCCAAGGGGGTCGGGGACCGGATAGCCCAGTTAGCTGTCTGTGCATGTGTAGGTGCATGTGCATGTCCAGGCAGGTCAGCGCGATGAGAAATCCCACTAAAAAGTAGGGGGGGAAACAATATGTGTCCAGTAGTAGCAGATAGCATGCCCATGACCTCCTTCAGGGTCCCCGTGACAAGCGAGATGAGATCTTCCTGTATATCGCTTCGTGTCGTGTCGGGATGGGAGAATATGCTCTTCTCCTGGCCTGCACTGCACGCTCTTCTTCTTGCTTTGGTCTCCATTTTCCTCTCCCATCGCCATCCGCAGGTGCAGGTGCAGGTGCGTGTCCGAGCAGGTGTCCATCCTGCCAATATCTCGGCCATTTACCCTCCCACACACATACACACAACCCAAACTCCAATCCCCTCAAACAAACCCAGCAGCGCAACTCGTATTCCCGGTTCTCTCTACTCCTTCCCCTCCCCACCGCCCCCAGCTCCCCAAAACAACACGCGGACCGCCCAGCCACCGACCCACCACAAAATGGAAGACTTCCAAAGCAAATGCTTTGGCAAACCTCTCAACAAGGTAGACCTGGACCACATCAAACAAACCATCTCTCGGATCTCGCCAAATGCCATCTCTACCTCCGGTATCAGCCCTCGAGGTTTTCTCCTACTCAACAAGTTGTATGCCGAGAAAGGTCGTCATGAGACGGTCTGGGCTGTTTTACGCACATTTCAGTACACAGATAGCCTGTCCTTGGAAGGGGGGCAGAGAGGTTGCTGAGTAGAGGGGAAATTAGGGGGGAGGGGGAGAAGGGGACCACTTACTCTTCGCGCGAGTACTGTTCTGTGTTGAGAGAGTGAGTGAGGATGGAGGAGGGTGAGGGTGAGGGTTTGGGGCTTGTTGAGCGAGAGATAGAGGGTTGAGTAGCGGGAGGTGGAATTCCGGAGCGTAGAGCACGGGTTGGTGGCCTGCTTGGTGATTGCTGGGGTCAAATGATGATGATGATGGATCTGTAAAGGAAGCTGATAGTACGTGTGCCTGTGTTTTGGGCTGGAGTCAAGTTGATGTTGACAACTACGACATCTGTAATGAAGCTGTATCTTACCGGTAGGTATGGAAGCTCATGCCCGTAGTATGGGTATGACCATTACCGGTACAGTACGTGGTATGGTACTACGGCGATACGAGATCTGTCATGTACTACGGGTACCAACCTACCTAGGTACCATTCCTTCTCCTCCACCGAGTATTCCGACGCAATCACACTGTACATTGATGATGATGATCTGGTTCATACCATGCTCATTCAGACCTGGATGATGTTGTGCCTCTGGAGTGGCTTCACCATCTCTAATCGACTTGCTTCCAGCTAGAGAATGCTGAGCGTGAACCCCTCACCACCAGGGCCTCAATTACATCTATAGCCGTTATATTCTACAACTCTCAGTTACTCCTGGTCAGGACTGTCTTGTGTGTTATGCACAACTCGCTCCGGGTCCGGGTGCGTCTCAATCATCCCGCAAATGACGTTTCTCCCTGCTCTATCGAAGAATCTGGTGGCACCCTTGATGCACTCGGCGTCTTTTACTGAAGTCAGGAAAATGTACAAGCAAGGCAGGACAGTTGAGTGGTAATAGTAACACAGCTTAGCGCGAATCTCAGTATTCGCTGGCCCAGCATCCTTGTCTACGGCACCAAAGGAATCAGTTCCATCTATCCGCTCATTTTATCTTGCTTCACGACGTGATATCTGTCATATCTGTCTCTTATGTAGATTGCAATCCTACACCTGCCGCTTTCCGGCCCTCAACAAACAGTACCGGTGCGGTATAGTGGCTCCGCCCATGCATGATATAGGCCGCGAGCGCAATCAAGAGCACACCCGCCCACACCGCAGGTGCCCAGTTCGCCGTGTCCAGGCCGACAGGTAGCTCGGTGGGGAAGCACGAAAACACGATGACGAAAAAGGAATAACAGAAGGCAAAGGCGTTGACTGGAAGTCCGAGCCTTCCCAGGCTCCATCGTGCTGGGGGAAGGTCCTCTTTCAAGATCCGCTTACGAAGTACGCACCCGATTGAGATCATGTATGTTGAAAGCAGGGCGAGAAGGGTCAGAGAGACGACGATGTTAAAGCCGAAGGTTGAGCCGAGGTTGATCAAGCAGAAGATCCCACCGATGAAGGATGTGAGGTAGACGGCGTTGAATGGGACCCTCCATTTGTGGTTCATCTAAAGCCAAGTCACTTACGGTTAGTGTCTATATCAAACAGATGGTATGGATTCGTGGGCCAAGACTCGCCTTCGATATCCATGTTGAGTATGGAAAGCCTTTGTCACGTGAAAAGGCCCATGTTTCTCGTGATGCCGTCGCCAGACAGGTGATGTTCCCCGCAAAGATGAGGATAAACAAGACAACAGACAGCAAGAGTGCGACAGCCGTGGACCCTGTATTGGTGAATAAAACCAGATATGGAGCATCAGAGTCTATGACACTGTCAAGATTGCCGATGCAGAATAGCATTGTGATCAGCATAATGGTGCCCATCAGGACATTTCCAAGATAGCTCCACCACATAGCTCGTGGAACATTGAGAGAGGCATTTTCAGCCTCTTCCGCTGTAGAAATGTCAACAATCATTTCTGACGGAAGCCTTGCATGAGACTTACAGATATGGACGATACTGTCCGAACCCAGAAGGCAAAATATAACTGTAGTTTGACTGACAAGACAAGCAGTTCCGGTATTGCTCCATCCTCCATTGTTGACAACTTCCGTGAAGACTGCAGCTGCTGGGTTCCTTGAGCATAAAACCCACAGAGGAATCAACGTGATGATGAATCCGGCAAGATGTCCAAACAGAGAAATGCTCTCCAGCAATGGCAATACTGTGGCGCCCCATGTGTTGAACAATATGGTGATGATCAGGAATGCAAGCATCATCAGCGTGTACTGCCAATTGGTGAAAGCATACTCAGGACTCGTGACATTGATCGCTGCCCGAATCTGGGCCGAGACGATGTATATCGATGAACTTATGGATGCGATCCAACCGAGCGAACTCATCCAACCTTGGAAGACATGTCAGCTTTACCGGCCCGACTGGGTTGGTGCAAGCCCTACCAGCAGCATAGCTCAAAGGTTTTTGATAGCTCGCAGGCGCAAATTCACTAACCCAATGATATTGGCCACCACTCGTTGGCGCCCTAAGAGGTGTCAGTGTCTTCAAATAGAAAAATTATGGCCTCGCTTCTGAATCGCAGTGGCTTCGAGGACAAGGCTTTCGAGGAGAGTCGGATTCGTGATTAGTCTTACATAGATTCCAGTTCGGCCAACGAGGCTACAACGGTAGAATAACAAAGAACTGTCCCACACCACGTCCAGAATAGACCTATTCCAGGTAAATGAGGGTGTCAGAAGACTTCGGCAATGGCATAGAATACGGACCCCCGAAGCCCCCGTTACTGAAGCCTACGCTCAAGGATCTGTAAGAAGATCAGAAGATGAGTAGCGAAGCCAGGGCAGTAAATTCATCATATCAGAACGTACACCAAGACATATTCCCTATCACGAGCAGCGAGACCTAGTCAGATCATAAAAAGAAGTCGAGTGTACACACAAACCAGCTTGCCATGTAAATGCTAACAAAGCCAAGAATCGATATGAAGTTGAAGTTTCTCTATCTTAGTTTCAGTGGGACCAAAGCACAGAAACAGAGTGGGCGCCACATCTATACCTTGAACTCTTGTTTCTTGCCAAGGCGTTGCATGTCGGCCATATCGTGGCTTGTGTTGCTCCATCCTTTCTCATGGGCTGCCGCCACGTCCATCGGAGGAGTCTGATTGAAGGAAGTATCTTGCTGTTGAACATTGCCGGGAATCTTCCTCTCCGTCTGCTGGTACTTCTCGCTAGCCATGGTGATGCGACTCTACGAAGTAAGGCAAGGAGAGGCAGAAGGCAAAGGATCGAAAAAGAGAGGATCAGGCCGGATGGAGAGCAAGATCGTGAATCTTGTTGTCATAAATTGGCAGGGATAGCAAAGGGGTCCGGTCGCGTATTAGATATGCATCTAGCCAAGGCTCTCCACAGGTCTCGACATGCTTTCCGCGAATTGAGATGCATCTCGAAGTACATACGTAGCAAGTGGAGTGATCATCTTGAGCCAATGCAAGAAAGATGACTATTGATGAGAGGCGACTTGAGCTGATTAGACAGGAGCGTGAAATATTGGCAATGGAGGTCACACAGCAGCGGCTGGCAGTTCGCACGATGGACCAATCTAAGAGCTGTCTTTCCTGAAGGAATACCCACAAGACACTGGGAGCACAGTGATTGGACTGGAACAGAAGATGTCTTCCAAAAAGATGACATGATAAGCTTCGGCTGAACCTGCCAAGTGTGGACAATCTCCAAACGATCTCGGGCTTCGGACCGATCGGACACTTGACAGTTCATTCACTGCCCTTTACTCCGTAGTTGTTCGGCCAAGTGTTGCACTCATGATTGAACAATCTGCGCCAATATCTACCTCACCAAGCACGAACCTCCCACAGTAACACTCATTATCATCATATGTTTGGAGCCGCTTGGACTGCAGCAAGCCAGGAAATTGGACAGCGCAAGCTACCGACAGAGGATTTGCCAGATGAAGGACTCGCAGCACCATACCAGCAAAGCCTGAATTGCTGTTCAGCAGGAACACAACACAATATCAGATACCACTAAGAGAGAAGAACAAGTCTACCTGAGAGTATGGAGCATGACAAGGGAAAGAGAGTCGATATCAGATAAAAATATACAACCGACAGACTCCTGCATCGGGAAACTCTATTCTTGACCGGCTGTTTCCTCTAGGGATTAGACACGCACTGCTCCTGGGACCATGGGGAGAGGAACATGAATACAGCTGCCGACAATTCGGGCATAGCGACAACCAAATTGAGGGTAGGTCGTGAATTTGAAAGGTTATCAAGATACATCATGGTTTTGTTGCCGGTTCGCCAAGGCACGTGCTAAAGCATCCTCCTTTCTTGGCCCTCTTGACATTGGTGCTCGATGCCTTCCTGGGATTCGTACTCCATAGTGCCTGAGGAGCAGTAATCGTGGCCCCTCTTGGATCTATGCTTGGGACTTCTTGATTGTCATATGTGAGCTGTCTTGGATCGGGCCTTGTTGCCCAATTCGGATTCGTGCTTGCGACCCGTTGAAGTCCTCTTGGATCTGTATAGCTGGTCTCTCGCGGAGTCATCTCTACGGCCCATCTTGGATGTGTCCTTGGTGACTCTCTTGCCTCTCTGATCGCCGCCTGTCTTGCCTGGCCCACTGCGGCCTGTCTTTCATATATTATTGTGGCCTCTTCTGGACTTAATACCCTGGCCTCCGCTGGGTCTCTCCGATTATAACTCACTATGTGGGGCGTACCTGTCCCTAAGCCGCCACCTGGTCCTGCTCTGTAGTGAGCAGTCGATCTGATCTTTATGGAATCCCTTCCACTGACCCTTGCGGCCTCTCTTGCATCCGCAATGGCTACCAACCTTCTATTGGCCATTGCGGCCTCATTTGCACTCTCAGGTGGATAAAAAGTTGCTCCGGCGAGGTTCTGATCCCACACTGCAGTGTTAAAATTGTGACGAGCGATTTCTTCAGCGACTGCTTCTGGAATGTTAACTGCATCAGACCCGCTCTCTGTTTCGACCCAACTAGCGAATCGTCAATATCGAATCTATGGGTTTTCAGCAGGTCTGTGGTAGCTTACCTCATCAAAGTTGCCTCCTCATTGAATCTTTTCTGAAGCTCCAATTTACCTCTACTCTTGTTCATTCGTTCTTGGCGCGATTCAGCGTGCCTTTGTTGCGCACGAAGCATCCCATCTCTGTGGCTACGTGCTCCCCCCGCTAGACAGGAGGTCAGTTTGGGGGTTGACATACAAGCAGATTGTTCGGGGCATTGTATGAACCAAGATAAACAAGCATCCTACCTGTATCGTTATCGGGCGGATAGATGCTTTCCGTTGTGCGAACAAGGCTATCCGCCCACTGCAGCTCGAAATCGAGAACCCGCTTATAGTTTTCCTCGGAGCGGGCAACATCATCGTATCTCTGTTGAGCGTCAAGCCTGCGTGGAGGATATGGCATCTTAGCCGGCGAGTCAGCTGCTTGCGTAGGGCGCGAGCTTGAGGACATTTCGTTGGGAGCCTGAGTAGAACAGCGAAAGTTAGAAATTAACAAAGGAGGCTTGAACACTGCTTATGCTTTTGCAAATGTCTGAGTTCAGAATTGAATGGTATTTCGCATATTAGATAACATCTTGAAGACAGAAGGTTTTGATTTATAGGAATTTTTTACGAGCTGATGGAGTCGGATGCTTCGGGATACCAGCCACTGGGCGCCTTCAGCATTGTACCGTCTTTTGCTTTCGGTTTCATCTGCTGAACTACTAGTACTATGGGACTCCTCTGTATGTCTTGGCCATTGGGCTCTGAAACCAACCACAGCCAGCGAAGTAAATCTTCTCTACCTTCATTGGATAGCCGGGATCCAGTTCCGCCCAATTAGGTAAGTAGTAAACCAACAACCAAAAAGTCACACGTATTTTGATACAGCATGTAGTGTTCAGCGATGAGCGAAAAAGGTTTGAGATATAGCATCGTTGAGGATGGGCTGTAAGCTCCAAACTACATACTACAAACTCCAAAGCGATGTAATGCAGCTCTCCTTCAGTGCTGGTGCTGCACCAAGAGAATACAACTATCCATTCTAAGGTAGGTCTGAGAGGATGACCCCGGTTCTGTAAAGCAAATACATGAAGGGAGATGTAGAGGGGTAAGGTTTAATGAAGAAGAGTCCCGAACCAGCGGCACGGAAGTAAAGTCCGGATCGATACTCAAAGGATGTCATGATTGTGTGAAAACTTGACAGTCTCCTACTACTGTTTCATGCACTGACTTCCACCAAGGTGCTGCTTGGCATTCGCATTCGCAGAACGTGCTGTAGCCCATAGTAGCTTAGCGCAACCTTCGGTCCGCTGTAAGCCACAATCACTAGTATGTCGCGTCCAAGGCACACGCGTCTACCTCCCACGGTCACACCAGTAGTTCGGAAAGATCGCGGGGGGGCCAGAAGCACACTTTCGATACAACAAGTACCTCTGTTCACTCATTTACATGATGCCGGCCCTACCTCTAGTACCACAGCAGCCTCCAGTCGCTCCACTCAACGCTGAGGCTCAAAAAGCACTTGCAGATCTCCAGCGACAACAGAAGATTACCAAAAGGCTGAACCATCATCTCGCTCAGGCAGCCGACCAGCTTGCCAATGTTGCAGTGCAACTCAACGATCGTGGTACTAATTACACTTTGGAGTACGGAAGGAAGCGCAGAAGAGCCGAAGCAAATGGTGAAGAGGAAGATGGGCAAGAAAAGATGGTATATGAAGACTTTCGAAAGAAGGTTGAAGACTTGACTCGAATGATGGACAATGGCGTACGATCCGTCGTCGACGACCAGACGTGGGTCGATACCCTGCCCGAGATCATGAAGCGGATAGCGCGCAAAGCCGAAGCAGCTGCTGCAACTGCACAGCAAGAAACGCAGAATATCGACGGCGAAGACGACGAGGATAACGAAGCAACAGCATACCCAGCCGCCCCGGCCCCCGAAGACGCCCCTTCCACCCTCATCAAGAGAGCAGCCGAAGACGTAGCCACCAAATGGTGCTCCAAAACCCTCACAGAACGCTACTCCCAACACAACACCTATGTAGGCTTTTACCGGGGAGTCTACGATGCCAAAAACCCCGGTGAAGACGGTCCACCCATCCCGCACCACTCCCTCTGGTTCGCCAACGAAGAAGACATCAACGGCTCCTACATCGCACCAGGCACCCAACCACAGACCCAGCGAACGCGACGCCAGCACCGCGGCGCCTCCTCAAACGAAGAAGACCCCGGTCATTCATCCGACATCGAAATCGCGCGCGAAAAGATCTCCATCAAATGCCCCATCACCTTCCTGCCCTTCACGGACCCGCTCAGCTCAACCAAATGCCCGCACTCCTTCGACCGACCCGGCGTAATGGACATGCTGCAGCGGACGCAGACTTTCCTGCCGCTGACCGAGGCGCAAGCCGCCGAAGTCGCCCGGGCCCCCAACAACGCCGCTCGGTCCAGGAAGACGGCCGAGTTCCGTATCAAAACCATCCCTTGCCCCGTGTGTTCAATTATGCTTGCGGAAGCGGATCTGAAACCCGACCCGCTGCTGCTGCGGAAAGTGAAGCGGATCCAGGCTGCGGAGGCGAGAGAGATGGAAGCCCGGACTAGTGAGGCGGACTCCAACTCCGACGACTCGGATGAGGATGAGGATGATGATGAGATAGTAGCGCCAGGGACGCAGAGGAAGCGGGTTGGTCCTGGGTCGAGCCCGCCGAGGACGGGTGCGAAGGAAGGGAAGAGGAAGAGTGCGCTGGAGATCAAGATGGAGAGCGCGAGGAGTAAGAGTCGCGGCGTAAGTGTGGTGCCGCAGACGCAGTTAGATGAGGACATGGAGGATGATTGAAGTTAGGCAATGTAATTGTTATGGCTAGAAACATGAGCTTTGTAAGTCGTCTGGACATTTTCTATTTCTCGATGCTCCACTCGCACTTTCTGATCTTTCTTCATTATGGTTGTACATGACTTTTACAGGAGCAGGTTCCAGTCAGATAGCCCTCCGTTCAGCATATACAGCAAGGGCCCTCATCTCATTCACCTCATGTCCCAATGATCAAGCACACACGATGCCCCGAACATACTCCACATCGTCCCATGCCGCCTCCCATATATTGAGCACCTCGATCTCAGATCTGAGAGCAGAGGGTCTACCTGTCTTTCCATTTCCGGTTCCGGTTCCGTTTTCACGACCAGGACTTCCTCCCTCGACGGGAGATCTCTTTACAAGAGGCGACGAGACGCCATAAGGGTCAGTCAACCTCCTAGGTCTCACAATCGCGCGACATAATCTTCCGTGCCCTCTGGTGGTGTCGAGGAAGGGTCTGGTGTCGTCCTCGTGGAGCTCGCTGTCTTGCCAGGTTGTGCAGGTGCCATGGAGATGTGGCGGCCGTTGCGGGAAGAAGAGGTCTGCGAACGTGAAGTGCTGGGCCCTGCCAACCCTGGTGCTCGATGTTACAAAGGCGTATAGCTCTATGAGGAGTCCGGAAGCGGAACTGGATGAAGAGATCGCTCGTAGGTACTCGGCGGTACGGAAGCAGGTCAGAATTCGTGTTTCGGAGGTCAGATTCGAGATGGGTGATCGTGCTGCTACTGGTCTGGGGAAGCTTGGACGGAGAAATGGCGCTGTAGATGGTCCTTTTGGTAAGGCGTGTTTGTGGATAGGGCCGGAGTCTGGCGTGTTAGGCAGAGGGTCCGGTAACCTTATTGGCGTATTCGCCGTGGATGAGGATTTGCGAGGAGTTTGGTATGAGGGTGGTAGCATACTCCCCAAGTCTACTTGGGGACTGAGGAAGTCAATCTGGGCTGACTGACTTGAAGGGATACGACATGAGTTTATAGGAGAAGAGAGATGTATATGATCTTGGTCCTGATGTTCAGCATCGTCAGGCGCGAAAGGGTCGCTGCCAAATTCAGAATCAGGGGCTTCAAACTTGGGCTGAGCATCTTGGGGGAGATTGAAATTTAGGTGATCCGCGCTGCCCGGAACATGTGAACTAATATTGTCCTCGAGTGCCAGAAATGCGTCTTCGAGGTACTCTTGATCGTATTCGTCGATCGCTAATGGTGAAGAAGACAGACTCTTGCACGTGTCATACAAAAGTCGCTCCTCGTCCGACAGTTCAGAATGACCAAAACGGTCAAAATCCAGCGGCAAGGTCGCTTCCATGGTTTTCTGAGAATCGAGCTTGCAACTCTCAGCCTGAGCTGGCACAACAGTTTCCGCCGACATGTTTTCTCGCCTGGCAAAGTGGCTTTGTGGATTGTAATACCCTCTTTACAGGGATCTTCGACTACTGAAACGCGTGGAGGCTGGAACTTGAACGTACCGAATCTGCTAATGGTCTCCGTCGGCAATTCTGTCAATGAAGCTTGACTCGGCGATTGCTTGTAACCAATCTGTTTTGCGAGCTACTGGACTTCAGCTCACTTTGAACGGTATTGCTGGTATGAACAGCTTCTGTGAAAAGTACATCGTACGCGTGTTGCACTTTGAGCTTGCGCAGCCCATTGTGCCATTAGCTAGTAACGCCTTTCATTTCTTCGTGGCGGGCACTCCAGTGGTCCAGCAGCTGTTATTATGGCTCCACGAAAGGTGGATAGTGGAATAGAGATGGCATCTAACGGTGAAAATGATGGTTCATGAGGTCGGGTCTTACAGTATCATGCACCAAATCTTGACCGCGCCTTGACACCCAGTTGGGCTTGCCTCAGCCCACAGCCATGCTCTTTTGGCTTGGTCGCTAACTAAGTCAGAGTGCGCCAGGCAGGTCTGAGGTCAAGAAAAATTACGGGCTGATTGTCACTATTTCATTTGACTTCACCTTTATAAGCTCTGGGCCTGCTGACTCCTGAAGCAATGGGGCACTGCATTAGATGGCCCCCTGGCGTTCGAGTGTCTGATTTTGAAGCCAAAGAATCCTAGAAAAAAAAGTGGTTACTTAGGGGTCATATTAAGTGGCATCTCTTGTAACATTTTAGGTTGGATATAAGCTTCGACCCAGAAAGGCTTGGAATAACGCTTACAGGGATGATATTATTCTTGGTATGCTACCTCTTAGCGGATTTTAACAACTTCTGATGCACGACTCTGTGGAGCAGTATCGGCTCAATGCGTGGATTGTAGTGTGTAGCTATCTAGGAAATCTAAATGCAAAGTTCGGATGGAATAACGCCGCAGGCGCCAAGGCCCCATAACTCCGTACTGCAGTGTTGTATAGCTAGCACCAAATCCTCTGCACAACATCATCTTACAAAACAGCCAGAATACAAGTTCTCAATCCTGCAGCGTAACGACCAACACGCACGATGCCATTTGAAAGAATCCTTATATGTGGCGCAGGTGTAGCTGGTTCAGTATTAGCCTATTGGCTCGCCAAACATGACTTCGATGTGGTCGTCGTCGAACGATCGAAAACCGAACAGACAGCTGGACAAGGCCTCGAAATTGAAGAACCAGCGTTGATGATTATGAAGTCGATGGGCGTCCTTGACAAGCTCAACCAAAAGAAGACTGGTGAAATGGGATTCAATCTTGTCGACGAGCAAGCTCGTTCACATGGCATTTTGGAGGTTGGTGGCATTAGTCCTACAGGTGCCCTCGAACTCTTGCGGGGTGACCTGACTCAAATTCTCCTCCAATCCGCCGACGGATCCACCAATGTCACCTACCAGTTCGAGACCACAATACAGAGCCTGAGACAAACACAGGACAAAATTATCGTCGACCTAGAAAACAGAAATGACAAAACCATCGCGACCGAGGAATTCGACTTGGTGGTAGGTGCGGATGGAGTAAGATCACGCACGAGACAGCTCGTCATGGGCTCGCCCGAGGAGCTCAATTGTTTCAAGCCAGTCGGCGCCTTTGTTGCATACTTCTCCATCCCTAGAGAAGATTAAGACTGGCCCTATTCCCAACTATGTCATTTCACAGGCCGGCGAATTATATGGATGCGGCCACTAGGAAAGGAATCTAAGATGACATCGGTATACCTCATCCACGTTCATGACGACGTTCCCAACCTACGTCGAGCAAATGCTGCTGGCGACAGACTGAAGCAAAAGGAAGCCTTCGCGGAAATTTACATTGGCCTAGGCTGGGAAACACCAAGGGTCATCCAGCTGATGATGAGAGCCGAGAATTTCTATTCCGATGAGCTTGTGCAGGTCAAACTTCAGGAGTGGTCTCAGAACCGAGTGGTCCTCCTTGGTGATGCAGCTTGGGCCCCATCTCCATTTACCGGCGAAGGAAATCAGCTGGCAATCATAGGTGCTTGAGTACTAGCTCAGGAATTGTCAAGGAATCGGAATCTGGTGGCATTTGAGATGTATGAGAAGAGACTGCGCTCATATGTAGAGAATGCCCAGAGCATACCACTTGGCGGCTATGGACCATACATTTTCAACCCGCAGACTAGTTGGGGCATTTGGCTGCTTCGGACGATCTTCCGTCTCGGTTCAAGAACGATCCGCTTTGTTTCGTGCTTGAAGTTGCCGAGGAAGTTGCCAGATCAGCCGCATCCTGATTTCGATTTGGAGATTGAGGAGGTTGAAGTAAATGGGGCACGGTGAAGTATTTCTACGGGACATTCTTGCCGTCGTTCGCAAGGGGTTAGCCCGCTTTCGAGGGCAAAGGTGGATCGAAAAATAGACTTACTCTGCATGAACCAGCATACTCTGCAACAGTAAGCCCACTTCCTCATCAAAACCGTTCCACTCACCAGAAACCTCTTAAACAGCCTTTGAAATCTACCTCTCCTTAAGCTGCAGCGACAGCACTCTCCCCCCCCTCCGGTTCTTCTCACAGTCATTTTCAAGGATAATTGAGCTATTGGCTGCGTAGCCAGGACTCTTGGCTCTGAATGTCCATCGCTGGCACCGCGGATATGTCTTGCCGCATTGTGATAATCGGGCCATTGCAGGGCTTAGCAGTATACGTGACAGTGCTTGGCTGTCTAGCCACCGCCACTGGCACCAGAAATCGAAAACTCAAAATACAATGAAGAAGACCGTTCAGCGAGTAATATAACGGCCAATTTGAGGAGAATATCGGAGGCCACATACAACAATAAAAGGAGTTGGGTTGACGAGAAAGAGATAAAGTTAGAAATTGTAGAGGTGAAAAGGTAGGAAACGTGAAAATAACTTAATTTGCTTGGATAATCGTGGGCTAGTATTGACCAGTTTATAGAATGAATCAGGCACAGAAATATGGGTAGTGTCAACAGAAGGCAATTGAAATAGTCATTTAGTGTGCGATGCAGTCAGGCTGTCTGGTGGGATTTGATGAATGGTATATAATATATTTTTCGACAAGCCATCTCCAAAAAGCCCCAGATTGTGAGCAGTGGCGTAGGTGTTGAACCTGTGCCTTTAGCACCAGTCACCCGCTCAATAGCCAGTGGACATTGACCAAGGCCGGCAAGCAACTGCAAAGGCACAGCAAAAGGCGTTGGGACTGGAAGGTCATTACCAGGTACGTGGGAACCCCCTCCTCCTCACACGAACAGCTGTAGATAGTAGTCGGTAGCCAGTAGATGTTCTACTAGTTTAATAAGCCACTAAATGGAGTAAGAAGAGATCGCCGATTCAAATCCAACATCGACTTGTTCTTACCGCTTCTTGTGCTTTTTCACCTTTCACCTCAATTATACGCGTAACTAGTACTCTGGCTTACATAGATACTCTTCTTCATGATATTGGAAAGATTTCTCGAGCAAAATAGCTAGAAAACCGAAAGTCGTATCACCATGTCCGATGAACCTGGATGAATATGTCGGAGAGGACAGTTAGGGAGGGGATCAAGATCAAGGGAATAGAAGCATCTAATTCCTTCGTTTGTGGCGGCTGCACACACACCAACATTGAAGAATTCGAGTCAGCTGAAGTTGAAAGGTCCGTACATTGTGATAAGACGCATAGAGCTGCTACAGTATTTTCCTTATGAGAAATTGCCATTGAATTTTTTTCTGGGGAGGACTGGAGGCCGCCACGGTGCTGCAACAGCGGGCCGAGCCGAATGAAAACATTAGCTGGCATGCAGATCTTCTGCTCGGGCAACTGGTCCGGCAGCTCGCAAACACTGTGGAGAATTTTGAGCCTGGCAACAGCACCATTCGTTATGTACGCCATTGAAACCAAGAAGAGAAAGTTTGACCGCATTCTTGAAACCATCAAAGACCATGCGAACTCACGACCACCTCCTCCTGGAACACCCCCTCAAACCAGCGTATCCACCCACTCTCTTGTTACCAGCAACTCAGCCAAGAAGAGACGAATGGATCATTTAACCATGTCATCGAAGAATTCATCTACTGCGTCAATGCCAAAAACAGCAAATTACCTCCCTTCCAGTCGCGAAGCTTTTCTCGAACGACTGGAGACATTCGGGCCTATAACCAAATGGCATGTTCCTTCCACGGAGGAAATTAGTGCAGTGGCATGGGCAAAACGTGGCTGGTGGTGTATCGAAACGGACATGGTAGGCTGCAGGGCTTGTAGTGAGCAAATTCTGGTAAAGCTAGATGCAGAGGAGGAAGCCACCGCGACGGAGTCAGCTGGACAAGACATCGAAGAAGAGGAGGATCTCACTACTGCGGCTATGCTACGACATCGGCTACTGGTGGAAAAATACAGTGACATGATCATTACTGGACATGCCCAGACGTGTCCTTGGAGGAACCGGGGTTGTGACGAATCAATACAACGGATCAGCGGCCTTCTTAATACTACAAGCACAATACAGACGTTGAAGGCGCGTTACAATAGTCTTGAAGGCCTTGACGTTCCGTCTGTGCACGTGTCAGTGGGGGAATTCGAGTATCCGACAGAGGGCGTGATCAAATTCAGATTCGACGAAAAGCAGCTAGAAATACCACATCAAGATACGCTACGGCTGGCAATGTGTGGATGGCAATCCTCTTCAGATCGAGAAGACATTGTAGAATGTCGCGCGTGTTTTCGATCATTGGGCTTGTGGCTCTATAGAGGAGAACAGCCAATTATGGAAAAATTGGACGCAGTCGAAAGTCACCTAGAGTACTGCCCTTGGCGCTCGGCCAGTGCTCAGAGAACAGAAACTTGGTGGGATGAAAAGAAGACAATGGTACCGGCTTGGGTATTGGTTGCAAGAACGATTAGGGAAGTTGCCCATCGTCCAACTGTTGATGGCACGGCCGAGACGCAGCAGGAAGAACCAACCGTATTGGGAGAACAGGAGCGAGAGACGAAAGTGAAAGAGTTGTTGCGACGGGTGAAAGAATTGAAGAAACCTTTCAATGTCAAAGCATTGCTGCGGAAGAAGCCCGCATCGAGTTAGATTGAGCCAATGTCAGCGAAGCACATCACCCAGTCCACCTCTTCAAGGGCTTGTCGGACTTGTAAGGACTGGAATCTAGCTGGCCACCTTTCATATTGTGTTTTGATATCCACCATTTGATCTGTCTTCCACTCTCGATGTCTCAAGTCCTCCAATCTACCGATAACATCTCCGAGCTTGCGTTTGTAACAGCCTTACTGGTGAAAATATGGACCAAATAATATAATTCGACGCGGCTGAGGTGACCACTTCCCCGGAGCACTGATATCTGTTGATCTTTCCAAATGATCGCCCACTTGGTGGAAAGTGGCTAGTTCATAGACTGCCAGGTCCGTGCTCGTGCCCGAAGCCCTCTAATTTAGTCCCTATGCTACCGCAATCGATAACTATCCTTGTGGGTCCGTGGAGCTAACGTGCCAAGCGAGGTTCACTCTGAGGAGATTGACCAATTCCATTGTGATCGTGGTTTAGAGGGGTTTGATCAGATTTGAAAGAAGCACAGATGTACTACGTAAGAACAAAGAATCAGACGATATTTGATGAAGGAAAGTGACGTTAGGCGCCCCCCAGTTAATCCCAGACTGTTCTTGGGGGTGGCCTTCCCACCTGAGACCCCGCCAAAACCTCCCTGCCCCGCACGACAAGATTCGAGCCAACAGAACGTAGCTCGCAACCAGGGTAGATATCCAGCTCAACGGAAGTATTGGACCGTGGACGTAACTACCACAATCATTTCTGGGCTGTAAGTCTCAATAGTAATCATCTAAGGGCATAGATTGTGTCCAAGAAGGCTGAAAGCAACAAAGAATTAACCAACGGGGTGCGGTGGGGTCCCTCCGGTCTGTTTCGGATCATTGGGGTTTCAACAACCCCCAAATTCGGAAGAGGACACTGAGCCTGAGGGTGATCCTTCAACCACCATAGGGACTCTGTGGGGTGCGTGATAAATTTTTCTACTCCGTACTAAGCTAGGATACTTCCTTTGGAGGGTCAATTGAAACCCCTTGCTATCCAATCAGAGCTATTCCCCGCACTCTTAACGCCCACTTTCCCGCATCGCCGGAGTTGGAACCACCGTAACAAAGTAGGTGCGGCTTGCACAGCACCAGCTCAAGCTACTGCTGCTGACCTTCGGAAGACAGACAGTGCTCCGAACGGTGAAGTCTGGTTCCTGCGGTCTGACCTCAACTCTGCAGGAACATTCCATATCACTGCCCCTCCTCATCGTTGTCGTCGCTCAAGCGAGCACCAGTGAATCCCAGGAAGCCTGTGCGATTGACCTCCGGAACCTGATCCAGCGTGCACTGAGGCAATAGCTGTACTGAAGTGCAGCTCCACGGAGATAGAGTTGGAGAGCTGGCTAGAGGTAGAGGCTTGAGGTCCATCGTAAGTCTAATTAGCATCTTTACTCGTCCCAACGTTTGCTGCTTTCGTGCTCAGTTTGGGCGGACAATAAGTGGGTGTTCAAGAATCGGATCATTGGAGTATCTCAAAGCGAAGCATAATGTGCTGACGACAAACTTCCTTGAAGTCTGCCTACCCGCGTGCTCGTACCCTTTCGATCTCAAAACCCTCTCCCGTACCAACATGTCATCGCCCACTGCAAACCGTGTAAAGGACACCGCAAAATCAGCGGCTACCAAGGTTGAGAATGCTGCGACTGAAGCTGTCAACAATCCTAAAAAAGCCAAGAATGACTTTCTTCACCAGCCAATTGTGCGGGCTGCATTACCCTTCGTCAACGGCGGCCTTTCAGGCATGATTGCGACCGCGTGTATTCAACCCATTGATATGATCAAGGTCCGTCTTCAGCTTGCCGGCGAAGGTGTTCGGACGGGGCCCAGACCAAGCCCTCTCACCATCACAAAAGACATCATTGCACAAGGCAAGGTTTTGGATCTGTATACCGGTCTCAGTGCAGGATTGCTCCGTCAAGCAGTCTATACAACGGCTCGCTTGGGCTTCTTCGACACCTTTCAGAACATACTGACTGCACGCGCAGAGAAGAGAGGCACAAACATAACGTTCGCCGAGCGAGCTGCTGCGGGTCTGGGGGCTGGCGGTTTGGCTGCTATGATTGGCAACCCTGCTGATCTCGCTCTCATTCGAATGCAGTCGGATGGGCTGAAGCCAAAAGACAAACGTGCAAATTATCGATCAGTCTTCGATGCTCTGAAACGAATCACTGCGACAGAAGGCATTGGTGCACTATGGGCAGGTGCATATCCGACAGTGATCCGGGCAATGGCGCTGAATTTTGGCCAACTGAGTTTCTTTGCCGAGTCAAAAGCACAACTCAGGAAACGTGCACCATCTTTGTCTGAGTCAACGAGGACATTCGGTGCATCTGCAATTGCTGGCTTTTTTGCCTCGTTCTTCAGCCTGCCGTTCGACTTCATCAAGACCAGATTGCAAAAACAATCAAAAGGACCGGATGGAAAATACCCATACAGTGGATTATTGGATTGTGCGCGGAAAGTGATACGAGACGAAGGCTGGCTCAGATTCTATCGAGGTTTCGGGACCTATTATGTCAGAATCGCTCCTCACGCGTGAGTTTTCCTAGCTTCATCCCGTTGGTAGATGCTAACTGGCTGTCAGCATGGTGACGTTAATTGTCGCCGATTACCTGAAATTGATCACAGCTTGAATAAGCTCACGTTATGCTGTAAAGAAAGAGGGAGAAAGAAAATGCTTATCGAGGCTTGCCATATCTTTGCTCGAAATTGGACAATAGAACAGAGAATATATAAACCGTATAGCTAAACCTAAATTCTCCTCGGGTGGTATGGTTCTGAACAAGTAGACATCCTTTCCAAAGCAATCCTCGAATTTGTCAAAAACTCTGCGATATTGCACCAACTCTAGGTCCTCCGCCAAAACTCAACTAGGTGGACCGAGCTCAGCGCCAATCTGGTCCGAAGGTTGTAACTTACTACGCTAGGAGCATTTACTACTAATTGATGTCATTCATGCGCTAGTGATAGCTTGTGACGCCAAGATATAACGCCACAAAATCGCTTGATTAGGACTAGTCTATCCTGCTCAATATCGAGTGTGCACTCCATTAGCATCAATGACTGCCTGGCACCTTGCTGACATTGACTCAGTCAGCTCTAGGAGATAGGCCGTTAGTACAGCATTCCAAGCAGTTGTTATGGCCTCTCGTAGCCCATCGTAGCCCCATAGCGTATAATAGCGACAGCGGGGTCATAGCGTTAGGGGGCCTGTAAAGGAGGCGTTTTTCTACCCTGCTACTAGCGCGCGGCTAACATCAATTATGTCTGGTATCGTAGTACTAGTAGGGGTGATGCCGCTCTAACTTCCAGGCTGGTCTCATCTAGGTAAACCTGAGGCACAAATCACTCATGCGCAGACTCACATGTTTCTAGGCAGCAGGCTTGCTGCACAGGCCCGAGCCGAGTCCCTTCTGGTTCATGGCTCACTCCTTTTTACTTGTAATCATTCCCCTGGCAGAAAGTCATAAAATACAGAGATACACTTATATAATCAGCCTCTATTGCAGGAACCATTATTCCTCAACAAATGGCCTCCGGCACACACTTATGAATCACCATGCACAGGCGCTAGCACCTGCACGCAGCAGAAGGGATACCAGAAAAAGAGTGTGGACTACCTCAGTTTTCTCTGTCTTACAATATGAAATTGCTCGCTGCATCTTATCCAAGATTCTCGCTTTTCTGTAATACCTCGTATCCATTTAGACCATCAGCTTATAGAGTTTTATTTTCATAAGCGGATCTCGGCTACCTCATCCTAGTAGCATGTGAGAAGGAGAGATAAAGGAGGGGCATCAATTTCGGATCCTTTGGACTTAAACTTACGGGCCGTAGGTCCCTGGGAGCATCACAGATTACGTACTGATTCCGCCTCCATTTGACTTTCCACTGTGGCTTAGTTTCTGAGTCGTTGGGTGGAAACGCGCTATTGAGAAACATGAACAGTTTCTTTTCGCTGATGTGGTAGTCGTCAATCGTTTGCTGCTGTAATGGGGATAGTGAATGCAGTGGCATAGGAGCGGGCCGAGCGGCTGGATAGTCTTTGAGAGTGCTTAGGGTAAAGGAGTGAACAGGTTTGTGTTTAATAAATAATCTGGTAGCGTTTTGTGAAGAAGTGGCTAGAGAGTGTCTTCTTGTGAACTTGCAGACCTTAAATGTGTGGAGTGAAATAGGAGAAGTGAAAATGAGGCGAGGAGGGAAGGGGAAAAGGCAATCCAATGGATTACAATTGTGAAGCAGGCGTCAGAGGGCGGAGGAGCAACCCCCAATGTAAAAGTACGTATTGGTAGACCATGATGTTTCTAATGTCTGAGCCACCGCATTGCATGAAATTTAACCTGAATGCTATGACTGAAGGGGTAACACAAAGTGTCAGACATAAGCTAGTTTACGGTCCTTTACGGTCCTTTTGCCCTAACACAAGGCAAGCTCTTCCATTTCCGGCGCAATGGCGAAGATCCGCACCAAATGGCTTCGGGCGTTTCTTGCTCGACTCTTCAGGATACTGCAGGTAGCCCTGTCAGATTTAACTTGAGGCTCAACGAGAACGCATCCTGGATTGAAAGGCATTATGAGGCTCCCGTCCTTTCACAACCCACCTTCTCTCGTAGAGAGCAATTTTATTTCTTGGTTGCTTCAGCATTACAATGTCGAATTTTGCAGAAGCAAGTTCTAAATTATTCCTGAACCCAGGAGTTGTCGAGCCGGGGATCGAAGTCTTGCTGTCGACACCAGCGCGTTGTAAGAAAGACAGCCTTGATCCAATTTTAAAGAAAACGATTGAGCCCCCTTCGGACCTCAGCAGAAACACTAGAGAGAAGAGAGCCGAGGTTCAAGAGCAATGGGATGACAGTGGCTTGCCTTCTTTAACAAAGCGTCCGGAAACCGAATCACAATGGATGGTGCTGAATGAAGCATCGGGAATCTTAAGTCTCCTTAGCGTATGTAATCCTTCCATTTAGATCCTACACAAAGGTCATATCTTTGATCAAGCGTTTTTAGACAAGATCCAAGTTCCGAGCAATGTAAGATACATGCTATCGCCAGAAGGCCTTGTTGGCTAATAAGGGTAAAGATGCATCAACCAAGCAAATTCACACTCTTGCTTGTCTATTTCACAGGCCATGTTCGGGAGTCTCCTCAGAGAAGCCCAAATACCATCTTCCTTCAGGAACATATTGCTCTACTTTGGAAGAAGAGATTTTGAAGTGGAGATTGTACCGCCTCGCTTCCAAAATTGGCCTCTCGGAGGACCAGATTCGAGTCAAAGGCGTGGATTTGGTAGGATGATTGCGCGGAACTGATGTGACAACACTGACTGTCATAGAGTGCATGTACGGACTCCGTTTCGTGGAACAGAATGAGCGGAATACGAATAGACCATGGTCCTTGCGGCAGACTGCTGTATATCACAGATACGACGCGCCTGGCACAACGGCGACCTGCATATTCGTGGCCATGTCGCCTGTTGCCAAAGAGTTGCTGAGCCAGCAGGTGGCCGACTGTCAAAAACCAGAAGATATCAACCCTTTTGCGCCTCATGTGCTTTTACTGAGCTTCGCAGCGGCGAACTGGCGCCATTACCTGGTGCATCTGACAACTGTGGCCGAGAAGCATGTAAGTTGTGCTACATAGTAAAGCAAATAAGTGCTCACATATGAGTAGTCCCAGAGGGTCCTTCTAGCGAATGGTGAGGGCGTTGGACCAGTCGATTACACTCATTGCGGTGCTCGACAGCTGATCAAAATCCTGCAAGATGATCTCCTTGACGTATCTCTCGTGCTTTCTTCCACGATAGATACAGTCGAGCAATTGCTCGAATGCTGTCAAGAGAATGAGCAATTCCAACGTCCTGCCCATTATGCTGACACGAAGTGTCATCTCCGCCGCAAGAGAGGAGATTTAGTCGCACTCCAGAAACAAGCTGACCACTTACGTCTCAAGGTTCGAGGCACGGATAAACTAGTAAGCTTCACGTTCTTGAGGCGTTGTCATTCTCTTCGCCCTAATGCTATGGCGTCAGGTTGCGAGCTTTTTAGACTTGGGTAATGGATTTGCTCTTCGAGAGCTTGGTCACGACGCTCGTGAAGAAACTGAAGAGATTCACAAGCTCACCGAAAGCAGTGCACAAGATGCGGCAGCGGTCAAGCTCTTGACGATGATCATGCTGATCTATCTCCCTGCAACAGTTGTATCAGTACGTTTAGTCCCAGGAATACACCCATGGAAACGCTGATTGAGCTGCACTAGAGCTTTTTCTCGACTGCTTTCGTGGATGCCGACCGATCTCCTGGAAGGCCTGGTAAGCTGGTAATTCTGGAAAATTGGTGGATATACGTTGCGGCTGCCGTTCCCCTGACATTCCTGACCTTTTTCCTATGGTGGTCGATGGGCAGGGTTAGCCCGAATGTTTGGTGTGCATGCTTGTCAGGCGTAAGACGCATCCATCGACGTAACTGCAACGAGGAGAATCCTCGGTCACTGGAAGAGGGAACGTGAAACTCCTTTGGAACCAGCAGCAAGATGAAATTCAGCCTTGGGTCGGGCGTTCTCACTCTTCTCCCGTACTCCAATAGGAAGCTGGAAAAAATGTGGGTCTGGTTGCCTCAAAGCGAACGAGCCCCATCTCCGCCACAGCCTGATATCGGACAACCTGCACATCAGTATCTCCTGGACGGCCTGGTCAAGTTTCTCAGGCAGTTCCAGTGCCTACGCCTGAGGCTCAAATGCTGCATGTCTCAACTGGCGTCCCTTGGCCAGAATCATTCGGGTTGCCAGCCACGATGGGCGCACTTTGCACCGCCCACGCTTAGTTCTTGAACGCCTTGGAAAAGAGTCAATAGATCGCACAATGCCTGAGTACCGTAGAACTCTGCAATACGCAGTTCTTTCGCCCCTTAAATTCTGTTTCGATTGCCACCTCCACTGGAATGATAGTGATTGCGAGGAAGTTGCAGTTACTCAGACTTCATGCCCTTTTCCAATAAGTTCAACAAGGGGGTGTCCTTATGGATTCGATGTTGGAGAACCCGCTCGGATGAAGAAAGTTCCCACCCGGTTTCTACCACCGGTCAGCCAATACCCACCAAGGACCATGACGGTACAACTCAATCGATAAGATCCGAATCGTCATCCCCGGCACAAGACTCAAACCAAATTTCTAGGGCTTCGGCGGATGGGGAACCTCCCATCCGAAGCACAACATCAACAACCCTTGATCAAGCCGCTGAGGATCCGCAAACCACCCACTATTCCCAACTTCCCTTGCAAGCGCCACGTAAACCGCGAAATATTTTGATCAACGATGCAGTACGTGATGGGACTGTTCGGCGTGTCTTCTCTAACACCCTAACATCGTCCGAACATTCCCTCCTTCTGAAGAATGAAACTGTTCGCTCATCCAGAAGGAAGAAACTCTACAGCGGTGGCTGTGATTGGGAGACGCTTGTCCCTTCAAGGCTCCTCTGCTATCTCATCATTGAATTTGAGAGCATTTCAAACGAGCCGTTCAAGGACGAGCGATTAGACGTCCTCGAATTTGACCTCAACTGGCAAGACGAGGGAGCCTACCACATGCTTAACAATGAGGCTCAACGACGCTTGCGACAATATCCCACCACCATGGAACGGCAGACTTACCGTAAGAAAGGCACATGCAAGCTGTTTCGGGATGAGCAGTATTGCTTTTCGACCCCTCTTAACGAAGAAGCAAAATGGCTGAACTTACTTTCTAACATGATTGTCCAGTTCATTGCTAAGAACGAGATGGTGAAATTCCATCTCGAAATAACATGGACGTATACCGCATCGGAGCCTCCTCAAGAAGCTTCCTGCTACGCGGAGAAGGTCAGACAATCCATTGATGCGCAACTTGTATCCAGAAAAAATTTCATTGGTGAATCGTACATCCCTTCCAATGTCCTCACTGAGATCATGTCCGAGACCACAACAGAACATCTGATCAACGAAGACGACTCCTTGAAAGACGTCGAAAGCCGCCGTTACCAGCAAAATGGCCAGTTTGACAAGAGAGGCTTTGTTCGAGATGTCAAGACCAAGGCCAGCATTTTGTTAGCTCTTTTCGTGTACAACAAACTGCCGCTCAAATATTTGCTACGACTGATGGAATCTGACATCACGAATGTCCATCTTGGCACTCTTCCACTACAAAGAGATCATTGTCCCGAGGGTGCCGATTCCGTAGACTTCGGAAACTTAGTGGATCATCAGTGGCGATTCTGTGCTCACAAGTTCCCAAAACCTGAAACAGCATCAGCGCATTCCTACGACCTCCATCGCCACACCATTTTGCCCATTCAGTATTGTAATGAAGGGAAGAAGATTGGAAATGGTGCGTACGGGGAAGTGTACAAAATTCGCATAGAGACAGACCATCACGAATTCAGGACGGTCAGCGAAGGATACCCATATCAGTATCAGGACAAATGCGAATTCTTTGCGCTCAAGAAATTCCGAGGGTCCATTTCAGCTGAGGAGTTCAAAAATGAAGCTGAAGTTCTCAAAGAGCTATCCAAACAGCGCCACAAGCATATTGTGCCTCATTTTGCATCTTGGAGCCAGGATGGCCAGTTCTCAATGCTTTTCCCTTTTGCGGATGGAAATCTTCGTGAGTACTGGAGTCGTCCACCCCAACGCCCAGAGGTCAACGCACAATTTGTGACGTGGATGCTCGCGCAGTTCTGTGGCCTTGCCGATGCAGTTCGCCGGATTCACATGATGGGCGGTTATCATCATGATATCAAGCCAGAAAATATTCTTTACTTTTCAGATGGTGTTTCCGAACTCCCGACACTGAAGATCGCTGACTTTGGATCTGCCAAGATCATGCAAGTCCGGTCGGGTGGATTGCTGGAGAGCTATTTGAGGATAGGTTGCTCACATGGTACACCAGCCTACGAAGCCCCAGACTTCTTCATAAATAAGGGAACGTCATCACCATACGACATCTGGACGCTGGGATGCGTTTTCCTTGAGACACTCCTTTGGACCTTTGGAATGCTCTTCGATGAACAGGGATCGTATTCGCGCGAGCGGCACATGGTGAACGATGTCACTGAGTCGAAGGATGCTATGTTCTGGTATCTTGACGGCGAAAGTTACGTCCGATGGAAACCTTTCGTCCAACGGCGTCTAGATGCTCTGGAATCCAGATGCAGGCAATACGGAGTTTACATGTCAATACTCCAGACCACGACGAAGATGTTGCATCTCGATCCAGCGCAAAGACCCAGGGCACACGAGGTTCATAATGATTTCGAATGCATCATTCATCGAGCTAAAGACCTTGATAAGAAAGATTGGACCAATCTCTGCATGACCGATGAGAGAACTCCAATTTCGACCCTTTCAGATGTCTCCGGTCCCACGAATCCGAAAGGCACGCCCGTTTCTGCCAAGTATGGCTACATTCTGCAAGGAAATCTCTACGAAGATGAGCGCGCTGTCCTTCGCGAATCGGGCTCACAGGGCAATCTGAGCGCGGGAAATCCGAGACCCCAAGAAGAGCTCAGTTCTGTGGGGTATAACGAGTTCCTGAAAGTTCCGACACCTCACATCGTCGTGAATGGCGAACTTGGAAACACAAGATCCAGTCAAGCAACTCAACCCAGTGATCAGAGGCCACTTCTTAGTTATAACCAAGGTCCACTGGAAGTCCGCCATCAGCCTACGACTCCTTCGCCGTGTGCAACCGAGACTTCTGACTGAAAGCCCATAAGACCTGGAAGGCCGGAGCTGTACAATGTTTAAATATTCTTGTGCTATATCATACAGCTCTCATAACGCATGACTATGATGTCTCCATTTCATAGAGTGATCCAAATGTGCTTCTGGAGTATCTTGAATCACCACCAATCATCATCCAATGTGCTGGATACCCCACCTTTGCTAGCGACGTCTGGAGAGAAGCAGGTGCGATCGGCCCACCATGCGGCTCTGCTGAACATCGAGGGCTGGCCGGGGTCATAACTGAACCGAGACTGGTCGATGGCCATGCACTTCTTGCAGTAGCGCCAGCAGAAGGACCGATTGTCAGCCTTTGGAAAAGATCCCACTGTTGGCTGACCTAGAAGCGATTTCAGTTTAAAACGGGGTTTGTCCCACCCACCCAGGTGGAAGGACGACTGAATCGATTGCTGACACCAATGGAGCTGACCAAGCAGTCTACCGTTCCAAGTCACTCGCATGGCCGGCCCACTCAAGGGTCTCCATCAAGATTGTTAGTAGGGATTGCAGACCTCGAAGGATCCGTTCATACCTGGAGATACCATCCGCAAAGCTACGGCCGTTCAGGATCTATGAGGCGCTTGCATTAACACATCCTCAACACCAATGAAATGGAAAATCGCAGTCGAGTCGTTGGTGTCCTCGAACACCTTAACGTCCGCATACGTCCGCATACGAAACAGTTGGGCATAGGGGTTGTGGGATAAATGGATGAATCGCCGCCTGCAAAGGAGCAAGAATTCCTACATCAGCATTTCTAGACTGAGACCGTCTCCCAGAATCGATCTTCGAAGACCGGAGTTCATTCGCAGAAGCACCGCCTTTACCTCTCAGCTAACGTTGCCCCCCACATGCCGACCTCCCTACAGAAGAAGAATTGGCCGACCCACGGGGAAGAATGGACTGTGGAACAGCGCTACCTCGTCCGCCCTAAACTCATCCGCTGGTTGGCCATGTTCCCAAAAGGGGCTGCTGATTATTATGTACGCTTTTCATACACCCCAAATTTTTGTGAACCTTTTTATCGAGAAGAGAAACAACGTCTTGGAGGCCTGATACTGAGGTGCGGGTAACAAACAGGAGGGAGTCAATCATACTATTGTTAAATCGCCTCGGCGGCCGACTGATGTACGTTTGCTTTCTACACTTTCTATTTTCCTTACTGTGTATTTTTTTGGAGACAATGCCTTCTGCAATCAACTGCATCCTACAAAATGTGTAATCAGCAGGAGGACATAGTCCCCTTTCCGTTCTCTTCTGGCGGACGGGACTTGGGAATCAAGAGTCCATCAAATTCTTCCACTAGAACAGACTTTTGACTAGATGACTAGCTAACAGTTACAATGCTCACAATATTGCAGGGAGAAAAGGATTGGCTCATGGACAAAAACTTGCAATCCACAATCGAGGTTAAGGGTTTCGGGACGTTGAAGGTTGAAATTTAGTTGATCAATTTCCTCGTTTACTAGTTGCTCCAATGCGCGGAATGGGAAGACTGATGCACAGTGAGTGAGATGGATTCTATACTATCTGTTTGATTCCATCTCACCAAGAGGATGTGGCTGATCTACACTATGGGGCGGGCGGAGCCGCATGACATCCGGCAGGACCCACTGCCCGCAAATCCTAACCAAAATGAGATCGAAGAGTGGGGTTTTACACGTTTCATGTCCTTTTTGGCTAGAACTGAGATTAGAAAGCTCAGTTCAGTGCTTAATTGAAGTCGATCTCTTTTAGTCTTCTCTCACCTCGTCTGACCTGTTGCGTACTGGTCTACTGTAGAAACGAGGCCTCAGAACAGAAGTGGAGTTGAAGTCTGATTGGTTTTCACCCGTCACTTACGTGTCTCTGCTGACCTGGCTGGCTGCACTAAGTGAACTAGTATCAGTAACGCGCTGGTAAGGCACCGGCCGCAAGGGTCCTCTCTCCACAGCGAGCCTGTCATTACTACGTACATAGACACAATTATATCATAAATTTATCCTACAATGTTGTAAGCGTCTTTTGTCTCACGGATGGTCAAACTAAATAGAAATAGAATAACTTTGGAAGGGAGGCAATAACTTCACTATATATATAGAGAAGAGAAGGACTCCGTACTCTACGGAGTACTTATGGGGTAAAGCACGTGTTGTGTTGGCTTGCCAAGAATTGAACCTTCCGCGTCACCGCTTGGCAGTATTTTGTTCTGTGCTGACTCAAGATGTGAAAGGAAAATTCTACTACAGTGTAAATTCTATTGCGGCTCACATCTCCATGTATCAAGTTAGAAGAAGAGGACATCCAGTGGCACGACTGCGCCGTGGTAGCACAGAGCTGCAAAAGAGAGGCAGAGCTCAACCACACTTCTGACTGTGTACTAGATGAATCACAGCCACGAAAAATGGCAGACAAAGATTCAGCACGGACACAGTGCACCGCACCAGAACTCTTGCTCAAGGTTGTGCTGGCAGGCACACTGAGCCACTATGAGACGAGGGGCATGATCGACGATAAGAGGTTGGAGCACATGTTGCACGCAGGGAAACAAATTCTATACAAAAGCCATCAAGAAAGTGATGTCCGGTGAGTATTTTTGTTTACTGGCAGTGACTACAATACAGCTGCTCTTCAGACTCACACCTATTCAGACAAAACCTGGGCTTCTCCCCGACTGTTTGGCAGGGCCTCACAGACGTTCTTACTCGAGCTATACCGGCCCTCGAGGTTCAATCCTTCGAATGGAAGAATCCACTCTCAGCAACCCACAACGGCTCTTCCTCAGACCTAATCGCTCTCAACTACTTCACTCTTGTCAAGGATATTGAACGGCTTAATGACCTCTGTACGATCGCACGAAACCTACTTGCAACAACGAAGAAGGCACAAAATTTAGCTGCAGAGAAAGGCTTCGATCAGCAAATCTTGAAGCTGATCGATGTGTGCGTCAGAGTCACCGCCCAAGGATTCGACGGAGAGGCGAATGCACGCAATGAGGAGCGCTGGCAGAAGATTGTCAATCTTTACAAGCGGCTGCTCATTACATGCCTACAATTCTTGCACAATTTCATCATGCATAATGAGCACCGGAAACTGGTCTTGTGGTTGGATCTGTTCGGAAACTCTCAGCAGACAGAAGTCGAGGCGCCGCCAGCTGTAGCGTCCACGGAGACTGCAATGTCTCAAACTGCGAGAGAGGCACGAATCAAAGCCACAGTAGACAAACTACCAAACTTTGGCACGTTCACCACTGAAGGAAGCCTGGGGTATAACATTGATGATGTGCACGCATTGTTCGATCTAATGAACACAGAAAGAGCTCCGGATGGTAACACCCAAGGCGCTGCTCGAATGCTCATGGATAAAATCAGAACAGATATGGAGAGACTGTCGGGTCTAAGTGCGAGCCAGTTGGATGAGAATCCCGAGGCACTGCTGAAAGTCGGAGCTGCACTCCGAGCTCAGCTGCCGACCAAGGATTTTCCTCTTCGAACACATGTCACAAATCCTTCACCACCTGTCCGCAAAGCCGTTGTCAGCATAGATCGAAACGCTGCGGCCGGCCAAGCTCGTGGGATGAATTGGACTGACTTGCCGGATTTGAGCCAATATGGCGATGCCACTACAATGAACACGGAAATTACCAATGATGATATAAGTATGCCGCGAAGTTCACAATCCGCAGCAGAGACTCTCCAGGAAGCCAAGGATGAGTTGATGGCTAGACTGCAAGAAGCTACGCCTATGATGGGAGCCAATGGTGAGCAGACATACGATCTGAAGGTTAACACTGAGAGTGGGGTGGGCGAAAGTGAGAGAAGCATGGATGGCGATGCCGACAGCCTGGAAGAAGAGGAAGACGAAGACGAAGAAGACTACCGGAACCCTGGAGACCAAGAACGTGGTCTTCTCACCGATGTACCGCTAGTCCTCGGACCTACCGAGATTGAGGCATTACCAATGATCATACAAGCAGGTATTGTTGACAGCTTCGGACTGAAAGGTGGAGAACGAAATGGGGCAAAGAATATGCAAGCTGTGCGTTGTCATATATTGCTGGCACAACAAGCAGGCCGAAACGTCCTTCGAGAGCTATTGATATTCATTGCCGCTTGGGACCTACCAGACGACGAGTTCTATTTCAAGATGATGGTTCAGATCATGGAGGCAATTTTGCAGAACGGCTTGATGTCGCATGCATATTCGGATTTTGGTCAGGCCAAGGATATTATTTCGCCCGCTCAAGCGGTCGTGATTAAAATATTAACGCACATCTTTCGATCCAAATACTCGCCAGCAGCAGTTGTGGACTCTAATGGTCAAGCACGGACTCCGAGAGCCCCAGCTACTCTCACTCGGGTTGACGTTCTCACGGTTCGATACATCTTCACCGTTTTCCGCGGTAACATCGTCCCCGAGACATGCGCCTTGATCTATCTTCAAGGCCAGATCCGAGCGGGTGCTGCACTGGCCGAGGACTTTCCGTTGAATCTATGGGACATGGAGAGAGTCTATGAAGGTGTCTACCAGTTCCTCGAATTCTTCGCCGTCCTAACAGAAAGCAATGATTGGAAAGGGCTGCTCGTCGATTGGGAAATCGTCTACGACCTGGTCACACTGATTAAAGAACTCGATGCCAGCATTCCGAAAGCTGCTCTAATAACAGAACTTCCCCCTTTACAACCAACAAAGACAACCAATGGAGTAGACACGGCTTCACATGCCGCCGCTAACCCTGCAAGTCCAGCCCCTGTCGCGGTCGAACGACCTTACGACCCCACCAGCATGGACCCAGGCCTCGGGGCCTCACCAGAAGAACCCCTTCCACCCGCCGAGGGAGATGATCATACACAGTCCCCACCTCTGGGAACCGAAGACCCCGCCGAATTCGAATGGCGCAACCTGAAGAAACTCATCGTTCTCGTTCTGTCATCTCTGGTCTGGAAATCCCCGACGGTGCAAAATCAGATCCGTGAACACGGCGGTGTGGAAGTCATCCTCGGCTGCACGCAGTATGATGCGCATAACCCGTATATCAAAGAGCATGCGGTCATGTGTTTGAAGTTTTTGCTAGAGGGGAACAGGGAGAATCAGGGGTTGGTGGAGAGCTTGGAGGCGAGGGAGGTGGCGAGGGGAGGACGGGAGGATGAGGTACTGAAGGGGTTTGGGTTGGAGGCCCGGGTTGGGGAGGGCGGCAGGGTTCGATTGGTGGAGACGCAAAGGGAGAAGGAAAGGGGGGGTGGTAAGGCGAGTGGTGGGGTTCAGCAGCCTGGTCAGGGACAGGGCGGAGGGTCGAGCAAGGATCGGGAGAGGAGAAGGAGTATGGGCAGCGTGGGCACCGGGTCGAAGAGTTCTGCGGTGGATCTGGCGATCAGGGGCAGAGAGAGAGTAGTGGAGGTGGTGGAGGATACATGAATAGAAGGAGTTGGTGTGTGGAGCCCTGTCGGATTTCGATGGAGAGATCTTCCCGCATCGTGCATGACTCGATATGTCACAGAGAACGGTGACCATCCTCGGCAGTAATGCAGCGAAACCACAGAGCCAATATAAAGATCCAGTCCCAAACTCCATGCTCCAGCCTCCAATATCACCTGAACGGAACGCACCACCGACTAACTATCTACATCCAATAGCATCCAGGCCGGGAGTGAACGTCGATCACCATCTTTACGTTACGGTTACCGACTCCACACCAGCCCTCGCACTGGCAGTTTTTGCTGCTTTGAATCTGACCCGGGAGCTAGGATTTGGTTTCTGCGTCTCCCCCTCCCCCCTTGATTCTGGCTTCTTTTATCTTATGAATTCGACGGCCGTAAGTTACATAATAACGCTGGACGTGGAGAAAAGCAAGGAGCGGTAATGAGGTTCTAACAAGCAATGTTACCGAGTCGTTCACCAGAAAGTAACCAATGTAAGTTAGGCCAAGATTAGAGCGTCATTAGAACACTCTAGCAAAACTTTAGCGACATCGGGCCTCCTGAAGCACCCGTCATAACGTACCCAACAGCCAATGCACCAAAATTACTTGGCGTTTTGGGTCTCGGAGCATATATTTCTATTATTCGGACGTTGCTGGTCCTATTTCGGAAGATAGAATTGAAAGAAAACTGTTCCAGAAACAATACATCGAAAGCCCACTGCCCTCAGATGACTATTCGTCAATGGCGGCGAGCTGAAATTGGTATGAACGGAGATATCGGCCCTAAAAATCGTGCATATGGGGTTGTAGTGCATGAGACAGTTGGGTACGTTACCAAGGCCAGCTCCAGTCCGAAGGTCCCTCCACGCCCTTCTTTAGGCGCGTTAACCTGTTAGGCGCTTTCCTGAGTCCTGACCACCCGACCTCGTCTAAAACTGCTTCAACCAGCCAGCACATCGATCCTTACTCCGTCTCGGAAAACACGGGCGTATCCTGACCGATACCGCAATGGCGGTGAAGGAAAGGTAATGGACACCAGTACTTAATGCCAAGTTCGGAAGCCATGCAGGCACGGTGAAGATGAGGCGTGTAGTCCTAGAAGACGAGATTTCAAGGAGGAGCAGCCAAGTCCGAGGAAGATAAGAGTGGAGGAGGCCAAGATTTGCTTTGGCAAAGTTTTAAGGGCTTGGGAAAGATCATCTTGTCGGCGGTATTCATGTAGTTACTAGTTAGTGGATCACATTGAGCATCTTACAATCGGAACAGATTGATGAACAACAGCACCCCTACTCCACAGGTTTTCAGTTTCAGGGCTTAAGTGGTTCAGAAGCCGTAATGCGATATTACTCCCCCCCTGTTCCGCTACATTCCGCTCCGCTCCATATCTATCACAGGCGGTACTCATGTCGAGAGACATAACGTGCAAAGAATCTCTGTGCAGCCCTTTTAGGTCGGAGGCTCCCAAGTAAACCCGTCACTCCTGGCTGACGCCATTATGCACGAACGAAGCCTCGTTGGAAGGATCCAATATCGGACGCAGTACTTCGCTGGTCAGTGGAACATCTCCACTGATGAATCCGGCCCCAGAAAAGACCCTGTGCGCTTGGTTGGACATTCTCCGTGTCAACAAGCAGAGCTCATGTCCTTTTATGCAGAGAACTGCGTTGTAGAAACACATCTCACCTGCTTTGCTGGACTTGGAGATACATGCCCAATATTCTCACTTCAGCTTCACTTCCGCTGGCGCCATCTTTGCAAGAAGTATGATTTTGAAGGAGTCATAAGTCACAGCCGTGAGCCCGACAAAACACTTTCATTATTTGCTATAAAGTCGTATCATTCCCAACTCTTGCAGGATTCATGACCACCTTGTTCTCCTCTTCTCGACCACGTTGCGAAGCATCTCCATGTTTAAGTAGGACTTGCACCCAGACGTTTTAGCTGTAACTCGCCGCTGCACAAGCGACTGGATTTAAGTCGATCTCCGGTTTCCAATATACTAGACGTGAATCCTAAGAATTTATGACACAAGGACGAGGGGCTCGGGTTTGTTTGCATATCAGTCAGTTATTCAGTTGGTCTTCTGGGACGTTATTCAGGGCGACATACTTTCAGCACGGGAAGCAGCATCAGACCTTCGTAGGAACAAGATGGATAACGGACGGGGCTGAGAGACAGTCGGTCTTCTCTTCGTTGATTGATTGATTAAATGCTCGTTCCTTGGATTTCTGGCTCGAGTTCGGTGTGCTAATCACATTGCATGGCATTGTGTGGCATTGTATCATATTGTACCGGCTTAGTGGTTTGCATTTATGGAAGAAGAACTAGTTACTCGCTCAGAGCACCCGCTCGTTCGCTGGTTATGCCTCTCTCCCTCGCTCCCCGTAGACTCTCTGTTCAACAGTCACAATCTCCCATGCCTAGCCCTAAAAATCGACACCTTATCATCATAAAACAAAATCTCCCTCAACTTAAAAACCTTCGCCATCTTACTCCGGGTATATCTACCATTCTCACTCCGCTCGTCATCATCCACGTCCGAGTCGCCCTCCTCCCTTGCGGAACCAATTTCCGAACCCCCATCCTCGCCAATACCACCATGGTCAGAAGAGGTATGGTGATGTTGGTGTGCCCCATCAGCATCGTCACTATCATCATCCGACCCACCGCCATTAATACCGCTGCCGTGCGAAGCAGATGCAAGATCCGAAACCGAAGGTTTATGGCCCGCCGCATACTCCAGGATCTCAAAGCATTTCGTCTGAATCCCTAGATAGCAGAGCTCCAACTCTGGTCTCAGAGCAACCACGTCCACTATCTGCAGGGCCAGCTCCCTCGAGTCCAAATTTCTGCCATGGACATGCTCAGAGACGTGTGGGATATGCAGGGAACGGAGATGGGGTATACAGGGCAGTCGTTGAAGGAAGAAATGCCAATCTTTGTAGTCGATCGCTACGGCTAGTTCGCGGAGACACGACATGCGGCCACTGAGGATAAAAGTAAGGACTTCACGGTTTAGAGTCCAGCGCCGGTTGCGGCTGCTGGGGCCTCCTCCTCCGGCTGCGACGGCGCCGTCATCATCGGTGCGGTCGCCGCTCCCGATCAGAAGTTTTCTGAGGCTGGCTCGGTGTCGACGGAGCGGCCCGCGGTAAATTTGGTCGATGGTGACGTTCGAGGGATACATTTTGTTTTCTTGAAGGAACAGCCATTCTAGACTGTCTGGGGCCAGGGTGTCTCTGATGAAGTTAATAAGGGAGTAGGAAACGCAATCTGTATGCAGGCGTTTAAGCTTTAGTGGATAGTCTTGTGGTGGGAAGGCAAATTTTGGAGTAGAGGGTGTCCTCGGAGATTTCAAGGATGTTTTGGTCGATGCTGTTGGCATGCCAAATTCGGTCTGCGGACTGAACTTTTTACGTAATGCTCCCCATAGCTTTTCATGCTGACGGCACCCTAAGATGGTAAGCGATGTTAGACCAGTCCATTCTATTGATCTTGAAAGTACTGGAATCGAAATTGAAACCCGTTCAAGCTCAAGGACATCCAATTTCAGCTTGAGAGGTGACAATGAAGCTTTTCGACTTGATTCAGCATTACAATCCCGCTTTGATGAGTCGAGGATACTCTGGCTGGCAAGCGAGTCTGTGAGCTCTTGCATCTTGATGTCAAAGTTGACGACAGGTGTGCTAGAATTTTCAAGAGTCTCTTTGATGGTTGATATATTTTGGAATATGGACGGATCATGCGTTTCCTGCACTTTGCTAGCGAAGTCTAGACCTTTAGATGGGATGCCTGTAGATTGGGATGAGGTGGTTTGCAATGGTCTTGTCTCGTTTGTGGTTCGAGCATCCTCATTGGTGGTTTCGATGGAGTCGACGATAGAATTTCCACTGAAGGTTTCATTCAGTCCTCCCAGCAGAATCCCCAGTAATCCGCCTGGAGAGGAAGATGCATTATCTGTTGTTGGCGGCCCTACATGGATCTTGTCCTCTGGAAGACTTGCCCAAGTATCGTATTGGGCGTGCTGAGCGAGGCCAACCCTCAGCTCACGCAACCGAAGGAATGACCGCTCAATGAGAATGCTCATCTCCTGCACGTAGGGCAACTCATCGATGTCAAGAACGCTAAGGCTTTTCAGCGGTGATAGAATTGAAAAAGTAGGAAATTCAACGCGAGGATATGGTGGAATCTGGAACAGTGACGCTGGTAGGCTTGTGGGAGCGAGAGGGTTGCCGCTTTGGGAATTGTGAGGGATCAAAGTGGGATTTCCTGGAGGAGAACTGGCTTCAGAGTTGTCATGCCACCGCACCCATACTCGCTCCAGTCGAGATTCGTGTCCATCGTCTCGATCTGCCAACGAGCCTAGCGCGAGCCAAACGTCACGGAGGACGCCTGTCGGCATATCCCAGATAAATGTCTCCAAATTCCTCATTCGGCCAACTGCGAGAGCGACAAGTGTACCCAGCATCTTTCCTCCTTCCTTTGTGATAAGATATTCCTGAACCCAATCCGCTGGTCCATTGCCCAATGAGAATTTGCGAGTGTATTGTGCGAAATCGTTACCCCGTCTGGTTTTCTGCCATCTCGAGGCCGGCCTGGCAGGATGAGGGCACTGATCGAGGCGTCCGCACTGACTGCATCTGTGAATGTGATGATGCGAATATTTTTGATTGGGAGCCTCTCCGAAGACGTCCCTTGCCATGACCAGAGTTGCCAGGCCATATGTCAAAGCATCGACTCCTGTCCGATTGTCAGTGGTCGTGTGACCGTCTGGCCACACGATATCGAATCTCGAATATATCTGAGGTATTGCGAGAGCATGCAGAGCCGAGTGAGAGAGTGCAAGGGAAGTCAGATCGTTCGTATGCGTTACCTTTTGAAAGACTTTAGCGACGCCTAATGACAGAATACAATAGCTTACTTCTCGGATGATCACCTTCAGAACGTCCACTGGTAGATCTAGTAAATTGAGCGGAGCACTCTTGGTAACGGCTGCCCATTCCGCTTCTCTCTCGCCTAAGAGTTTTGACATCACCCGCTTGGTATTCCGGCAGATCGGATCTGAATGAGGAGTATCTTCTTCTGTCAGTCCAAGGGGGAACTCCATAATGAAGGATATTCTGAATGACCGAACACTTCGTGAAGCGTAAGGAGACTGGGAAAAGCGGGGGACTGGTCAACCAGTTCGCCCCAAAGGCTTACCAGCCTTCTGCGTATTTGAGGCGAGGCGGATGCAATATGACTTGCACACGCAGGGGCTGGGGTCAACAAGGTGGAATGGTTGTGCTCATGACAGTGGAGCCTTCTTCTTCTACTACTTAGTGTACGTCCTTTTTATTCTCCGTGTGTTGCTAGTGCAGTATACAGGTAGAAAGAGCTCAGTATCGAGTAGGCATTCACTCGTTCGTTGGTTCCGAGTGGTTATGTAGTGACTAGTGGACACAGCGCTCGACGGTCCCGCAGCAACGCCCGAGCTAACTAAGTTAACTTACAGGGCTGACTGATTATGTAAGATTTAATCAGGAAAGGAATGATCCGCAGCAATTTCTTTGTTGAAGGCTGAGAACATAGACATCTCATCCTCCAGCTCTACACCATACCACTACCAAAGAATATAATCAGGATGAAGTATGTGTTCGCAAAAGAGTCTAGCAGGACTGTAGTCACATATTGGGCGCTCAGATGGCCGACAAAGCCAAGGCTCCGATTCGTTAGAACTGGACCCACAGATAGGCCTTCCATTGGCTCTACAACTCCTTAGCTTTGCCCCATTGTCACTGCCTTATAAACGCCTCCGCCACCCATCTCAACCTCCCCATCCCTAACCATCCTTCCCAGAAAATCCTTCAACTCCTCATTACTAAAAGGAAATCCACCAGGAACTACCATACCCAACATCATGACAATCCTGGGCAGGGGCATCGCACCTTGATTCGTAAGCAGACTTAGGATAAATTGGTGGTACACCGCCATCTTCTGTTGGAGGAGGGATTCCGAGGCTGAATGTGCGGCCAGCGAGGCGGCCGTTTCAGCGGCGGCGATTGCGGCGGCTGCCGAGGAAGATGAAAGGCTACCTGATGTAGGATGGTTGGGAGTGGCTGTAGTGATGGTGCTGGTAGCATGAGCTGCGTCTGTACCATCAGGGAGTGTCTCAAGCACCTCATATGTATCTGGTGTTGTTTCTGTGAGGATGGACTTGCTAAGCCAAAGTTTGCAGGCTGAACGGACAAGAAGCGGCGACATTTCTAGCTCGGTAGCAAGGTCTTCGACAGTTCGTGATATTGACAAATTGGAGGTCGTTGCAGGGTCAGAGTCGAATGCATGGATGACGCTGGCTTCCCAGGGGGTCACTTCACCTCTGAAGCAGCGGTCCTTAAGCTCGAGCTCTATTTCCACTTGGCCAAGAGCATTAAGCCACGTCAGATTTCGCGATTGTTTGAGTGCAGAGAAGCCTTTCTCATACAGGTGTTGTTGCGCCATAATCTGCATAGGGACTTTGAAGGTTTGGTCCTGGAGAGTAGGCCAAAAGAGGTGGGAAAGAATCTTTGCATGAAGATCGGGTTGAGAAGTAGAGGAGATTTCTCTGTCTGTTTCATTCTTGGATGGCTCGAGACCCTGTTCTTGACGGATTGTCTGGTTAATGTTGATTGATTCACGTTTAATATCCCGTAGCATTACAGAACAGCTCTGAAGGACAGACTCCCCAAACCGGATCTTTAGGAGCTCTAGAACCGTGGTTTCTTGGTTGAAGTCCTTGCGGTTCTTGAGCAGTCGATCTGAAAGCATTGTTTGGAGCTCTTTCACGATAGTGTCTTTGCTTTCGAAAAGAGACATGAGGCTTCCAATTACATCAAAGTTCTTTGACTTCCTGTAGTCCGATGCTGCGTCAATGGGGTCAGGGACCCAATTCAGATTGTTCCAATCGGTATCGCCTTCGTCCTCCTTTGCATTGTCAATACCATGCTCCTTAAGCTCACTGGCAGCCTCATTCAGGACTTCGGCATCCGGCGGCAGAGGCTCGCCCTCAACATCTTCCACGTCGCTGAAAAGGCCGGTAGCAATGACTTTAACGGTGTCTTCACGATCACGTAGGTAGCGACGCACAGGCCTGGCCACTCGGTCGAGAAGAACTCCTTTCGGATCGAGTCGCCGAAATGCCCGTATTATGGATATATAGAGACGAAGAATATGAAGCGTGGAGACCCCGGGCTGAAGCAGGCGAGAAGATAAGACAGCAATAAAATTGCTTGTAAGGTATGTCCGAGTGGATGGATTCGTGATGTAGTATTTGAGGTCATCGATTCGACTTTTCGTGCTATCCCAATCCATGACAATCTCGAAAAGCTCTTCCACCCGCAACGCTCCTAGTCGAGTAAGCGCCATTTCTTGCCAGTTCTGCACATCTGAAAGATTGATCTCGGATGAGCGATCAAAGAACACCGTTTCTCCACTTCTCAGAGCATTCAAGAATTGTACGGCGTATCTTGAAAAGACATTTTCGATCCAATACCTGAGGTGAGGCAGCACACCCGACTCGTCATCGTCAATGCCTGCATACGACCAGTTGACGAACTCCGTGAGCATTTGGTCAAGAACGGCAGCGAAGATTTTGCGAGCCTTGTCACCCCCAAGGCCGACACTGCTCCATGTTTTCATGAGAGCTAAAAGCTCGTTCCGTATCTGCTTGACGTCGTTCGGCTCGACAAAGATATCGTTGGCCTCATCTAGCTCACTCATACTCACACATGATGGGTAATAGGACCTATACGTGACTTGAGGCACAGCTGGTTGCATTTCAGTGTCCAGATCGTGTTGTGGGTACGGTGAGATTTGAGCACTGAGTTCGAACTCTTCATCCCCGATGCCCAATATTTTCCTGCTACAATTGGAGAGAAACCTGGTCAGAAGGACTTCGATTTCCGTTTGCGGCAAAGCATAAGCCGCAAGTGCGTGAAGATCGCGCTGGAAGTTGCTCTTCGATAGCTTTGCTTCGAAAGACGTAAGATGGGGTAGGAGGCACTGCATGAGAGGATATATGTAGACAGACTGAATCATGTCTAGCGAGTTGCGGATTCGAAGCAGAACTTGCCCAGCATCCTCACCATAAAATTGCTGATAAGATCAGACGCGCCAGAAGGACATCTGTGTTGGACTTACTCGTAGTAGAGGGGCTTTGGAGTGTGCTAGAAAGTGCCCTCGAACATGATTTGTATACCACTCTACTAAATTTTCGTGCTCTGTTTTCTGCTCACGTGCTCGTTCCTCCTGGTGCTTCAAGATAACGTAGCGAATCGATTCAAATGCGTCTCTTGGTACCTTGTTATAGGCCGCTGCAAAAGCGTCGAGATCTCGTCGATCTCTTCGCTCCACAAAGTCTCTTTCAGGAAGGGTCAGAAACGAAGTGGCTGCATGCCACGCTCTGTCCCATATGACGTGTTCCGGGTACGTAGTTAAAGCTTCTGGTGCTGGACGTAAAGTAGGCGAGAATATGGGATCCCTAACTGATCGATCAAATTCGGTCTGGCTAAGCACTGGCGTAGGGGCAAGGTCCTTCAGACACGATGATGGGAAGACAGAATCGAAGACCCTTTTTCGCCCCGCCATAGTCGCAGGCATTTTGATGATAATTACATGATTGGGCTCTTCTCATAAGAAAGAAAAATACCCATATTCATTACTGTACTTTCAAGCACAGCAAAGGCTGTCAACTGGTGTAAGAAATACTTATAGTTGTTCATGTATGGAGCGGCTCAAATAAGTTGCCAGGGAACATTGCCAAGACGTTCCTATCAAGGGGTGATTGTGTAAGTTTGTTACCATAATGATACACCACAGCGAATGCTCAAGATGGATGAAATAGCTACACATTCAGCCGGTGATTCAGATTAAGAATGACTACAATGGCTGTTTGAGAGCTTCTGTGCCGCGTGGTATGCTATTCTGCAAGAAATGTGCACAGCAAAGAGCCTAGCGCTACATGCGCCTTTTGGCGACCCAACATCCCATCATTAAGCTCCAGATAATGCCATGATACATAGCCTGAACGTCTTGCTAAGTATATCTGGCATGAACGGAACATCCCTTCCAGTCCAATCAATACATGACGGAAGAGTGTTGGCATCACATAGCGTCTTCAAAATCCTCCTCCTCGTCTGACTCGTCCTTCTTTACTGTCATCAAACCAGCCTTGTCACCACCATTGGCAGCTTCAACGCTGTTTTCAAACTTAACCCTCTTGATCTCCCTCTCGCTGCCGTCGTTTGCCGAAGGAGTACCAGCAGCAGGCGTGTTGGCGTCCGAGGAAGGTCCTGAATCGGAGTCGAACTCCCGCTTTACTCCATTTGTAGTCATAGGCGGTTGTTGCCATTGCTGAGATGACGAGGCCGGCGTTGTAGTCCCAGGTAATGGCGTGCCCACACCAGTCGAAAGAACATCTTCAAAAGAATCCTCATCTCCCTCATCGGACTCCAGATCTTCTTCAGCAGCTCTTCGCTCCGCTTCCTCCTTTTCCCGTTGCATTTCTGCGCGGTAAGCGGCGAGGTCATCCTGCTCGTCAACGATTGGCTTCTTCTCATCAATATCCTCTTCCTTCTTTAGTATTCCGCCGTTCGCTAGCGCATCTTCAGCCTTCACAACTCCATCACTAACACCAGACACCGTGCTCTGCGTATGCCAGACAGGGAGCATATTCTGCTTCGCCAATGCTGCCTTCTTCGCCTCCCGCCTTGCTTCATCGGCTGCATCATGGTCTTCTCCACTGGTCAGATTAATACCCAAACTTTCTGCTTTGATCTTCTCCGGCCCCGTCCTGCCTGCCTTGGCAACCTTGATGGACCCTGGTACGTCAACGTACTCTCTCCTCGCATGCTGACCTCGTTCTCGAGGAACTTCTTTCTTATTCTCCCATGCCGTGTCGAAATCATTCTCGGGGATTTGTAGGCGATCAACCTGTTGCATCAATGAGAGGATCTTGCTCAGTTGGTCCATAAGCCGAGAGTGCTTCTCGTGCCCGACCATGCCCGCAGCATCTTTAGCCTGCGGGGTTTTTTCAAGGGTGGTCCCGCACTTCTCGCAGGCAAATCCTTCGTCGTTGACATGAAAAGTAAGCACCTGAAAGGCGTCATATTCTGACTTGCATCGCGGACAACGCCAATCCTTGCGCTCTGTCTCGGGCTTATAAAGGTCCTTGATTCTGTCAGTAAGTTTCGTGATGCGGTATTTGATCGCGTCGATAGCCGGGTGGAAAGGAATGTAGTAGTAGTCCCGAGATGCGCCGCGTGTCTGACCAACTTTGGCTTCTACCTTCGAATGGCTGTCGAGAAGTTGAGCTTTCCTCAGAGGTGCTACAAGTTTGCGAATCTCTTTTTGCTGAGTGGAAAGAAGGATATTGAGGTCGTCAGCGTGGAGGACAGAGTGGATGAGCAGCGCATCGATGATGAGAATTTGTTTTGGATTGGAGTAGAACGAGCGCACAACCGTACGAATGAGTGTCTTTGCCGCATCCATACTACGCGATCTTACGGCTAAGCTGTAGAGGACGGTATGGAAGGTTTCGGAGGTTGTAGCCTAAGGACAAAGGCTAGGTTAAGTTCTGAATCAAGATGTGACGGTAGGGGGAGCCGGAGGAATGTTCAGTCAGGCTAAAACGAAAGGAGGCGACATCCTCTACCTCGAGAAAGCAGTGAAGCTGTCGAAGCTGGAGGATGTAGAATACTGGGGTGTTCAAGAGAAGTGAATCAGATGCGGGATCTGAGTCAGATTACGCTCATTGCCGCAGATCTTGTGCTTACTGTACAGTATTCGGCCCTGCGATCTTACAGTACCGCTGTACTAGTTGATTAGTACTAATTAGTTAGTATTTAGTTCGTAACAAACTCCGTAGTAAGTAGCTGCCATAAAGCTTAGGTCTACGAACATCAAGCTCCAACTCCCGCAGTCGAAATACCTACCACGCAAAAGAAGTGCCGATACAGCTCACCAAACAATAATGTTGTACAACAATACAAGCCAGTACAGAAGCTACTCCACAGAACCAACCACCTAACCAAAGACCACTTACCTTACCACCAACGGAAATATACCCTCCTTGAAAATCCAACCCAATCTTTATGTGTATTCCTCCGTGCCCACCTAACATTTCAACTAAATCTAGCCACCCAAACAAGCAAGCAAGCGACCCGCCCAAATACTGGCCCAGCAGCACTTGTCCCATCCCAGGCACCTCACCCATCACTCATGACAGAATCACAATCAATCGTCGCAAGGTAAAACTCATAGACAGCCCGCTGAACACAGTCAAGGCAAAGACCGATCAGGGGTGGTTTCTCAATCCAGCGATCAACGCACATCCGACCCTCCTTACATTCTCTGCAGATAGCGACCTCGACGGTCTTCTGGTGTCTGCAGGAGGTGTAGTGTTGGATATAGAGTTTGCACATGGTGATGGACTGAGTTGGGCCGGGCTAACCGAGAGGATTTGCTGGTAGGCAGTTGGGACTTGCTTATCCTGCTGGTCGAGAAATAAGGTTCTGCAGGCCAGAATTGGGTTCAAGGGTTAGACTCGATATCTTTTATGTTGAAAGGTGTATAATGCGGCTGGACAAAGGGTAGTTTAGACAAAAGGCAAGCAGTTGTGACAATGGAGAGATGTAGGAGCACGGTTGAGAGATAAAGAGAATAATGTGTTGAATTGTTAGAAAATAATGACAATGCACAGGATTGTTTGTTTGCAACGAGCACGTCCTTGTATACCAACCAGGTGGACGCTTATGTAGCAGATTGAGACGAGTCCTGTCTTCAGCATCAAGCAGTGCTTAGCGGGGACGAGGTGCATAATTGCAGTCGCTGTCAAGCGCAGGATGAAGCATTTGTGGCACTACGTCCGATGACAGTGTGAGCAGAATCGGCCAAATTCAGGTAGTAAACTTGTCTGTCATATAAAATGGTCAACCATTTAAACCGCACACCCTTCCAACAAAGCCGCTCAAACCACCAGTAGCAGGCACGAATCCACCCGTGATTGGGCCAACAGATGCTGCATTCGGCACAACAAGAACCCTATCACCCAGCCTCATCCATTCCAAGCTGCTCAGAAAGCTGAACTTGATCTTAATTTCCTTGCCTTCCTGGGCATTCTGATCGTCCCCATCGAAGGCGAAGACGCCGCTGTCATCCCTGCTGGACGGTTCCGTATCGTCATCATGTTCAGCCAGGGCCACAGATGTCACTTTCACAGGACTCCTTGTCGAGTTGGCGTAGATCGTTGCATGACCACCCAAGATCAGAGGTGGAGAATTTGCAGCCCAGAAGTCTGAAGCTGGGAATGAAGCTGAGAACGAGCGGTAAGCGCTGGGTTCACCACCTTCAAAAGACGCTAAGATCATTCCTTTCCGAGCGCGGCGGAGATCACAGCTTGATGGAGCGACACTGCTGATAGGCTCAACGCCAATAGTCCCGATTTGGCCAGCTAATAGGGACCGCGTAGGAAGGCGAAGATTCCGCAGTGAGACAACGCGAACATCGTGCCACAATGCAGCAACCGTAGGTTCCTTTGCTTTGTTCATCGAGGAGGGTCCAGGTGCAGGTATTGATTTTGAGTAAAGATGCGATGGTGGCCTTCCATTGATAGTCGAGCTCGGAAACGAGATGGAGCGGTGCAAAGAGGTGTCCTGTTGTGTGGACTCGTGAATTGTCTCAACCAGGAATGGGCCAAGTTTCAAGCTGTCTCCTATGTGGATTGAGTTCGATAGCACAAAGCCGCAGAGGACGGTACCTTGGCCAGCCTCGTGGACGGCTCTCGATGCGTTGTAGACTTTCGATGGAGGCATCGCAAAGACCTCATCCACCTGGAATATCTTCGAGGACACATCGTTGTTATGATTTTGTACAAGGCTGGTCGAAGGTGCAGCTGCAATTCCTTGTGCACTTTCCTCAAGTATTGGCAATGATCTTAGGAGGCCATGTAGCTTCCCAATACCCTGAGCAGTTACTGCACTGGTCAAAACAATTGGTACCACTTCAATGCCCATTTCATCGATCAAAGTTGTCACTCTTTGGACTTCGACTTCGTCCGCTATACTAACACATTGCAAGTCCATTGGTTGATTGCTAGAACACTGACTTTGCCCTTCCAACGTGGACATCATGATAGGTTTCTTGCCAGCAGCTTTGAGAGCAGACAATAGCTTGCCCAATGTCTGGCGCAAATTCACTTTGGTCGCGATATCCATCTTAGTCATTGCCACTATCAGGGGAAGTCCAAGCTTTAAGCATAGCTCAATATGCATGAACAGGGAGTCTAAATTCGTTGCAGATTCAACTATGTTTGTCCACCCAGCTGCTGTAGGCCCCGTAAGCACATGTGCCTTCCCATCAACATCACTAGCTCCAGAATCCGCAGCGATACAAGCGATGGTCCAATGCGGTTTCCATGATACCAAAGTCCGAATAGTCGACTTCGAATATCGTGGCAGGCCCGGCGAATCTGACAAGAAGACCAAACGTTCTGCAGAGGCATGGATATCGTTCCAGGAGGACACATTCTCGGAAGCATAATTGATCACTACTGGGGGACCTTTAGTCCGCGCTGGCAAGTCGCGGGTCCCTCTTTTGTGGTAGCCGATGAGCTCCTGAGCAACAGAGCTTGTTACACCTGAAGCAATTTCGTGGGGATGTTTCAACAAGTTGAGACGACTTTTGCCGCGACCGTTGTCTAACGTGGAGGTCGCCAATGTGCCTAACAGAGAAGATTTACCTGAACTGGTAGCGCCAATCAATGATACTCTGAGCTGCACGACGTCGGACCGAGAAATGTCTGGCTCAATTGTTTCAAGGCCATGGACAGTCTCAACTGTTCTAAATTGTGCCGGGTTCGAGGTAAACGCTGGGCCCAGGGTCTGGGTGTATGTTTCTAAGTCGGGCCGCACCAGAGCCTCAGCCACCCAAAGGTTATCCACATGGTTTTGGGCAGTACTGCTATCGACTGCTTGTCTTGTATCGCTCCATTCACAATGACCGACAATGACCTTGCGAAGCACTTGCACAACACAGCCAAGACTAGCAGCCATCGTTTTCAGGTTGGCAAGGCTCTCGTCTAGCTCATCTTGTGCAAGACCCACAAAAGTACCGTCATCAGATACCCCAATTTCGTACAGTGCGCCTTGGCTTTCTTCAAGACCAGGAAGTAATGTCGCGGGTGTGCTCGAGATCCCAAGCTTGGTGGTAGTTTCGGGCAAACCTGGGATGATCGGATCTGCCATCGAGGACGAGTGAAAGGGCGATGACTGCTGTAGCCGCCATAGTAGTTGAGTTGTCAATTGCTGTAACCTTGTCTGACGGGACTGCATGGATGGTGGTTGTACAGGGTACGTTGGTGAGAGACTGTTGCTTCGCACGCCAGCTTTTGACAGGTACGCTGCTGAGTGCTGAGATCCAGAGACCTGAGTTGAGGTCGACGTTGAAGAGAAAATCCTTCGAGGGCGGAGAAGGAGATGTAACTTGTATTCGGTAGAGCCCTCCTGTGGCTCTGCTTCCAGTCTCGTTATACCTGTTTCGCTTAGATATACCGGGGAGGAGGGCCTGGCTGTCGATATCGCCTCATGCTGCTGTCCAACGTCCGCTTCGTCCACCGAAGGTTGTGGCGTCGCTCCTCGAGGTGTCGACCAAGGAGAGGACACACGCGGGGGGTTTGGGTCATATGTGAATATTGACGCCATATAGTCTGTTTACTATGAACTGGCTCCTATTCAGTCCTTTAATATCGGCCATTGATGTCTTATGAGCGCATGCGTCCGTAAAGAGAAAGTATTGGTATGCGAATAGTGTAACTGAAACAGTTGGATCACGGATTGATACATCGTTGGCAAACGTTCACTCGGGCAGTCGAATGCGGATCAAAAGCGTCAACCAGGACGTCAGAGATCTAGTGACATCTTCTTCATGGGCTGTGTAGCATGTGGTTCCTGGATGCCGTCGTTGTTGAGAGGCGGCAAGTTATGTGTAGCAGGATGAATGAACGATACTTATGTACGGAGTACGGAGTATAGCAATTTGAGTCACAACGCAGTTTGGGGAGGTCTTGGCAGCAGGAATGATGGCATTGCTGTAGCAACTTGAACTTCTGCAGCATGTGATTCAAAATGTGATTCAAATGTTGCAGAAGGCGAGCACACCTTGCAAAAGTTAAATGAATACCCCGTACGCCGTACATCTGTATATTCTAGGCCTAGCACATCGCCACCTCAGCTTCTTTTTCTAGCAACTTAGTAATGGCGGTCTGGCGGTATCCCTTCCCATATGTACTCATCTTATCTGCATAATCTATCGCCCTCAAAATCCCCAATTCGAACCACCAGACCTCAAAGAGAACCAGCCGCTATGCTGCAAAGACAAAGAAAGGAGCTGGAGGCTACGCCCTGGCAAGCCGAGTCAACCCCTTCTCGATAAATCACCACATATCGTCATCGTCATCATCCCCTTGAAGGGAAGATCCAAAATCCGAATGCTGACTGGAGGAATGATAACCCCCACCATAACCACTACCATGTAGTCCTCCGTTTTCAAGACCGTGCTTACTACCTCTCGAGCTTGGCCGACGCCCGTCGCCATCATAATCATACATTGAAGTGTCTCCATCATGGTCTTCACCTGGCCCGTACGCTGATCCTCCATAAGGTGATTTGTGCTGGTCAGTAGGCTGCTGCTGCTGCGATGTCTGTCATTAGCCAACATGCAAAACATTATGTGCTTAGTGTAAGCATACCTGTTGGTACCGCTGATATTGTGTAAACTCATCTGGCTGATCTTTACCCTGCTGTTGCTGTTTCTTCTGCTGTTTTGCACTTGTTGGCAGATTCATCTGTGGGTGCATCTGCTGAACTTTGGCCAAGTAGCTGTACATGAAATTGCTCAACAGCACTTGCGAATAGAGTGCCCTGCGTGGATTGGCAAGCTTAATGTGCGCCATGCGGTAGATTGCCCTTTCTTCTAATATCGAGAACCGCGTCCAATTGTAATCAACGTCAGGCTTCAAAGCTTTGTGGGGTGGATCGGGAGAAAGACCACGGGAAAACTTCTTATGTGCAGAATCTCGGTCGCCTTTGTGTTTCTTGCCGCCACCGAAAATGGAGGAGAACAGGCCATCTTTCTCCTTCTTGCCATCTCCTCCGGACGTCTTCCGTGCACTTTCTTTCTTGCGCTCCTCTTCTAACTTTAGGTTGTTTCTGTCAAGCACAATACTCTCCCGGCCTTTTCCTCCTTCTATAGAGTTTTGCAAAACGTCCAGACGGGTAGTATCGTGTTTCTCAGGTGGCTTGCTGATTTTGGCTTTGGGCTTGCTATGTAGGGTCTCTAGTCTTCTGTCTTTGTTCTCGCTCTCTTCCTTACCAAGCAGCCAGCCCCAGCTTGACTTTTTGGAATCGTCTTTCTTGATGTCTCTGGGTTTCCGATCGTCCCCTCTCCTCTCATCTGAAAACGTAGGTATGAAGGATAGATTGCTCGTGTTTGTGTCGTTGCCTGGTAGTGGAGACGGGTGCGAAGACATCTGCTCTAGACTCTGGTTACTTCTGGAGCCTGGAGGCATTCCTCTATTGTTGTTCAGTAGTGATGCCTGTTTCATAGTGCCGCGCTGTGGAGGAGGTGAGATAGGTCTTGCTTCCTCTCGAGAGGACGTGCGCTCAGGAAGGCGATTGTGAATTGAGGTTGAAGTAGAAGTAGAAGGAGCAGGTGATAGTGTTTGAGACAGTGGCTCTTCCTCCGCCGGGGTTTTCGGGGCCTCCAGAACAATCTGAGGGATTGTCTGATTTTCAGGTGGGATCTGCAAGCTTGATCGCCCATGAGTGCTCAATCTAGATTGCCATTGTCGCGTCTGCGGCTGAGATGGTGCACTGGATCTATCTGCTGGTTCTCCTGTGTATAGTGTCGAATCGAAAGACCGAACAGAGTCTGATTTAGTGTGTGAGCTAGAGGACGGGCTCCGACCACCAGGACGTGAAAAGTTGGTCGTTCTTGCAGGTGCTGACATTTGTTCCGTGTTCGAGCGCGAAATACCTGTATTCTGTTCGAGTTGGGACGGTGGTAGAGCCGGCACATCAGGAATGGTCGGGACTGCAGGGACATCCTCCACAGCGTCCACAGCGTCGGGTGCACCGGATCTCCCCACCCGTCTAGCATACGACAAACGTGTGGGCTGCCCTTTCGTACTGCCACGACGATACTGGGTTCTGGTAGACCGACGCAAGCTCTGGCCTGGCACAGAGGGTAGGATGACGTCCTCGCCAGGGCTGTCTGCGTTCTCGAGACTGAGTCGCTTTAGCTTCACTGCATCAGTCACAAGCGATTCCAGCTCTTCTAGGTTTGGATCTTGCGGCTGGCTCCTCGCCGACCTGGAACGTTTGCGCTCAAGCCTTTCGGCCCCATCCTGATATCCCTCCGCCCCTCGCCCATTAGAATTGTCGATCTGTCTAGAAAGCATAGACTTTTTTCTTTGTAGCCCTCCTGACGATCCCCCTTGACTACTCAAGGAGCTTGACCGCGACCACTCTCCAGAAGCCGAGGATGAGAGCTCTCCGGACCTTCGCTTGATTTGATCTGCCTTGCCCTCGAGGAAGGACTTGAACTCCATAGGCGCCAGCTCCGGATGCAGTCTTGCAGGAACCCAGAAAAGCCTCGAAGAGTCGTCTTCACTGTCAGAAGCAGAGGGTGCAGCTGGCATGCCGGCAGCATTTATGGAAGGTAGATCCGGATCCCCGGTCGCTGTCACATCCATTGACATCCTCCTCAGTGCCTGAAGGTTGCTCAGCTCTTGCGCAACAGCAGCAGGGCTTGACTCGTAGTCAATGTCGCTAAGTGGGAATTGTGTAGTTGCTGTATCTGATGGGGCCCTACCGCGAAATTCTGGGGGCGAGGAAGCCCCATTTTGTCTCTCCCAGGAATTGTTCCTGTGGGTCGCTGCCGGTCTCATCTGCCCGTTCACCGTGGGCGCCGAATGATCATTGGACATCTTCCGCCCTGTCACAGGGGGTGAGTTTTGCGGATGCCAATCAACAGTAGGAGGGGAGCGGTGGTCGAGCGTAGAGCTTAGATGAGAGGATATATGATGGTTCTGTGAGGCTGATTCTCTTCTAGTCGCGTAGTTGTTGTCGTCTTCGTACATATGCCCGAGCACTTCGGTAACATGGTGATTGTCGTCACTAATGGAAAGTTGAGGAGCATGGCCTCTCCTCGCCACGTATGGTCCCCCAGCATCTCTCGGCCGGGTAGTAGTCTGTGGAATCGCTCGTTAGCATGTTACAGCAAGACGGGTGACCAAGCTCTTTGTGCTGTTGCAAGGAGTAAGGGTAGAGCTCCTGGCACCCCTAATCAGATCACAGATCACAGATCATGATGGTGCTATCTGGAGTGTGAGACTCCACTCAAACATGGCTCTCATGCTTCGATATGATCGCAGGATCTATTCATTGAACGTACCTGCATTGTATCAGACTGTAGGCGAGGCCGGCAGTTGCCTCCTCCCTGTCACGCCTGGGGTGACGATCGAACGAACCACTAGTGATCACCTCCTTGCGCTCCAGTAAAATCCGCCAGTATGGGAGGAGACAGTCGCATCAGTCATCCGTGCTGAGACTGAACAAAGGACACAGAACTTGTGTATGTGTCTGGTCCGTTCATCTGCTGCCCGATGACGATAGCAGGCTCCAAAATTCAAGTTGTCTGGGAGCTGCGGGCAGCAGCATGAGGGCTACTGCTAAAGAGCTAAACTACAGTACTAGCTGCACGTAAGCCTGCAGTGGGCTACTTATTATCGAGGCCCGGGAGCCCGCTGTCACTCCAAATTGCCTTGCTCTCCTCCCCGTACCACGTGCCCTTGAAGTACAAGTCAGACATAGGTAGGAGTACCTCATTCGTACCAGACAGTGGCAAAAGGATCTCTGAAAGAACAGAGCACTGGCATCCTTGGATGACAGAGTTCAGGAGTCCTCTGTACGGCGATCTTCCATTTACCACGCTCAACTTCAATGTTTCGCTCGGTTACACCGCCAGGCGAGAGAGCATGACTTTCTCCCGAAGCGAGGCCGCCCCTTATTTCAAAAATCGCCCCCTATTTCATCCTTCTACACAGCAGTGCATACGCGCCAGCAGCCTAATTGATGTTATCCGCAGATTAAATGGCCGACAGCGAGTACAGGGAAACGTAAGGGCGTAATGCATACTACGCTAAAAAGGTTGGATGCAGTGTCCGTTCCAATTTTAGACTCATAATGTGTGACTGATAAAGCTCTTGGAGATCCGCTGTGATCGAACTATGAGGAATGGGCATAGAGACAGCATTTTCGTCATCGTCATTTCACGCTCGACAATCGTCACGCCAGTCATTGACCTGATGCAGCATGCGTCCAACTCTCATTGACACAGCCATACCTGATCCTGCTCGGCCATCGCTCGGTCCCCTCCGGAAATCTCTTGCTACGCCTTTTCTCATGGCTGGGACAGGTCCAATATAGTCTCATCCCCAAGGATTATCAAAGGGGTCAGATGCGCCAGCAAATCCTCCGCTCGGTTTTGCCGCGGAAGCCGTTGGTGTCTGATTATTTGAAGCAGATGTCCATCCCCCATAATCTTCATCCGCAGTAATTGACGGATTCTGTCCAGGCTTTTGAGAGGACGTTATAGGCTCTCCCCATCCACTCGATATGTCGTTGGGCGTGATATGGGTGGGAGGTTTCCCTATATCAACAGTTGGCGCTTTCGGCTTTGATGGTGCTGGCGTCGGTTCGGAAGTACCCCAAGCAGTATTGTCATGGGCAGAAGACCAAGGATCAAATATAGCGGAACTATTCTGCGACACGAGTGGAGGAGGCTTGGACGCAGCGTTGGGTTTGGGCGGCGGGGCTGGTGGTGCGGAGAGGTTGAACGCAGAGTTGAAGGTTGACGAAGGAGACGAGGAGGGAATCTTTGCGGGTTGCGGTACAGGAGGAGGATCTGCGGAGGCAAATCCAGCAAAATCATCTTCAGCAAAGTGATCCTGCGAGGTCGGCTCCTGAGGTCTTGAAGTCGAGGGAAGCGGTTGAGTAAGTGCGAAGTCGGGGCCATGGGAAGGTTTTCGTGGGGCAGGAGCTTGTGATTTTGGCTGTTCAGGTTTCCTTGAGGGTAGGCTATCAAAAAACCCTCCACCAACCAAAGGCGGCGGAGATGATAGTTGCGGCGCCGAGGGAGCAGACTTGACGGGTGCGGATGCTGCAAATGCACCTGTGGCAGAGAAAGAAGACTTAGCCTGCTGCCGCGGTCGAGATGATGCTGTGACCTCAGGGTTGGCAAAACTCAGACCACCAAAGGCATCTGCAAGCCCTCCAAATGCGTCCTGTGGTTGTTTTATTGGTGGTGCTGTACCACCAAAAGAAGGTTGCCGATTGTGCGGTTGAGGTTGGGCTTCTGCTTTGGGGGCAGAAGAATACAGAGAGAGAATGGATTGCTTGAGATCAGGCCGAGATTGACCGGTTGAGCCAACAGGATTTGAGTTGGCGCTTGAAGGGCGAGCAGGTCCCGAAGATGGTACATTGCCAAAGAAGTCGAGTCCAAGAAGCGAATCCCCCGGTTTGGTTTGTCTGGAGGTTGTGGGAATGGCGCTTTTGGGCTGTGGTCTGATACTAGCATTATCTGTCGTGCTCGGTCGCACCGGCGGAGCCAGGTTGTCCTCGTCAAATAGATCGATAGCTGGTGCAGGTCGTCGCTGAGATTGCGTCTGATTTGAGACAGCTCGTTGCTTCTCGGAAGCGGATCGCTCTATCTTTGCTTTCTCCTGCACAAGGCTCAGCGGCTGTGTTGGCATACTCAGCATTATTTACATGGCTGCAAATAGTGTTTTCCGACTCACCACATCGTCGTCCCCGTCCTCATCCAATACAGACGGATCTGGCATTGGCCCCTCCATAACCCATCTTTTTGATTCGTACTTGGTACGAATGAAGTTTTCGATCTTTCTATACCTTGCACGTCAGCGAGTCCGTATACATGAAGGCCGACCACAGCTACGTACGCCTCTGATGGCATATGCCCTGCAGCGAGTTTGGCCTCCCAGTATCTGCTTCCTGTTAGATCCATGCCGTCCAGACCGTCCAAGAAGTTGTGCACACTGACTTGTTTGCTCTTGAATTTCCCCATCTCAACACGCTTTGGAGTTGCTCATCTGTCCAAGCATCCAGCTCTACTGATTTCACCCGACTGATATGAGTACCCATTCCTCGATGGATGCCTGAGCACCGAATGCAGATAAAGACTCCAATGTTCCAGCTCGCCCATCTTGGGTCTAAAGAATATCAGTGATCTCGGGGTTTATAGGCAATCCGGATAACGTCGTACGTTTGTTCTTTTTGCAGTCTGCACAGACCTTGTTGCCTTCAAGCTTCAAGAGATTTTTAATCGTCTGCTGGTTCTCTGCGGCGCGTTCTGACCCAGCGCGGCGAGACATGGTGCCACCGCAAATATGCCGGGCTTGTAAACAATGTGTCGTCTCAGATCAGGTTCTGGACATGAGTTGATTAACTTGACAGTTTCCAAGCAGTACTAGTATCGCAGACCAGCAGGTGCGCATTGAATAATCCCATAGAACCTTGGCAACGGGCTTTCAGACGTGTAGAGCGAGTATGACAACATTCTGAGCCTCTGCAACCATTTACACTTTGCTCTAGTTAGAAAGACCTTATGACGGGATCAATTTCCAATATTCATCGGTTTACTACTATTTCTAAACTTTAGCCTTGCTCCCATCATCTACTGGGTCATCCTTAGAAAATTTCAAGCTGATGCTGTTGACGCAGTGCCTCTCATCTGTTGGTGTATTATAGCCCTCTCCTTTGAAGACATGACCGAGGTGGCCCCCACAGTTGCTACAGACAATCTCTGTCCTCTGCATGCCGAAAGTGCTGTCTGTATGTCTCGTGACTGCGCCAGGGATGGAGTCATAATATGCTGGCCAGCCACAGCCAGACTTGAATTTGTGATTGGCTTTGTAGAGTGGCGCATTGCAACCAGCGCATGTGTAGACACCCGAATCGGGCATATGTTTATCGTATTCACCTGTACCTGGAGCTTCGGTGCCTTTTTGTCGGAGGATTCTGAATTGTTCTGCGCTCAGGAGTCAGCATGAGGACATCAGATGGGATGATAGAACAATTCGCACCCTTGTTGAGCACAGCCTGCCACTCCTGATTAGTTCTTTGATCTGGATAAGTCATGTTGGCGGATGACGAGGATGAACTGAAAAGAGAGCCTAGGAATGGAATAGTGGGCATAGATCTGATAGCTGTTCCTCGTACGAAAGGCGACAACGCTCGCTGTGGTACCTGAAGCCGAGTTGCGTTTGTAAAGGTGTAAAAGGTACGAACGATAGTCGAAACTGATGGGAGACGCATTAATGTAGTTCTGGGATAGGAGACTTGCCGAGGACGAGTCGTACTTATACACCTCAATGCACAGGGCGGCACAGATGGCGAAGTACGGAGTTAGTAGTGTGAAGCATTTCAAATCATATATGTCATCTAGATCAGTCATCTTTCAACGACCAATCACGGATTTCTACCTACGTAGTACTCCTAGAACAAGCGTGACCCTACACCGGATACAGCACATCCAACAACTGTCAATTGGCTTCCTTTATATAAATTTCAAAGCCAATGCAACCGCATCGTGCTCGACATATGACCACAGGAGCTATTCAGACACATGGCGCCCAGCATTATGATATCTTAGACAACGAAATTCCAAAACAAGACGCAGACATTTCTATGAACGCCTCGCTTTGCCAGTAATCAAAATCTCCCCTTGACCCACAGTAACTTTCCAACCTTCTTTGACAAGCATACGACTGACTGCTGGACCGATTCTTGGGGTCCCATCTCTGCTATGCCGACCTATGCCTGTGACTACTCGATAACCTTCTCTTACCGGACCTCCCCCCCCACTGGCGTACTTGGTATCACCCAAATTATCCCACCAAATGGCTACCTGCTTTTTCGCGATCCGGACTGCATCGGCTACACTGACTCCATGCAGATCCAGCATACACGAGGTTGACTGGGACATAACAAGACTGTCTGCGGCGTATGCACTCAGTTCTTTTGCCGCCCTGACGTTCTCATGCGCAACATCAGCATAGTATGCTGCGGCACCCCCGATTAAGTGGTCTGACTTTCCTCGCCGGTAAGCGTTGCTTGCCTGCAAGAAGGCAGTGTTTCCAGCAGCTGCTTTGGCCGCTGCAAGGCTCTCGGCTTTCAAGTAGCTCACCTGATTCCATGGCGTTGACGACGGGGTTTTACTTGACTCAATATCAGAAGTCAAGTCGACAGGCGCATATTTGGCGATAATTGGGGATTGGCTAGCAGATATCTCCATTGGCGCTGTGATCATTGCACCAGCAAGCTCCTGAGCTGCGGAAGTCTTGTTGCCCGACATGACGAGGAGGCCATAGAGCTGCGACTCTGGTATTGAAGGAAATTCGGTGCGTAATTCTGCAAATTGAGCTTTTCCGACAGAGCTCGAAGTCTCTGCAGAGCTAAAGTTTGCGCCCTCTTGAGAGGCCAGTAAGCTGATTGTGCGAGCTAGCGACTTGTTTTGAGCGTGGTATATTGACCTGACATATTGAGTGCGAAGCACGCTCCGCGCACGGATAAACTCAACGTCGTCAGCCATTGATGCCCACACGTTGTAGGGCTCGTGTTGTGCTCCGGCATACATCGATGTAGTAGAGTTTGATCTAGTAGAGTCACTTGTGCGCAACCGCCGTTTTGCCTTTCCCTTTCGACCACGACCATGATCTTCGACTTGTGTGAAGCCATCAATCCCTTTGGGGATTGTTGACTGTCCTTCCGGCTCGCTTTGGTCGATGAACGATAGATTCAGCAATTCATCAATCGTCCTTGTAAGATTCCCGTGACACTTCTGTAGTCGATAGCATACGTTCTGCTCAGTAATGTTGGGAAACATAGCCCTCAGCCATGCGACCTTGGCTTCGTCGCCCGCATCATCCAAATCTCGACCTTCAGCAGAATCGTCGTCCCATGCAAGATCGCTCAGTCCTGTTGTGATACTCTCGACTTCCTGGGATCCTGAGAGAGTGCCATTGCAACTGGACGCCGATTCAACAGATGTTTCTAAATCTCTAGCTACGAAGCCTCCTGTTCCCGACGCATCGAAGGCCCTGGTATCCGCTTCTAATGCAGCCGCTTTTATGATCTCAAGATTTTCGAGGCAAGTACCGAGGGCTTCCTGGTTCCCCAAATCGTAATCCAAACAGATCGCATAAAAGGCAGGTTCGTCAATTGGAGGACAAAAGTCACTACGTAACTTCTGCAACCACTTAGTGACTACATGCACCCAGAATTTGAGAGTTTGCGCCACGACTTACTTCTATTATCGCTTTTGTGTCATCCATATTCGATACTTGAGCACAACTTTCTAGATCGTCTAGCGTAGTCTAGCTGCTGTAGAGTAATTTCTTGATAACATGCTTGCAATCGAACGACAAGTAAACAGCAGAGATCCGCTTCTAGATTCATGGCAATCATAGAAGAACACACTGGATTGGGTTACAAAAGAGCTGAATTGTGTGGCATACTACTAAAATTCTCCAGGTTGGCGGAATACGTCAAGAGGCATCTGGCGGCCATTGGGTCAGCGCCAAGACTATTGACGCACTCTGCTCAAATAGTAATATCTAATAGTATTGAATAGTAGTATGTCAAGGCAGCGAGGCTATCATACATCGCTCAGCAGGACTGCACACTGTATCGGTGGATAGCTTCCACTAATGGTTTCCTAGTCTCCACTTTATCAAACACCTGAGCATGATCCAGCGTTCGAAACCAGATAAGATCCCCACCTTTTCCTCTCCATTTCTGGTCCTGCCATCCTACATCGAGGTGCACGTTACAAGAGTTCCTGTCGACAGTCTTCGGAGAGGATAGCCCAGAGATACCACATCTGGTGTATGCATTCGATCTCAGATGCAAGGCGGTGGACCCTAACTCATTTTCTGATATCACTTCCATGGGAATATTGCCGTTAGTAGTATCGCATCCAGATTCCTCCTTGCGTGCTACTTTCTCTTCATTACAAGTCGCAAGATAGTTTCCAACGGCTTTGGTGTTCACAATGAGATCCCGCTCTGCAAGACTCACGGTGATAGCACGCTCACCAATATCCTGTTTCCACAGAACGTTTTCTGACCAGAAGAAGCATCGTGATAGGCTATGAGAAACGCCCATGTCCATGCTTGCGAAGTAGTAAAGCTGGTGCTCGTTTGCCCGTTGTGGCTTACGGCGAGTGAAATTGTAAGCCACGTCTGGAAGATGTAACAAGATCGAGATGGGGTCAATGAGCACGACAGGACCAATCTGATTGGCCAGTTTTGGCGATTTCAGCAGTTGGGTAGTAACAACGGTTCCATAAGAGTGCGAGACGAGGACAGGCTTATCAAATTCATGGTATTTGAGGATTGCTTGGATCTCGTCGCACATCTCGTCTTTCGTCATTGCTGAGTGTGTTATGCGGAAGCTGATCGGCATGATCTCAATTGCGATAGTCCCTACCTGGTCATCGGCGCTTCGCCCGGCATTAAGATGGGAATCTAGCTGACGAAGAAAGTTGACATAAGGGTAGAGACCAATCCCGATACCATGGACGAACACGACCGGTCTTCGGGTCCGTGACGTATGCGGGCGATGCCAGTATGTAAGTCGTGTAGCAGGAGAACGTTTGGCCATGAAAAGGGTAAACGGTCGTATGGGGAAGATCATGAAGAAGTAGGGCGATGCAGTTCGGCGAAATGCGAAGCCGTAGGCATGTAAGCGCAAGCAAGTCAAGAAGTCGACGAATCCAACACACTGCCATCATCAGGAACCGAGCAGACTGATGAGTTGTGCGAGCTTACGAAATACCACAGTATACTACGGTGAGCCATACTAACACCATCAATTGTAAGTCGTAAGCAGACAGCACTACCACGGCCATCCGGTATCTTCCTGCCCAGGAGAGCCTCGGTAGCAACCACATATTCTTCAAGCTCATCATCATCCTCCCCTGGGGGTCCATCCCTATTGAAAAAAGCCCATAGAAAGAATTCCTTGATGTTGTCTCTCTTGATTTCATCCGTCGTTGCACCCAAGAACCACTTCTTGAAATATGCTTCCGGATCAGGGATATTGCTGTTGCAGAGTTGGAACAACTCCTTCCTCTCGTTTCGTGATGGTGCTGCTGGGTGCACTGCTTCGTATTGTAGTTTCTCTCGATAGATGAAATTGACGAAGATATAGAAGACCACCTCTGCAGAGGTCCAGACTTTGAAGGGTAAGGGAGCTTCGATAGGTATTGGAGAGTCCATCACTTGAGAAGTTACCCATGCTGAGAAATAAATGATGCTTAGGGGCGCAACGCTTTGCAGGCCAATAATGCAAGCTCGAATGAAGATGTATTCGAGGAGAGAAGTTCCGATCATGCTGGACGTGCTTGTCTTCCCGTCAATCGTAGAAGTATGCGCTCTGGCATGGGCGGAAGACGAGTGCACCTTTGTAGGAAGTGCATTTGCGGCAAGGTATCAAGCTTCATTCAACCAAAACGCCTTGCACGTCAGAATTGGCTATTTCAGTGAATGCAATAAGCCCCAACAACTGATTTGGAGATGCAGCTTCCTTGGATACTGGATTTGCATGTGCTTGCCAGAATAACTCGGCACAAGGGTTGTGGGCCCAATGAATAATCGACGTGAAGAATTTTCAGAGCCAGGCCTTTGGCAAAATGAATGAGAGAGAGATTGTGCTTGAGACAGTGGGAGCAGCTCCAGTTACATTTGTTACACTGTTTCGTCATAGCAATTAGTGCATGTTCGTCATCATCGTATCTCGTATCAGACGTGCTACGTACTACCTACATTCCGCTTTTCCCTCTCTGATGCCCTGGGTGAAATGAGTACTACGTAGGAAATTTTCGTGTTAAAATCCGACGTCCTCTCAATTCTTTATCTTTGATTTCTAAGTATACTAGAGCTGCATGCTCCGCATGATACAAAGTTAACATATCGAGATTTCTAATCAACAACTTGCGTGGTGACATCGGCTACTGCTACCTAGGCAATCCGAACCAGGTGTTGCTAAATCGTTTCTCACTACGGTCAGGACGGATTCATCAATCAAGTGTGGTTCAGAAACTACTAACGATGTCCTTCTGGTGGAGTACTTGATGCACTTCTTTTTCTACTACGCCATCTATGTTTCACAAGCCGACACGTAGCGCAAGCCAGCAATCGTGAACAAGCCGCACTCTGATGTTGCTCTACTGACCATGCAGGCTGTGCAGTATGCCTCTGGACATCGAAGGCCGTGCAGCAATCGAAGCTGCTGTTGATGCTGCAGAAATTCTGCGCGCGAATGTGAGATGTGCTGCATCTCATGCTAAGCATTCGTATCATCCAATATTTGACATGCCATTGGGCCACAAGGGATGCGCAAGGTACCCTCAAGCATTGGGATCCCTGCCGTGAAAATGGCGCGGACGAATTGTCTGGATGGGATTTTAGTGGTTCGCCATTAATAGTGGTGGGTGGGCTAGCGAGCTAACGGCTTGAGTAACTATACTGGGAAGCTTCAAGAATAGGGGCAAGTGCATGAAAATAGAAGAGGCTGAACCAGGGACGCGATCAATCTCATCTCCCCCACCTGGAAGATTAAATCTGTTGGTTTCTCTACTTTACTTCTCTCTTTGAATTTCCTGTCGCAATTTTTGAGCATATTCACTCATTTGAAAAAACCTTTCGGCCTCTTGATTTTCTTGGTACCCAACAGAGTTCTACATCTTTCCTAGCACAAGAAATCCACCCACAATCCAGAATGCAATTCACTCTCTCCGCATCTGCCGTACTTGCCCTTGTGGCCTCTGCGCTTGCCCTGCAGGTCACTGCTCCTGCTGAAGGCTCGAACCTTGATCTCAGCACAGACAATACGATCAGCTGGGCTTCGGTCTCAACCGATCCAAGCACCTTCAACATCGTCCTCGTAAACAACAACGTCAATCCTCCCGTCCGTATTGAGATAGCCTCCGACGTTGAGACGTCCACTGGATCTTACGATCTCTCTTCTGTCCCCGGCGTTACTCCTGGCGAGAACTACCAAATCAATCTCGAGGGTACCTCGGCCAGCAATCAAGGCATTTTGGCACAGTCTGGACAATTCGATGTTGCTGATGCCGGTTCGTCTTCCACCTCCTCGGCATCCTTCTCGAGCTCTACCCCGTCTACCTCTGGAGTTACATCAAGTACGTTCGCATACCCTCTGATCTTCTGCATGTTTTCTGATCTGCAATTTGTATAGCTTCCACAGTCACTTCGACCATTTCTTCAAGTGGATCTATAACCACTATCACTTCGACGGGCACTTCTACCTCCACTGTCAGTGCGAGCTCCGGTTCTGCCTCTGCCTCCGGCTCTGCCTCCGGCTCTGCTTCCGGCTCTTCTTCTGGCTCTGCTTCCGGCTCTTCTTCTGGCTCTGCTTCCGGCTCTTCAAGCAGCGCGGTTGCTAGCTCTACTGGTGCCGCAAGCTCGCTCAATACCTTTGCTGGTGCTGGCGTCCTGGCCATGATTGCTGCTTTGTTTGCCTGAAACGTTCTCTCACTCGTTTGGCGGTGTGAAGAGGATGGAAGATGTTGAGGTAGATAGGCGCTGTTCATACACAGTCTGGCGTTTACAATGTGTTTCCATTTCCTATGTTATCTTCGGGTATCGGGTGTTGGAGAAGTCTAGCCTAATAACTGATCAGCAATATTGCGACACAAACTGCTGCTATAATGAAATACACTGTCTTTCGAACTACGACTTCTCTGGGGCGCCCTTTGAATACTTGAACCATTTTCACGAATCCGCCCATGCCGCTAGTACTCTGTGCTCCTGAAGCCATATCTGTTCGCAAGCAAGCAAACAGCAAGGTGGTACCCGATTTCCAGCTATCTCCTCTGAACCCTCATTCTCATAAAGATTCGACCCGCCATGATATGTTTCGCTTTTTCGCCTTCAGATCGCTCACGAAATTCCTTTACACAGACGTTACTTCAAGGTCTTGAAGCCTTTCAATTGACGATTAAATAAAGCCCAACGTGCCCACCCCATGACAAACAGGCTGAATCGACGTATCTTGCGAGGTTCGGCGTGGGAACTCCCCTTCATAGGTGACAGCGGAGTCGAGAAAGACTACGGTGGCTAAAGCGCACATGATGAAGATCTCTAAATCTTCCCTACCAATGTGGCTGGAGATCTGCCGAAAATTCGCTAGTGTCCATTTTAGGAAGCCAGGACCACCATTTTATGACGTCACTCGTCAAGAAAGTGATCTGAGTATTTGGAACTTGGCAGGTGACAATATTGTCACTTCTTCAAGCCTCTCAATATCTATACTGCCGTATACTCCCATAAACTGTATTCCCTCTCAAAATCTACATTTCCCAAACCGAACTGGTCAATTGGATGTTTCCTGATCTGTCCATTGCACTTACCTAGGTCACAACAATATCCCCCAGACTGATAGGTATGATTCTTTATAACTTGAAATCCCCTTTCCGACTAGAAGACTGACACCGATATGAGGAAGCGTTCCGGACTGAAGCCCCCGAGCTACGAATACACTATGGCTGCGCATCAGCAACATTCTGACTTGCCTTCAAGAACGAATACCAACGCTTCTGAAGAGGATGCCATCCCTGAAGGCGATCCTTCCAATACCACAGGTCTCCTTCTGGAGCGTTTACAGGCATGGAAGCACATGGTTTCATATCTCGAAGAATACATTGGCGCAGTAGGAAAAGGACAGCATTCAGAAGCCAAGGAACAAGAAAAGATCTTGAAGGTGAACCATGCCCACCCGCAATCCACAGCACATACTAACCGGTCGCACGCCCCTCAGACCCTTTCGAAACCTCTAAAGCAAGGTCATCATTTCGACCAAGAGAACCGTGGTGTTGCTGGCCTTTTCGAGAACATCCGCTCCAACACCCAAGCAATCGCAAACCTACATGATGAGACGGCCAAGAATATCTCTGGCACTGTCCTTCCCATGCTCGAACGCCTTCACAAGGAGATCAAGGCCAAGGGAAAGGAGCTAGGCTCTGGCGCTGCTAAGCAATCCAAAGCGGTGGACAAAGCTCGTAATGCAAGCCAGAAGCACATCGAGCTCCTGGGACAGTACACGGCAAATTTTGACTCGGCAGGCGGAAAGGTTGATGCAGCGCATGATCCATACGTCCTCCAACGAGGCATTTATCACCGTCTCAATCAGCAAATTCTGGAGGAGAATAACAATCGCAATGATCTTCTGACTGTCCAAAACAGTTTCCAGCAATTTGAAGCGCATGTCCTCACCATCGTACAGAATGCTCTGGGGTCCTTCTCCCAGTTCATGGGTGGACAAGCTGAGAGGCACAGAGCTATGTACGGAGACATGGCCTCGACTGCACAAAAAGTTCCTCTTGATTTCGAGTGGCGCGGATTTATCAAGCGCAATGAGAACCTACTCATTAACCCCGACGCTCCACCAAGAAGCATGAGCAACATCACCTTCCCCAACCAAGGCCACCGAGCTACAAAACCCGTGATCGAAGGCTCACTAGAACGCAAATCACATGGCATCGGTGCATTGACAGGTTACAAAACCGGCTACTACGCCCTCACACCAGCCGGTTACCTCCACGAATTCAAAGACAACAACGACTTCCAAAAGGATCCTATTCCAGAACTATCTTTGTACCTGCCAGATTGCAGCATTGGCGGTGTCGATGGCGTCAAATTCCACATCAAAGGCAAAGACGTGTCTGGCGGCAAGCTCACCTCAAAGATGCATCTGAGTTCCGAGTACCAATTCAAAGCGCACACGCCTGCCGACGCTCAGCAGTGGCATAGCATTATTATGTCTCAGGCTGGCAAGACTACCGACTCGGTGCCTGCTTCGCCTATGGAGAGCAGGGTGGGAGGTGGCGGTGTTGCTGCTGCACAGGAGCCCGGCAGCATCGGCACGAATGTCCAGCAGCAGCAGCAAAGCATATCTGGTACGGGCGCTACGCCAACGAGTGCTGCTGCAGGGGATAAAATGATGAGCCCGACAGAGAACACGGGATACATACAAGATACTTTTCCACAGCAAAGCGCTGGCGCAACGGGCCCAGGTAGTCATTTCTATGGCACTCCTGCTACTAATGAGATGGAAGAACGAAAATATTAAGGACAATCGGATGCTGTGTCTAATCATCGAATTTGCATAGGGACTAAGGATTCTCAAACCCCTTCTTGTTCCACTACAAATTGGCTTGATTATCTGTATACCTATTGGGGCATCGTAACTGCGAATTATCTTTCCGCGAACTTGATACGAATGTGTTCTCGTCGCCTCGAAGTTTAATCACTGCATAGCCGTCAATTAGTAAAGATACCTAAATAGTACTGATTGATTGAGTGATTCTATAATTCCGGTCCTTTACCGGCCCTACGTATTACGAGCTCAGTCACTTCGTCCCAGGCCCTTCACAATAAACGATAATGAAGATATTATCTGGTCTACAATCTAATCCCAAGGCAAGAACTTGTCTGAAGGATTGTTAGAAGGAGTGTAGTGCCCCTCGCCGAAACAGCACTTCAACAATCCGAGCCAATTGACAACGGCAGTTGAAAGGTTTCTGCTTTGCCAAAAATGTCACAGTTTGTGGCCGTCACGCTCGCTCCCACGCAGGCGGGTAAAAGATTGGATTGGATTGGCAGTAGATTCTGCTGCCGAGGCCCCCAAACCACTGGCGCCCAGCCTTATGCAGTACTTTATCGCTGCACCTCTTGGCATCCCTGACATGACCATCGTGGCGTTGTGCGTAATAAGGGAAAAGTTGTATCGACCACGAAACTTAATCCAAGAAGTGAGGAGACAACCAAGGTGCACTGGGGCCCTCCACCGTAATAGGATCTGGATGGTTATTGATCCCAGCCCGGACTTCTTCCGTGGTGGTCCAACTGGCTGGTAACCACGTTTTTGTGTTGCGGGAGCAATCTGACAGTATCCATCATGCCACTCGCTGCTGCGTAGGAAAGAGGTGTCTGTCCATCGAAACTTTCGGTTCGATGTCGATATCGGATCTTCGCAGCAAGCACCTCACGATATCTGTCATTCCGGAGCTCGCGGCCCAGGCCAGGACAGGTCTTCCCAGACGTCGTGTCACGTCGGTTCACATCCACGTGTGGAGATTTCGACAAGACCTGTACCGACTGAGATAGCCTGAGATATCCACGGCCCATGCCAGCGGGGATCAGCCGTACTCATCTGGAACATCAATCGCCCGGGGAAATTTCCCAACAAGATATTCAAGAACACTCTCCTCGCTACCCTAGGTGTATGCGGTGGCCTTGAGACTGTTTGCAGCCCACGAAACAGCGTTGCGACCAGTCACGTCTGTGCTTGCAGCGTCGCCATTTCTGCGATGTAGGATTCTGACTACGGGTAAGTGGCCTTGTTGCGATACCAGAGATAAAGCATTACGCCTAAAGTGGTCCTTGAAGTGGACATTAATTGTGGGAAATGCGAGCAGCTCCTTCGGCGTTCGTACATGACCTGCGTGGCTGACATGATGTAGCGCAGTCTGATCTTTGTGGTCGACATCATTGACGCTGGCAGGACAGATCTCACGCGAAATTTGAACACATGCTTCTGAGCCCTTGCGAGCCGCCGCCATCAATGCAGTTCGACCCTTGGCATCGACTTGGTCAAGTTGAATTGATCTGTGTAGGAGCAGTCGACGCAATACTTGTGCATAGTCTGCTTCCGCAGTAAGAACCAATGCAAGGTTTCCATAATTGTCTAGCTCATTCAGATCCACATCGTGGGCTCCCAGGAGCAGATCACAGATTTTTTTGAAATTGCCTTATGTCGCAATAGCTAGTGGCACTTTGTGAGTATCTTTACATAATGCAAGCACGCTGTATTTGAGCAACAGGCTCACAGGTCCATAACTACCACGCGAAGCACTCCAAAAGAGGGCAGAAATCGCAATTCCCCAAGATCAAACAGAGTTTCAAACATGTCCTCGTCATTTACACATTGCCGGGTGGAAACAGGGCTGTCAGTTTCTGAAGAGGTTGAACTGAACCTTTCGGCGTTGAAGAGGTTGGCCGGAATGGCCTGATCTAGGAGGTATGTCATGCACGATCTGGCACAAAGGAAACGCGCTTCAGCAAGATCGTACCATGGCTTTTTTGGAGGGGGTGGTGGGGCTCTTGAGCGATGAGGACGAAGAATTCTTTGGCCGTGGAGTGGATAAACTGTGCTGTACGATTTGGAAATTGATCAGAGGTCCCAAAGACCAGTCAGCGGCGTAATGATCTAAAAATGGTGACTGAAGAAGGGAAGAACTATCAGAAACCGGAGACGACGCTCACTCAACGATGCTCGATTCGGAAGTATACAACGTCTTGATGCCAGCAGAAAAGCTCTTTGCAACAGATAGACTTTGCTCCTGCGGGACAACGACCTGGGGAGCCTCATTGTCCGCCTCACTGGCTTCTCTCGCCGCCTGCCGTACGCGAGGATCCCCCTCGAAGAGGTGTCGCATTATCGGTCTGTCACACAAGTGAAGAAGCTAAACAGTTTGCAGAATGTGAACGCCATATTTCTCTCCAATTCGTCTGACTGCCAAGTTCTTCGTTTGGAGCTGAGAATAGATCCGGCGTGTGATTTGCGGCTCCCTGGTCAATCAAGCGCTTTGCCGGTCTAGTCAATCAACCTAGGCTCGGGACGTAACGTGACCGTACCCGCAACGTAATAAAATATCTTGGTATTTTCAATCTTTCTCGCACTTTCAAGCCATCACTAGAATAGTAAGTATGGGGCATAAGTATTCGTAGCATGTTGCTCAGAACACCTAATACAGTGGCTAGCGAAATTAGCTTCCCGCCAAACCGCCATTTTTGATTCTCTCTTCGCGCTGTGAGGCCTTGGCACTACATTCTGTGTATATATTTCATCTTTCTGCAGGATCTATCTTAGACTCCTAAGCATCACACATCTAGCATATCATATCATACAGCATTCTGCTCCACAGGCGCCCTGCTAGATGTGCCTATCTCTAAGCTACTAGTAGTGCAGATATGGATAAGCGCCAAGCCATTAATGAACCGTTCAAACGTGGTCTAAACGTTACATTCTAGTATCAAATACGGACGTATTATTTCATGTGTATCACATCTAACCAGACATTAAGTGCCTATCCACTCCGCGGGCAAGCAGGGGGTTGGAATGCCTCAATTAGCGCTGTTGATCCTATTGATTTGATGTTGCCGCAAGTCTTGCATATCAACGTCTTTACGCATCTTCTTCGAGAGAGGACATCATCAAGAGTAGGCTGATCCAGATATTCTTAGATTATATATCCTAGATGCCTGCTTCTTGAGAGGTTGTTGTGCGAAGTTTTCCAGGTAATCTCATTGGAGCTTGATTTTTGCGATATACCCTAATTGAGGCATTGCCCGCGGGGTGGATTGCTCAGCCTTAGTTAGTTCCATCTTCTCTCTCAATGTTCTGGGGATTGCTCTTTCATCCGGTTCTTGCTTGATGTGCACTGTTTATTCGTAGCCTTTCACGATATCACCACCAATGTCTTATGTGCTCGCAAATGCTTCACGGCTGAGGCCCGATATTCGCCTTGCGCAGGCTGTTTCGCAGTTCGAAGCGGACCTCTCGAGCGAGCAGAAAAACAGCTTTCGTACCTATAGATCACAATCGTGCGATTCCCCTCCAGATCCTAGCGATGTCATGCGACTTACAGCCGAGATTGACTGTCGCGTATCTGGAAAGGTCGGCGGCGGGCGTTGCTTTGGACCACGGCTGACCAATTTCCTACAAGGCGTTCAGCAGTTCGCTGCACTTGGGGATATCATCGTGGGCGGCTCTCAGAACCTAATTGCATGTGGTGTCTGGTCGCTGGTGCGAATGTCGTTGCTCGTTGGTGTTTCTTGACCTCCTTGGCTGTGTTCTCTGCTAATATCTTCGTAGTTGATTGTAAATTTCTCTTCCTACCTCGAAAAGTTGTCAACTCTCCTTATGACCGTCGGTCGCTCAGCCCCGCGTTACCAAAGAATGGCCTTGCTCTATTCCAGATCCAAGGATCTACAATCGCATCTGTCTGAATATTTCATTGTAGTCGTTCGTCTTTGTCATCAGCTGTTGAAGTTCACACAGAAGTCAATGTTTGGGCAAATTGCATCTACTCTGAGCGACTCCGACATGAAAACCTACCAATCGGACCTCGACCTCTGGGCGAAGATGATTAAAGGGGAGGTGAACCTGCTGATGGCTAAGAAGATTGAGGAGGAAGCCGAAGAGAACTCCCGGTTCAGAGCTCTTTCGAGCAAGGTTTCCAAATCTGTATCGCTTCGGCAAAAGATTAAGACAAACCTATTTGTTCTCAATAGTTGTTCCATGTACGATTATGAGGCAACGTGGAAACAGATTCGGAAGGTCGGAAACGCAACTCTATTCAATCGGACTGCTGAATACCAGGACTGGAAAGGGCGAACAGATTCCTGTACACTTATGTATACAGGCAAGCTAGGATCCGGTAAGTCTGTTTCGCTGGCCAATATTGTTGATGATCTAAATCTTCATGTTCGAAAGAAGGATATTGTGGTGGCATATTTCTTTTGTCGGCACGACGTTTCCGAAAGCTTGAAAGCGCGGACAGTGCTCGGTTCCTTGGCTCGACAGTTGCTGCTCTCAGTTCCAGACCTTACAATGGTGGTGGAACTCCTTGGTGAAACCTCTCCAGCACTGGATTTCGATGGGTTGTTCCGGTTGCTTCAGCGCGCCCTTCCACCTAATTGCAAGGCGTACTTCATCCTTGACGGGCTGGATGAATGTAACGATGCTGAGAGAAACATAATGATTTCCCAACTTCGGAAGCTCCAGGAGATATTTGCACTGCTTCTCTGTGTTTCACTCCGACTGGAGCCTAATAACGCCTCGAAAATGTGCTCAGAACAACTCACTGCCGCCAGGATCACTTCAATTCCTTACGACAACCCCGATATTGCGGCATTTATTGGGGCAGAGCTAGAGAGCTGCATAGAGTCTAAAAAGCTGGTGATAGGAAATCCTGCCCTTATACTGGAAATACAGGATGCTCTCCTGAAAGGATCTCAAGGAATGTTCCTCTGGGTAGTTCTTCAAATCGAATCCTTGTGCGCTATGAAAACGGATGGCGCCATTCGTCAGGCTCTGGCCGATCTTCCCAGAGACCTTTCAGAAACGTTCTCTCGTATTCTGCGGAAATCGGAAGGCTTAGGAAAGCCTTACCAGAAACTGATACTAGAGCTTGTAACTGTGGCTCACCGTCCCATGACAACGGAAGAACTTCGAGAAGCCTTAAGCGTAGTTCCTGGTGATGCTGTTTGGAACCCGGCTAAGCTTCTCAATGATATATATCTAACATTGGCTTGCTGCGGAAGCCTCGTCACTGTCGATGAAGAAGAGTTGACCGTACGACTGGTGCACCACAGCGTCAAGCAATTCCTCCTTGACGGGTTTAAAGACTCAACCAACATATCATTCACAATGGACAGCGCAGAGACGAAGATGGCGGATATTATCGTTACCTACCTCAACTACGGCGTTTTCGAAACTCAGCTCTCCACTCTGGTAGTTCCACAGATAATGACTGGGTTAGTGCCATCCAGGATCATTTGTTCGACCCTGGACTCGTCAAATAGTGTTCGAAGTCTTGCACTGAAGCTCTTGAAGTTCAGCAAGCGGCCTGACTATGACATTGGCAAGACTCTTGCGGAAACAAGCACACTTTTCAGTTCTCGTTCAGTGGATGATTTTCACTTTTACGCTTATGCAAAGTTATACTGGCTACAGCATATTGGTTATATTTCAGAGCACGAGCCAGGTATGTACGATCTGCTGCTCAGACTGTTTAGGGGGAATGCAGTGAACACAAATGTAACAGATGAAGATGGCCAGACGCCGCTGTCGTCGGCCGCCAACAAAGGGCATGATGCGGTCGTTAAGGCGCTGCTTGATTCCGGCAGAGTTGATCCCAACCAAAGGGATCTCACCGGGCAGACACCACTGTCATCAGCGGCTAAGAACGGGCATGAGGCCGTCGTTAGAGAGCTACTTGACTGTCACAGAGTTGATCCCAACCAACGGGATAGTGTAGGGCGGACGCCGTTCTGGTGGGCTATTGAGAAGAGGCATGAGTCCATTATAACGGTCCTACTCAACTCTAATAAAGTTGATAAAAACACAAAGGATCAGACCGGGCGGACGCCACTATCATGGGCCGTTGAACACAAACACAAAGACGTCATTAGAGTGCTGCTTAATTCCAGCAAGGTTGATGCCAACCAAAGGGATGACAGAGGCCGGACGCCACTGTCATATGCGATTAAGAACGGGCATAAGGCCGTCATTAGAATGCTGCTTGATTCTGGCAGAGTTGATCCCAACCAAAGGGATCTCACCGGGCAGACACCACTGTCATCAGCGGCTAAGAACGGGCATGAGGCCGTCGTTAGAGAGCTACTTGACTGTCACAGAGTTGATCCCAACCTAAAGGATCTCACCGGGTGGACGCCACTGTTATGGGCTACTAAGAACGGACATGAGGCCGTCGTTAGAGAGCTACTTGACTGTCACAGAGTTGATCCCAACCTAAAGGATCTCACCGGGTGGACGCCACTGTTATGGGCCACTAAGAACGGGCATGAGGCCGTTGTTAGAGAGCTACTTAACTGTCACACAGTTGATGCTAACTTAGCGGATGATAAAGGGCAGACGCCGTTATGGTGGGCCGCTAAAATCGGATATGAGACTATTGTTAGAATGCTACTTGATTCTGGCAGAGTTGATGTTGACCAAGAGGAGAGTGAAAGGCAAACAGCGGTATACTGGGCCACTAAAAATGGACATGAAACTGTGGTCCAGATGTTACAGGATCATAAGAGAGCTGAGTCAGAAAAGGACAGCTTGTTCCGGTTTCCATGGAGTGCAAGGACAACAGAACAGCAAGAGGTCATAGGTTTAGCATATTGAACATCAAGAACTATGATAGGATGATTTATGTACAAGAAGAAGAATACAAGTACCAAAACAGTCCTCTGTGTACGTACAATGACGTAGAACTTACTGAAGTCCTTCTGGTATACATAACGTGTACTTGATGCATTTGACACCGCTTAACGTGCATAACAACAGTACGTCTCTTTTTATGGTCGTGGCTTTTCAGAGATGGGAGGGAGGTCCAGGGCCCAGAGGGGGGTTGGATATGCAGTGCTGACTACTACCCACCTGGTATTGATGTGGATACTGTACCTGCTGACGGACTGAAGTGGGAAGTGGGAAGGGGTGGTCAAACCACAGAACTCCCACGAGCGGGGTGGCAGGTGCCCATCTTAAAAAAAAAGGATTCCATCAAATGGAAAGAAGAACATATCTATAGGCTTGAAAAGCGTATCTTATTTTGATGGCTCACTCGCTCCCACCGGGTCTCCAGATTCGCCGCCTGGTACTCCATTAAAAGTGCTACGCAAGCCTCCGCTCCCTCGCTGCAAAAAAAGTCCGTTTGCATTCGTTTTGGACCGGCATCATCTCCCGCTCGTTCATTAGCAAAAGTCGGCGCTTCCTCCCCTTCATCTCAAAGACCCCTAGACTCACAATCCCCCACCTCGCCATCCATGTTCATGGCCAACTCGTTTTCGCACGTTTATAGGTTTCAAGCCCTCATGCTCCTCCGTCTCCGGAGCCCGAATTCCTCTTCTTGCAGTGCGCGGATCAGCCGGAGACTCTCCTCATCTGCCTCGATTTCCGGCGATATGCCGACTTGCCCTGCCTGCTGCGATGATGCGGTCCCTAATACCGCACCCAAACCGTTCCCGTGTGTCGCCGTTGTTGCTTCATCTGTCTTTGGCAGTGTGGAGGATGAAATGACCTCTTTTTGTTCTCGTTGTTGAGCAGCAGCCACGAAAGGAAGGGAGACAGTCGTTGTAGAAGCTGCAGCAGATGTGGTGGAAGAGGAAGTAGCATGACTAGATGCGCGTCTTGGCTTCCCACTACTACCATGTCCTCTACTCAAATTGAAGTTGGAGTTCGACTTCGAATTGGATGTAGTGACAAGGCTAGCACCACTGCTGGACGCGCGGCGGCCTTCCTTCTTATTAGCAACGGTTGCGTTCGGTGTATGCTTAATGCCGGTTCCCGGATGCTGGGACACAGTAAGAGGGTCAGGAACATATCTGTCGACCGGTTTCGGTTGACGTGACGAGTAGCGCGAACCAGCCGATTTCGGGGTCTGGAGAGGATTTGATGTCGATGTTGTCGAGTCATTGCTACTTCCTCCTTCCTCTTCATCTTCGTGGTGATTTATCCCTTCAACAGATTTGTTGACATGGGGATTGTTGTGGTTGGTGATGTGTGGGGAGAAGACGTCTTCGCCGTCGTTGTGAAGAGAGTCCGGAGGAGAGACGAGCGAATTTGCAGAGATTTGACTTGATGATGTGGCAAGGCCTGCGACAGGATGGGCTTCTGTTTTAATGGAGGTGGATGGTGCTTGCAATTGAGGATCAATGTGGATGGTGAGTTTTGCTTGTTGTAAAGGTGCTTCTACGGAGAGAGCGTCAATGCTCGAAGTCTCTGGCTTTTGATCTGGACCAGCTGCTTCGTTCATCTCCTGTGCAGATTGCGTCATGACGCTTGCTGCTGCCTGTAGTTGTTGGATAGCAGGCTGTAAGGAGGGATCGATCAGGGCATTGAAATCGTCATCTTCTACTGCCTGCTCATGGAACGCTTCTGCTAGGGCAGACTGGGCTTGACCAATCAAAATCGTATCATCCTCCGTCTTGTCGACCTTTGGCTTTTTAGCAGAAGACATTTCGTCACTAAGACGCGCTGGTCGCTTGGTCGAGGTCGATCCGCGGGGCCTCGAGGGTTCGGCGGCTTTGTAAGGATCGACCTTGCCATTCTCATCATGTATGCAGCGACGCTGGACAGTGTCAGATACCAAGTCGGTGGGCGGAATCACACATCTTACCTTGCTCTTCCGACATTCCTCACACGCCTTACTACGTCCCTTCTTACCTGAGGCTGCGCCTGTCAACATCGAATCTTCTGTCTGCAGTTGCACTGGTGGTGGCTGATTGCTGGAACCATATGTCTCCTGGGGATTTATGAGTGTAGAGACGGAATCCGGATCCGGTAACGGGTGTGCCCTAGCTTGAGGTGACGAACCAGGTCCGTCCAGAATTGCAGAGCCCTGGGCAGGAACGGTTCGTGGTATTTCGACGCTGATTGAGGAATATATTCTTGATCTATCGCTCTCGCTCGATGGGGCCAGGGCTTCCCCTTCCCTGTGACGACACCTGATGCGGCGTTTTCGGCAGGGATCGCAAGCGAACCTCTGCGGTCCAAGTCCTGACGTTTTCGGCGTCCTCCTTGGCTTTTTGGTGTCCTCTTTGGCAGCTTCAGGCTCAACGGAAGAGGTCTGCTGTTTGATGGACGTGTTTGCGCTTTCAGCGCGAGCATGCTCAAGCTGTAACTGGACTCTTGACGACGTTCGCTCACCAGGTGTCCTCACGTCAGACTTCTTTTGCTTCTCAGCTTTTCGGGCCAGACTTGACAAAGATGGGGAGTCAGGCCTGACCCAGTCGGGTGCGGTGACACAACCAGTCTTCCATGCTACCCAGATGCCAAATGTTCGCATCAGGTCCATTGGTTCTCCGTGACCCTTTGGTATTGACTTCTTGACGTTTGTTCGAGTTGTCTCGGTAACACCATCCACGTGGAAGTCGGACGCTATCAATGCAGTACGATACAAATAGTCCCGCAGTGCTGGTAAGCCCTCCACTTCCATTCGCGAGTAGAAGCGAGCATTGTAGAAGGGGTCGCCAGGTTCTGCACTGTTCTCTAGCTCTCCAAATTCATGCCAGACGGGGTTTGCTCGGAGGAAGACGTATTCAGGATCGTCCTCGAACTCGTTGAGAACCTCTTCGGGGACTGGATCATCTTCGAGATACCGGATAGCCGCATACCAATTGACCTTTTGAAATAGTGGATACCTGAACTTGAGAGCCGTCTTTGTGTCAATCTCTATACGGTTGACCTTTATCTGCATTTCATAGCTCATGCGCGTAAGAAAATTGCCCCCAACCACCAAGCTGTTCTCCGGAGTCCACACGGCATGTATCCAGCCAGACGGGATCATCATTGTATCCCCTTCGGAAAGGTCGACTCTGCTGCAATCACCAGTCACATCACCCAGGAACGTCTGGTTCTGGAGCGGCGAATTGTTCCATTGTTCGTATTTCTTCAAATGCTTTTCTTCGGGTGGGATGAAGAAGAAGGTCTTCTTGCCCTTCAAGATGTGGTAATAGACAGACGAACCACCAAAGTCAATGTGAAAGTCGGTGTAACAGTCGGCAACCGACATCAAGCAGTAGAATTGTACAGCCTTGGATGGTAACTCTGGTGGCCACACAGCATCCTGCAGGTCGAGATCACGAACAATTTTCGGTCGTTGCAGAAGCCTACCAAGCTTGCTTTGCGAAACTTCCAAACTGATGACGTTGCGGATGGTCTTCTCGCCTGTACTTTCATAGTAGTCGGCCCATTTCTTTAGGTTCCACTTCTGGGCTGTCTGCTGCGATTTGACATCAATCACGTCGAGAGGCATATCAGGACCATGCAGTTCAGCAACCCTCCGGACGGTAAGATTCTGAGGCATGACCATGTCGAGAAGATCTTGACCACAGTCGAGCACTTCTTCTCGATCCTGCACACAGGAACCTAGGAGACTCGCTGCAACCTCGTTTCCATTTGAGTCAATGATTACTTCCTGCCCAGCAAACTCGTCGTCTGCTTCGACATTCGCCTCTACCTCCTTTTGCACGCCGAATTGAGGATTCCAACATGCAGGAATGACGACAGGGCGCTTCATGCCATCAGTCTTCTCCAGATATTCTGTTGTCAGAAGCTCTGGTCGAATGCGTGCGAAATCGTCAGGTTGAAATTTGATTCTGCCATCTTTGATCGGCTTGAGCCAGTGATGCTCTGCCGTCTCCTCCGAAGACTGAATCATGCCTTGATTGAGGCCAGCGTAATCGATGGCAGTTCTGGCTCTTGAGGACTTTCGGACATAAGTGGTTTGGCCTTTGACGGGTTCGCAGTCAGCGCAGATATACTTATCCACTGTTCGCGTTTCCCGACTATCCTTGAACCCAGCACAGATGATGTGAAACCATCGCTGACACCCATTACATCCGATCCACGATATTTGACCATCATGATCTTCGTTTCCAGTGATGGCTTGTAAGGAGTTGCACTTCCCACAAGGTGCTTGAGTTGTCGGCTGGATTCGGCGCGGTTTCTTTTCCTCAATGACGGAAGCTTCAGCTGCGGATGCAGCCAGCTGCTCTACTAAAGTAGCAGAAGCCTTGGGCTCAGTTTGAAGCTCCGGGGACGTTCCCTGATGAATACTGGTGTCATCCGATGCCGAGCCAGGTTCTTGCTTGGTTTTTATGGGCTCCTTGCCTTCCGCCACCCCAGACTGAGCGATGTAGTCTTCTATCTGCTTCAACGCTACGTGTTCTCCATGTGGCCCTGGAGATTCATGACCATCTTCTTGGACACCATTGAGCGCAGGCTGTTCCCTTTGCTCACTTACTGTTGTCGACGCGCTAAGACGCCTATAAGGAGGGCTTTCTGGGTCGAACTGAGGGTGTTGATGCTGTGGAGGCGTGCTCTTTCGAAGAGGAGGAAAATTATGAGGTTGGGCAAAGTTGAGAAGTAATTCGGCATCGTCTTTTAGACTCTCAAAGGAAGTGAGGTGGCTCGTGGATGGTCTTGTTTGTTTCCGGCCCATTTGTGGAGAAGGAAGTTTTTCGGATCTGGCTCTCTTCGAAGGTCGTTCATCCAATGTGTAGTCGTGTTGATAGCCATTGCCATAGGTATAGGAAGGCAGCCAAGGGCTTGGAGGGAAAGCAGGGGATCCCTGGCTGAAGGTGGGACTTGTAGCTAGAGCAATGGTAGCGAGGGCATCGATACTCGAACCAGACCTTCCATGTCCCTTCTTCTCCCTCTTTAGCGATCCGTCTGTGGGAGCGGTCGTTCTGTATTCGTCGTAGGTACTTCTTCGTGTCGCATTGGTTCTGGTGGCATTGATGCTGAATGAGTCAATTCGAGCTTGGCCGTCATTATCAACCCAAAGTCGTTGTTCATATGCCGTGTGCACTTGAGGACCATCGAAGCCAGCCAAGCTAAGACCGAGCCCTTGTGCGGGATAAGCGTTGTGTTCTGGCGGCCAGTTGTGGTGCACGTTCTCTGCGGCGGGGGAGAGCGGCTCAATTGCCTCACGAGGCGGAGGAGAAGGAGTGCGATAGCGAGGCGGGAGACCTCCGGAGGTTTTTCGAAAAGAGATAGCAGCGTTCATCTTGTTTGGAGAGCGTTTGCGATGGATTCGAACGGGCGAGTCACAGTCGGCACGCAGAGTGGGGGGTCAATCTCCTGCGTCGAGTGCCAGAGCAGCACGGTAAGAAGACCTCGCAGTCATTGAAACATCGATGTTGAAGAGTTCTGAAGCTGGTACCAGCGCACAATCACATAAGAAAGTTGCAAGACTGGGTGTATGGACGATGGTAGTGATGGGGAATTCCGCCAAAGCAACAAAGTGCCCGCAGTAATTCCACTTATGTAGCGCCAAGAAAGTGGAAGCGGGTGGGTAAATATGTACACAAGAGAAAAGAAGAATACTGTAGCAGAATAGAAGAACAGAAGAACGTCTTCGTACACATCTTCACCACCCAGTTCCTCAAACACCTTGCCTACTCACTATATCGCTTCAGTCTATCTCCAGGTCTTCCTCCAAGATCAACCGCAGACAATATCTTTCGACCGCCACAATGTCGCGGTCCAACAAGCTCGCTCCAGAAGCAAACCGGTAAGAATATCTCCTACTCCCCTCAGCCGCCTCCTCCAGAGCTCCCCCTCACTAACCCACCTCATCCCACAGGATCCTCTTCATCAAAAACCTCTCCTACAACCTCGACCCGCCCTCCCTCTTCGCCCTCTTCAGCAAATTCGGTCCGGTGCGCCAAATCCGACAGGGCAACTCCGCCAACACCAAGGGCACCGCGTTCGTCGTCTACGACGAGGTCGCCGACGCCAAGCAAGCCTGCGACAAGCTGAACGGGTTCAATTTCATGAATCGCTATCTGGTCGTGCTCTATCACCAGCCGGAGAAGATGGCGAAGAGTGCGGAGAATCTGGCGGAGAGGCAGGAGAGGTTGGAGAGGGTCAAGAGGGAGAATGGCATTGATTGAGGGAGGAGATGGATGTGGGTGATGAGCACGGCGTGAGACGGGGCTTTCCATAGTAAATGTTCGGGTGGAAGATACCCGGAATTTCCTATATGAGCGAAAAGTCAGAGACAGAGCTCAGGCTGGCATACACTGATCTCGAGAGTCTGAAAAAGGAGGGAGAGTATGGGATTAATCTCCGCTGGCTCATGACCGCCCAGTGAAAAAGGAACTATCCCGTGGGTTCACAAGGAAGAAAGCAAACCGAGATTTGCAGAGAATCGTGGGGGACGTGCTAGCATATCCTTTCATTGGATTTGTACCACTTATTTCGAGCCCAAACAAAATAGGTGGCGGACTATGTTGCAGGACGGAAGGCGGTCCCAGGTACGCGCTGTAAGGGGTTCGAGGAGGATACAAAAAGCAAGACGACAGCGTTGGCGGAAGTATATTCCTTGGTAGCCTCCGGGTAGTCCAGCAGCAGGAAACATTCGTTCAGTATTTACAAGTGGCTGGTGTCCCATTTTGTCACGTCTCAACAAAACGCGTGCTCCCCATTCATTTACTGCCACCACTATAATCCTTCCAGCCCCGCTCCTCCAACACTCCCGCCTTCGCCAAAACCTCCTTCTGCATCTCCATCATGTACCCCTCCACCCTCGCCCTGACGTCCTCATCCTCGACCCCCAAAACCCTGACCGCCAGCAGCGCTGCGTTGACGCTGTTATCAATCGCCACCGTCGCGACCGGCACCCCGCGCGGCATCTGCACAATGCTAAGTAAGGAATCCATCCCGTCCAGCGTTTTACCCTTGACGGGTACTCCGATGACAGGTAGTGGGGTGGAAGAGGCAATCATGCCGGGTAGATGCGCGGCCCCTCCTGCCGCGGCGATGATGACCTTTAGGCCGCGAGAGGACGCGGTGCGGGCGTATTGTAGCATCCGGTCGGGTGTGCGGTGGGCGGAGGTTATAGTTACTTCATACGGGATGCGGAAATCATCTAGTATTTGAAGTCCGGGTTTCAGGGTAGGAAGGTCAGAGTCGGAGCCCATTGTTATGCCGATCAGGGGCTTGGCCTTGAGGGGTGCGCGGGACGAGTCGGTAATGGAGAGAGTGTGGGCGGTCGCGAGAATGGTTTCTAGTGATGTGCTTGGTCCCTCGGAACGGTGGATACGGATGGCATCGACGAGGTTGATGAGGGGCTGTAATTTCTCCTGGGCTTCTTTCATAGTGGGTGCTATCAGGGTGACGTGTCCCATCTTCCGGCCGGGGCCCCCTTCACCTTTGCCGTAGAGGTGGATTTTAGCGCCGGGAACAGTGAGAGCAGCGCGAGCGACGATGAGATGGGAGGTGGGAGTTGGACCGCCGAGAATGTTGAGCATGATGGCGTTGGTGTTGGGCGTAAGCAGAGAGGTGGCCTCCGGGATTATGGTGTTGCTCAGGTTAGGGAGGATTGCGCGGAGGTGTGCCTCGTATTGAGACATGTGGCATGCTTCTATGGTGTAATGGCCTGAGTTGTGGGGTCGGGGAGCGATTTCATTAATGAGAAGAGACGAGTCTTGGAGGAGGAACATTTCTACACCGAAGACCCCTCGACCTTCGAAGGCAGAAACGGCTTTTCGCGCCAGTTCTTGTGCTTGTAGTTTGACTGTTTTGGAGATGCCACGTGCAGGTGTGTAGGTGAGCTTGCATATGCTGTCTTCGTGAACCGTCTCAACCACAGGAAATGCTTTGGTGGACGTCTCCCATGAGGATGTTGACGCAGCCGAAGATGTCTTAACAACCATTACAGCCAGCTCCATTTGAAAATCTGCCCACCGCTCGACATATAATGGCCTGTCTTTGAGCGTAGCGATGGCTTTCTCAATCTCTGAGACAGACCTGACTGGATAGTTCCCCCGTCCGTCGTAAGCTTCTGTGCGTGACTTGAGCATGAAAGGGTAGCCTAGACGATCTGCTATCTCCTTCAGACCTTGAGGAGATGCAGTACCAAATGGCATCGACTCTGCTGTGGGGATGCCATTTCGAATGAGCTTTTCTTTCTGCCTGTATTTGTCTTGGATGATCCTGATCGTCTGCCAGTTTGGCTGGACTTTCAGTGGCTCTCTTTCCGAGATCTCTTCGAGAACTTTCGTATCGACATGCTCAATCTCGACCGTAAGGATGTCACACTTCTGGGACAATGCGAGAACGTCGGCAGCTTTGGCAAAAGAACCCTCAACGTGCTCTGTCAGAGCATTGATCTGCTTGGCAGGAGCATTTGCAGCGTCGAGAACAGAAACTTTGATGTTCAGGCGATGGGCTGCTTCGACAAGCATTCTTCCTAATTGGCCTCCTCCTAGGACACCCACCTGAAGGTCGTCCATCGTTCGCACTTACACAAGCTGGTAGCCCAAAATGAATATAAAAATTTGAAGTAGAAAAGCTACAAGCTTTGGATCAAATTCCTGTTCATCTATACACTAAAACGAACGCTGTATTGGTGACACTGAGCCTTGTAATCTGAATCCTAAAAAGGTATGGTGTGATAGAAGGAAGAGAGATAAAGAAACACAAATGGCAATTCCGGTAATGGCCATTAGGAGTATGTGGACAATTTCGCAACTAAGATGTACATATAAAACGAGGCGGGCGAAGAACATGTACTGTGAAGTAGAATCAAGACTCTTTGGTACCTTCGTGGAACAGTACCAAATCTTTTGCATCAGGCACCTACTAATACTAACAACATGCCGACTCAACTTCGCGGCTATGCTACCATAATTTGAATACCGTATGCGCAGCAAGACGGTCTCCCCTCGAGCTCAGCAGCTTCCAATAATGCTGACTGCCATCTATATACCTCTTTGAGTAGCTCATTTCTCATCAAACCACCTCGCCAAGCCAGTCCCATAGAGGTTTCTCCACTCCTCAGCCTCCTCCTCGACATAGTCCGCCACCAGTTCGGCAGTCTCATGCGCCTTGCCCCTCAATCCGTCCCCTAGCCCCGTCATTGCGCCCATAATCTCCTTCGCCTCCCGGATTCTCTCTCCTGCTCTACGCCGCGCTAGGTCATAGTATTCAACGCTCCGCTCCTTCGCCGTCCGCACTCTTTCCTCGGCCCGGTTGCGTGCCAGATCGTAGTATTCGACCCTTTGCTCTCGTGCTCGCTCTAGAAGTTTCTCGGTCTGGGCTCCTGCTCTGAGGCCCTTCGATCGTAGTCGAGCAACTATTAAGCTCGATATGTAATATGCTTGGATGATGAAACCGTGGACATATTGCTTTAAGATCATGGTTGTACCATGTGAAAGGAACGATTTGATGAGTTCCAGAATAAGGCCTGAGTATAGGGCGCCCGGACCATCGGATTGGATAATGCTCAGGAGCGTTGAGAAGATGGTTGTATTGGCTGCCTTTTTTGGCACACGCGTTGATGAAGAGGCACAGCTCTTTTCGTCTGTTGTGTCTTCGGGGATGGATGGGATAGAGGTATCCGAAGAGGAAATGGGTTTCGAGCTAACTTGCGCTCTTGCCTTAGCTACACTAAATGGGTAGGTGACGCTACTTGCGCAAGCTTTGGAAATTGCGGCCATGAGAAAGGTTGCAGATGGTGGAGGACTGGCCCTTTTCGAACGAGGGAGTAGGAGACGTTTGAAGGTTTCAAAGAGGAAGAAGGTTAGGGAGGGATTGAGCGTGAGTACTAGAGCGGCTGAGTAGCCTGACCAGAAGCCTGATATCCCTTTCTGTTGAAATATATCATGCGCAATATCTGCGGTTGAAGGAGCTTTTAAGGAGTTGTGTCTCAGCGGACCTGGGTCAGTAGAGGAAGCATTGATGGACTGAGTCGACGTCAAGGCCGACGTTTGCTTTCTGGTCACGATGTTGGAGATTGGTGTTGTTAGGAGCTTGGTAAGGGATCCAGCTATAAAGCCAATACCTAGCTCGTCAAGGACTGGTAGCACGACCATAGCAGATGAGCCACCAGCACTCCTAGCTGCTATCCTCCGATTTCTGAGGAAGTTGTATACTAGAAAGAAGAAGAAAGAATCGGCAACCGTTTTGCCCGTATCTTGCAGCAGTCCGGTGTAGAACCCCGAGAACCCACCCTCCGTTTCATATATCCTCCACGCAGCATCTTGGACACTTCTGTATTCATCTTCCTGGGCCTCTGTCCGGTTCTCTCGTAGCTGCTTTTGAATTTGTAGTCGGGTAAGAATTAAATCGAGTGGGTATGTGAAGATATTCGATGTTGCCGAGCCAACGGAGCCTGCGATAGCATGGCCAAGTGCCGGCAGTGCGGTTCCCTTGGGTGAAAGTAAAGACGACGGACCCTGTCCTTGGGTTTCATGGATGCGATGGTAGAGCTCAAAGGCGTCCTGACTGAGTTAGTGCTTGAATGCTGGGAGATGGTGTAGAAGAGTTGAACCAGTTGGCTGTTGTAGATATGCGCCATTGTCACGAACGCCAAAAAGACATTAGCATCCAGCTAGAGCTCACTACATAAGAAAGGATACTCAAGTGAGAATCGTGAAATCTTGTTAATGGTGCTTAAATTCGTGGTAGGTGGAAGGATCGAGCTCCAACTCGGGCTCGAGCTACCAGCTACAGCTGCTGTACCCCACAGTTTCCCTGCAGTTGGAGTTCACGCTACATGCACGCGGTGCTACGTCAAACACGAGTACATACTGTAAAAGGATGTATTGGTCAAGAGCATGCAATGAGCCATATCTCTGCATCTGCTTTCTTCAGCAGAGGCACGCATTCTCCAGCGCTACATGCTGTGCTCTAGATCCAATCCGAATCTTACATAAAAATCATAAGTCATCATTTTTCAATCGATCGCCCCAATCATAGCTACCGGGTCTACCAACTCAAGGACTGACCGAATCCCTAACGTCAATAGCCATTCATAATGTCCTCCATCACATTATCAGCCACTGGCGCAGTTTGTCGGTTTGTCGGAGGTGCTGTTCCTGGTCTCTGGCTGGGAGGTATGTGCCTCTGTTGTTGTTGGGCAGCATATCCTGAGGCAGGTGATCGAGGAGTTAGTGGGCTAAAATAGTCAGGGGACGTCGCTGAGATGTTCGGCTGCGTAAAAGAGCGATACGGAGTGTGTGGCGTAAAGGTGGACTGTGCAGGAGAGTAGGAACTGGCACTGTAGCTTCGATATCCCCCACTATTTGATGACGTATGGGTGTGGAGGCTAGGTAGAGCTGGTTGTGCGTAGGGCCGGCTATGTGATGGTGTCGCTGATGTGATCGACCGAGTAGATGAAGGGGCTCTTGAGGTGTGGGACGGCATGAAACCACTGCCAGAAGTATTTGTCGAGCCTTGAGCCGGATGACCTAAGCTAGGCGGGAAATAGGGATTGCTTTGCTCTCCGGGTATTGGTCTTCCACCCACATCTGTACCCGAACGTGACACTGAACCCATCTGATATACCCCGGGAGCGGAGCGGTTAGGATGGCCAATACTAGGTCGTTGCCCAGTCCCTGGCGTATAGCTACGCTGGGTGGTCTGCGAATAGCTAGCGTATGACCTGTTCGATGCTGACCTCGAATGATAGCTTTGTGGGGATGGGATATCGCCAGGACTTTGTAGGCGTCCAGCGGGTCCATAACCCATCCCACCAGCACCGCCCATAAGAGGCGCATTCGAAGCGAAGGATGTGTTGGTATCTACTCGATTAAGTGGTCCCGGGTGGAAATCAGCCGGGTCGAGATCGGGAAGAGTGGGCTGCCGCTCTAGACTTGAGGGCGATGTTAAAGCACTGCTGGAGATTGTGCCTGGTCGTGAACCATACTCCGATAACGCTGTTGGAGTATCGAAGCGAGGTAGAGGAGGTGGTGTGTCATCACTGGTGGAGGCGAACGTGTCAAGATCAGGTAGTGTTGGCTGTCGCTTCAAAACACCTTCTCCCTCTCTTGCTTCCTGTCTTGCTCGTATAGCATTTTCCTTCTTCAAGGCTTTTTCGACCTTTGTCCGTACAATCTTCTCCATACTCTGATTGATCTTGCGTCGGCAGTAACCACTAAGACCTCCATCGCTGCTGGGGATGTGGTGGAAAAGGAACACTAGATATAGCACGACTGCAACCATCAGATTGACCAAAGTAATGACCCAGATGACAAGGGTGAACAACATGCCGAATAGAATCACGGCTTGTTCTCTCCCGGATTTCTCGGCAAGGATTCGGACATTGACAAAAAACTGAGCAATAGGGGTGTGACCGTCTTTGGCTGCATTATCCCCGGTCGGAATGAGGTTCAACTGCATGACCGAGTACAGGGTGAGTGCATTTATGACTTGTCGTGGTCCTTCAGCGAAGAGTATCCGAAGCCAGGCTAACACGATTTAGTATTGTTCAGTGAACATCCAATGACTGGGGATATACCTTCGAATGAATAATGCGTGAAGAGTGCAACGTAATCAGCGCCTCTCTTGCCCTTGGAGAGCTCCGCAAACACCAAGAAGCGCTTCCAACCTCTTCCTTCCTTTCCTACCCTCACACTCTGGATGCAAACTGCCAAAGGATCGAGGTAGCTCTCAGCCACTCCACCTCCTTTCATGACACGGATCGCCCGCAGCCATCGAAAGAATAGAAAGACGAAAGATAGGATGATACAGCCTGCAAATATCCACCGAGAATATTTCATTGGGATGTAAGGCTTGATTTGGCCACTCCATCTGTCAAAAGCAAGTAAATTGACAGCGGTGAAGGTGTCAACGGCATAGACGGCGATAGAGATGAGGATTGAGATGTACAAGACGCCGTAGGATAGAGGTGTCCAGCATGTGGTGGAATGGAAGTCGTCGAGATTCTGCACGGATTAGCCTCTTGCCAGAGGAAATTGAACGGATGTTTCTTACAATATATTCCCATTTCTGCTCTGCGCTAACGCTGGGTAACTTTCTTCGAAATCCACAACAACCCATCTTGTAGTGGGAGGAGCCACCAAAGGATCAAGTTGGCGGATGTATGATGAATCGATCTTGGGTCGGATGTGAATATTGGTATTCTACAGGATCGATTGCTTGTTTCGGACCAGCCGACAGCTGAGAGGAGATAGAAAACCGTGATGCTGGTACAAAAGCACAACACTTTTATTCATGCATATCGAAAGGCACTCGACGCACGTGACGAGAGCGAGAAAGGTGGTTCAGGTCGGAGGTATTCTTTTCCAAGAATGGACTGACGAAAAGGCTAAGAGGTAGAGGCCTCAATTTTTGGCGCGGCACGAAAAGCTGAGCAACAGTTCAATGAACGTGGTGGTGGACTTCGAGGTGTGGACCTTGAAGGGGTTGGCTGGTTAGGAATGTCGATCTGTGCCCGGCCTGCGAACAAAGGAGTGGAATTGAACAATGCCCCTGCCAATAACCATCTATTTTGGTGAATAAAGAGGCTGAATGATTGATAGCTCTAAATCACCCTCGCAGTGCCAAGGAGGGTGATGAATGGTGATGGTCAAATCAATGAAAAAATGAATGAATCAACGAAAGAATGAATGAATGAGCCGCGTTGGCCGATGACGGTGGTGGTGGTGGTGTGGTGGTGGTGTTAAAAACAAGCGGAAACAGGAGTTGAAGCGGATTGTCGAGGTGCTTGCTTGCGGTACTACGTAAAAGCTCCGCAGCAGAGAAGTCCTAGGACGTTAACCCAAATGATATTTAGATGTGCCTAGCCTGGTCTCGACTGGCCGCTTAATGAACCCGGACCATTGGCTGGACTTGGACCGAACCCTGGTCCTCTGGTTGATCTCCTGCAGGAACCCGAACCGTAGCTGCCACGGATCCTCTCGACCAAACGTAATAGGTTATAGGACGTGACCAAGACTTCACCCGCTCTTCTCTCACACACAGCGCCTACACACATGGTTTGGAAGAAGATAGCCTCCTGACTTCCGTTTCATGTTTCTCTACTTGCGTGCATGGGCCACTAGACTGATAGACTGGGGACGCCTGAAATAGGCATTCTATGCTTAGCATCACGGATTTCTTGAACGATTTCAATCGATTGCTTGATGATCTGACACTCCACACAACGGGAGGTGGGTGGGTTGGCTACTCCTGGTTAAGCCAAACCCAAGGCTATGCCTGGGTACATTTCGCAAGAACAAAAAGCAGAAAAAGCAGAAAAAACAAAAACCCAACCAAACGCTGACTCGCTCCACAAGCGGTATATCCACGGGCGCCTCTCAAGGGAGGTAATCGCAAACCCGTCCCTCCCTCCAAGCATTCCAGACCCGGGCGCCTCTCAGGTGAGGTAATCTCAAACCCGGTCATTCCCCGCCACCCCTCTCTCCAGCACTACTCCAGGTGCTGTCGCTTTCCACGCCTCCTCCCTCTTCTCCATCTGCCACCGAACCATGTCAAGGATGGGCCTGAGACGCCCTCCAAGGCGCTCGCCCATTTCCTTGCATTTCTGCTCGGTCTCTTCGGCAGTCCTCCCCTTCAGCTGCCACTCCACACAGGCCATGGCTCTCTCAACGCCCTCGTCAATGACCTTCGCCTGGATGCTTTGGGCGTGGTTCCATTTATTGCACAAGTCCACGTATTGCACGTACAACTTGTCTGCGTCGGCCAACTTGCTTTGCGAAAATCTCAGCTGCGCTTCGCAAGCATTATAGCATTCCTCAAGGGCCTTATGCTTTTCCTCCAGTGCGTTATGATCTAGGTGAAAATGAGCAAACTCAAGTTGATCCGTTTCCCATTTCCCCCTCAGATCGGTAATCGCCTCTTGCGCACTCGCAAGTTCAAGCTTGCATTGGGAGAATTGTTGCATGAGGTCGGTGATTCGAATGCCGGCGGTGGAAATTGACTGCTGTGCATACGATGTCGATTGATCTAACTGGGCTTGCAGATGGCTGACTTGTTGTTCTAGCTGGTGAACTAGGTTCTGCGCATTATCGACCTCGGTGGTACGTTGAGATAGTTGAGCTTCGAGTTCAGCGACTCGCTGGGCTGTGGCTGAGTCCTGGACGTTGCTGGTGACCAGCTGATGCTGGGACAGCTGGGTTTCAAGTTCATTGATCCGTTCATGATTAGAGTTGAAAATCTTTTGTGACGACTCTTGGAGATCCTTGGATTCCTGATCACGTTTGACAAGAGAGCCTTGCACATTTTCAGCATGAATACGGTGTTGAGATAATTGCTGTTGAAGTTCATTGATCTGATGATCACGCTCGGCAAGTGCTTTTCCAATACGTTCAGTGTCAAGATGGGTTTGAGAAAGCTGGTGCTCAAGCTCCTTGATTTGCCGATCTCGCGGAAGGAGTGACTTCTCCGCGCTTGCACCATCATGTTGGCGTCGAGCAAGCTCAGCCTCCAGGTTACTAATTTGCTGTTTGTGCTTGATTTCGAGAGAGTTCAACGCACTAGTAGAAGCGTGGCCTGATTCCACGAGCTGACTTTTGAGAGTGCGGACTTCGTTCTTGAGGATATCGAGTTGGTCATTGAATACTTTGAAGAGCTTGCTTTCCGGTCGAACAGGAAGACCATCATACATTGGCTTTTCAGGAGGACCATTACCCATGGGCTTTGCAGGAGGGTCGTCGCGCATAAGCTTTCCAGAAAGCTTGTCACGTGTGAACTTTGGAGCTCTTCGAGCTCTACGATCGGCCTCCGCTGTTAGGTCGAGAATCTTTTTTTCTTTCTCCTTCAGAGCAGCCTGTGAATTTGCTAGTTCCTTCTTCTGCTGCTCAAGGAGGTCATCTTTCTCTGCCAAGAGCTCGGCAAGTTCTTCGTCTTCACCTTCTAGATCCTTTCGGAGACTGGCAATTTCATTGTTCTTGGTCAACAGCTGCTCCTCAAGGTGGTGAATCAATTTTTCAGACGGCGAAATGGGGAACTCTCCAGGAGTAGTCTTGTGGTTCAAGAGATCGACGGCAGAACGGGGTGCATGTAAGCATTCGTTGATGCTGGCACAGGTTTCATTGTAGCGTGGCAGGAATCGGAGAACGCCGTAGGTGAAGAGGATGCCAACAACAAAGCTGAATGCCGGCAGATATGGTTTGGTCAGAGACTTGATCTGCAATGCGAGAAGTTCAAGTTCTGCACGGTCTTGCTCCAGAGTGGCGCCAACGACAATAGGGAATGACTGCGGACGACTTAGCAACGCTCAACCTTACGCCACTTTAGTAACTTACTGCCATGAAACTGAAGGCGAACAAGGCTGGGAGTGGAGAAACATGGTTGTAGATAAATCTGCAGGCAGAACGAGTCTTCTTTGCCAACTCAGTAGAGGATATCCATGCCCACAACATAGCACAGATGATGTCGAGTCGGAAGATTTTCACGACAATGTAGCCAGCGACGGCAGCGACCTTTAGAACGAACATAAGGATGTCCAGAAGAATGTACCAGAAATTGTTGACTAGAATCTCCGTCCTGATCTGGTCAGATGACTTGACCCTGCTGTTGTCCATGGTGGAGATCGGTGTCTGGGTACGCGGTATTGGGTATTGTAGAAAGGTGGAAAGTGGATTCTTCGTGTTCGAAGAACAAGGATTTGGATGTTGATGGTGTATTGAGAATGGCTCAAGAGGCTAAGTACTGGGCTTGCTGTAGAAAGTTTTCTGTGCGCTGAGAGTTACGAAGAAGTCCGGTGGTAAAAGAGTATTGTTGTAGAAGGTGTTCTGTGCGCTGGGAGTCACGGGGAAGTCTGGTGATAAAGAGTATTGCTGTAGAAGGTTTTCTGTGCGCTGAGAGTGACGAGGAAGTCTGGTGGTGAGGAGTATTGCTGTAGTAAGTTTTCTGTGGGCTGAGAGTCACGAAGAAGTTTGGTTGTAAAGACTATTGTTCACGAAGGGATTTGGCAAAAGAAAAAAGGCCAGATACCTGGGGTTGTGCGATCAGGCTCCTAATATAATTAATTGTTTAGGCAAAAGCTAGCGGTGTTCGCGTATTCATTGTGAGTGAAGTGTTTCTGGAGGATCTTATTGTTGTGTTCATAGAACGTTTACCACCAAGGCATTCACATAAACAACACAAGGAAACACAGCAAACGTAGTGCACCCTAGATCCATATTAGAGAGCGCTAGGTGCAATATCTTTATGCTGGTCTTTTGAACATCACGCCACTGCTATGTCGGAATTTTGGGCTGAAGGGGAGTTTTCGGTAGCTCGTAAGTCTGGCACAAGCGGCCTCTTCAATGATCGTTACCAAGTAGTGGTTTGCCCTCGCCTCTTGTTTGCCCATGCTTCCTCTTTCGTCTTCTTTTTTTCTTCGAAGGTTGAGTGGATGCACCTTCACCTTCAGCCTCATCCTCGCCCTCGCCGCCTCCACCACGTAGTCGGGCACTTTTGGGACTCTCACTGCGACTATCTTGCCGTTGCTCCGCTTTATTGGTACCATTATTCTCCTCGTCTTCATTTGAGCTGCTTGAAGTCATTTCCAATACGACCTTTCGTATGCCGTTAGAGTCAACGACATTCTCTGTAATGCTACCACTTCGGGCAGGTCCTCTGGAAGCATATCTCGGGCTTTTCGACCCATTCCTTGTCCGATCTGGAAGGCTTCCTATTGTGCTTTCGCTCCTCGATCTTGCCAAGGGTCTGCTTCTAGCCCTTGGACTCGGACCTGGGGATCTTCCGTTCCTCTCATCGGCGTCCACATCAGGCTTTTGCGACTGATCTTGAGAAGAAGAGGTTTGAATGCCTTTGGAGGCTGAGCTGTTTGGCCGCCGGCCCCTTGGCGATGTGAGACTCGTTCCACCATACCCCTGTTGTACAGCTTGGACTCCATCCTTGGCATCGACACCACCAGAATGCAGCAGACTTTCACCGATGCCGCCTCGAACCGAGGATGCAGATTCGGATACTCGACGATCAGGCGTTTTGTAACCGGATGCAATGCTCATTGCTTGCATATCGGCACTACTCCCTGGTTTGATCTTCACAGAAGCCCATCGAGTCGATTTTGGACGACTAGCCAAGTTCGAGGGCCCAAGATGCTTAAGGTGCTCGCGCAGCTCTCCATTGTTGGCTCTCCGTGAGCCTTTGAGATCACCAACTTGGCTGTTTCCACTCGATCGTCGTCTCGCATGCGGCACCTGTGGGCGAGGGGAAGAGCTATAATTATGTTTGTTAGTCTTGGGCGGCATACAATCCGGATGTTTGGGTTTCTTCTGTATGTCGTTTGGTGACAATGTCGCACCCTCGTCAATGTCAATGAGATTGCCTTCTTGGCTACTTGCTACAGCATCAGTTGGATCCGCAACAATTTGACCTTTGGGAACCCGTGTTCGCGGCGCTGGAGCCAACCGACGTATGGCTTTGTGCACATCTACGAAAACATCCGACTCGTCGATGATCTCTTCTCCAATCAATTCCTCGATGACGTCTTCGAGCGTGACAACTCCCAGGGCACCGTGGTCAGCACCAGGATTATCTGAGACAAGGACCATATGCGACTTGCCCTCCTGGAAAAAGTTGACGATGTCAAGGCAGCTTGTCTCGGCACGAGTTTCTGGCAGTGTGGCTAAAGCAAAGTCTCGGACCTGCTTGCAGTCCTCCGGATCATACGTAATGAGCATTTTGACCAACAACATGCCGATAAAGTTCTCGTTATTGTCCGGAGCATGTATTGGTACTCTGGAGTAACCCTGGGATAGAATTAAATCCATGGTTTCATCGTCTAGAACGTCATCTGCGGACAGAGTGAAGACGTCTTCCATCGGCGTCATGATAGTCCCAACAGATTTCTCCTTGAGGTCCAGCACGGCGCTGATGATAGTGACTTCATCCGAGTTCAGTTGATGACCAGCGTCGCCCATGGTCCGATGAAGGTCGACAAGGGTTTTCAAGCCAGCCTTTTTATAAACGGTGCCATGGTCTTCGCCCAGCAGGTAGTCAAGTAGTTTTGCGGTAGGCCAGGCGACTGGTGCCATGATGTACATCAGGCAGAGAACGAATGGCGACATCCACGCTCCAATTGGAAGGCCGTACCGAACACATATGGACTGAGGAACGATTTCGCCAAATATGACTGGGATTTGGTAAGCAACAATTCAGGCATGGCCCCACAGGGTAAACTTACCGATCAGGACTGTGGAGCCCAGGACTGCAGGCCAGCCACCACCGAGCGATCGATCCAGCACAATCGGAAGTGTCTCGTTCGTGATCACATTGCTCAATAAAAGTGTGACCAGGACCCAATGTTTCCCTCGTTTTAGCAGCCTCAAGACTCTTGCAGCATGTCGCTTTTCTGCACCTTCGCCTGACGTTTTAATTACCTGGAGGTTTATCTCGTCCTATATACTGTTAGGACCACATGCAAATGGTACGGAGAAGTCGTACTTGTCCCATAAGTGCAATTGTCAACCCAGCGAAAGCACCACCTAACAGAACGAGCGCAGCTGCTACCCCAAGGTACAGCCACAAGCTTGCACCACCCGCGTTTGGTGGCTCATCCTCCTTGTGGGTACGTATGAATTCCACAACCTTGAGAGGTGCGGCTTGAATGAAGGGCAGCTGCGTCAAACAGAGCCCCAAGATCCTCGCCAGCCCCAACACCAATGGTCTTTGCGATAGGTACTTGTTGGATATCATTTTAGGACTTGTAGAGTACCAAAACACGTTTTATCTTGCACCCCAGTCAGGTAGGCTATTCGGAGAAGGTAAATCCGGATGTCGGAACAAATAGAGAAAGCAACCACGACAGGATGGCCCTGCGGAATATGTCATCTATGTCACCAGTATAAGCTAAGATATTGGTTGATCATCACCGCAGTCCTTTTGAGGTTGTTGAGGAGTGTGCAGAACTGATGTTGTGTGGCTGTATCAATTGGTCACCTCATGTGTAATGCGAAGGCGTGAAGCATGGGATAAACAATCGGAAGCTCCCTAGGATCGAAGCAGGATCGAAGCTTGCTGCAAACCCACAAGCTTCAGGTTCATTTTGCCCCTCTTTAAACTTCCCATGGTCAAATTTCCGTGCCAAGACTGGAGCTAGGATCCACTGCAGTACCAGGATACGAGTACTACTTTAAGTTTTCTTTATATCTTAATCACCAGTCCCCTACTTAGCAGAAGAAGACCCTCTAAAAACTATGCCTAAATTACCATCAATGTGTGCTTAGTTTCAGCCTAACCGTGATATGATCTAGTTTACATACTATTATGCAGCTAAACATCTGGAATCTAATAAATCATGTTATTTCGGACGTTATTTCAAGAAAATGACGCTCAAATTATGGCTAAATTATGGTCATTTGAGCCTCCTGACGATCCTTAAAATAATGAAATGTCTGCAAAATCACTAAGGACCAATACCGCGTCATTTCAGAGCCCTTCTCCCGGTAAGTACTTCAAGGTTGTCTTGTGTCTACAACAGTTTTAATAAGTTCCTCAGTTGAAATACTGCAACGTGTCCCAATGGACCACTACTCGGAACATTAGGCTTATCTCCCTCGGGCACAATGAACCATGGAACCCCCCGGCACCATCCGAGCAATCTCCTTTGTCCTCCAGAAAGAGAAGCTCGCCTGCAAACATGGCGGCGGCTTATCGCTGGGGAGTGTTAGGATTGGCATCAAACGGGTAGCAAGGTAGGCAGTGTCGTGAAAGGCATCGTGAGTTTGACCTTCGTACTCAGAGCGTCCATAGTAGATTCATCCCTGCGCAAGTGTCAGATGTTCGCCCTTTGGGCAGCGATGGAGGGTCAAATTGCCCAGATCTTACGCCCCTTGATAAAGAGGCACTTCCCCGGTCATATCTGTGGGCTCTGTGATAGGGAAACCCTCATTGATTCGAAGGAACAAGTCTCCTGCGTGTGGCAGTTTGTTTGCTGACTCCAAATGCCTTACACCCAACGGCAACAAGAGTGACCATATGAGACGCACCCCATCATCTTGTGAGAAATCACTGTCAAGCTATGCGCACATTCCGAGACCAGTAATTGTATTACTTCTCTTTGGAGAGTATGGCAATGCCTTCCCACGAATCACCGACGTGGAACCAGAGATCTCCCGGCGCCCACAATGTTATAACCTCGGTAAGAGGCTCCAAGGCGCCAGAATGGTGTTGTTTCAGCTGCAACGTTCATTGAGGACAGCATCAAGTCTCTGTGCTTGTCTGATAAGTGTTACCAGCTTTTACACCTTCAACTGAGCCTGCATGTTGACCGGAACCGCGCACAGGCTGAGGCAGCTTCTTCTCGCGCAGAACGTGTCTCAAACGTCTCATCTACTTCGTTGCGTGTATCTACCAACAGCAATCAGCTTACTTTAGGAAATGTCTGATGACACATTAACACTGATTTAGACTTCGCTGTTGGATCTCTGAACAATTTAGGAGGGACCAACAGGTCCTCAGAAAACGTGAGGAGTGACCTTGGCATATCACACCGTTCGCAACCTCTACTTTGGTGAACCATTGTGTGTCTCAAGTTCTTGTTGGATCTGGTGTCTTTTCCTGCCAAAGTTTGTGGCAAGGATATCTCCCGGAGTTTGTCACCAAGCCCTATCTTTGACGAGCTCCTTACCAAACTTGAATTCAATGCCTGCCTGGTCGCCTTGTAACTTAGTCCACATGGCCACTTCTGTGGAGGCCAACGAGCACAACATACCGAATGACACGTATACCGTCCTAACACTCATGCATGGAACATAGATCCTCGAGAACCCAATCCCTCCAAATTCTCCTCCTTGGCACAAGAACGTTCTTACCCCAAAAGCAAAGACGAATGTGGTTCAACCCAGACAAACGCTTCCCATCTAGATCAACAATAGCTTGATCTATATCTTCTGTTCAGCGTCCTATCCGCTCTCACTTGATACTTGACGCCCTAGCAGCCTCAACATGATTTTGCGTTGTCGCTTTTGAAAAACCCTGTCGTGCTCGCTGCTCCCTTCAATATGCTTCGGGTTAGCTTCCGGTTTTGTGGTTCGTGGAAAGCTTTTTGGGCTACCCGGGCCTTTCATTTATTAGAGAAGTACCATTAGCACCAGCCTCACATTACGTAACCATTCTTTTCATGGCCTCAGTACCTTTCCAACAGTAACATTTCTGGGAATGCTTGTCAGGTCGTAAAATTGCTACCGGGATGCGAGATTGTGCATCTGCCTTTACACCAAAATTACTTGCACATACTACCTACTTCTACCCGCCACCAATGCAGTGCGTGACTAATCTTGGTGCCAAGACTGCTAAAGGGGTAGTTGGAGCGGCTATATGCGGAGCATATGTTGGCCTGGAGGCCCCAGGATAGGACAACTTGAAGTACTTATAGTACCCTAGCTTCTCCTGCTCCAGACTACCTTTTTTGACATGCCACTCTCAAATTTTGTATACACATCAATGGCAGCATGCTCTCTGCACGACATCTAACTAAGAGAATCTTCACATCCCAGCTTCGGTGCCGTGGCTATGCTACTGCTGCTTTTCCTTCAGCGAAGCTCAATCTACCTATTGATTATGCCAAAACCCCAATTCTTCACCACTCCGCATCAACCCTGCCTAAAGCTCTAGGGTTCCCTGTGAGTTCGTCATGCAAGCGCATGAATCTTTTTCAAGCTGTCAATGCTGCCTTGAGAGACGCGTTGTCCACGGATGAGAAAGTGCTGCTCTTCGGCGAGGATGTCGCTTTCGGAGGGGTATTCCGCTGCTCTATGGATTTGGCAAATGAGTTCGGGTCAGACAGGATCTTCAATACACCACTGTCAGAGCAGGGTATTGTTGGATTCGCCATTGGATGTGCAGCAGAAGGCATGAAGCCGGTGGCTGAGATTCAATTTGCCGATTATGTCTTTCCTGCGTTCGATCAGCTTGTCAACGAAGCCGCCAAATTTCGATACAGAGAAGGCTCTACAGGTGGTCATGCGGGAGGTCTTGTGGTTAGGATGCCGTGTGGTAGTATTGGCCATGGCGCTCTCTATCATTCGCAAAGTCCCGAATCTCTATTTGCACATATTCCTGGCTTGCGAGTCTTGATGCCACGATCACCGTCGCAAGCAAAGGGTCTTCTCACGGAAGCAATTCTCCATAATAACGATCCGGTAATTTTCATGGAACCTAAAGTGCTGTATCGAGCTGCGGTGGAGTACGTGCCTTCAGAGACTTATTCAATTCCTTTGGGTAGGGCAGATGTGATCAAGCCAGGGAGCAGTTTAACGGTGATCTCATACGGTCAACCTCTATACCTCTGCTCTGAGGCGATAGCAGCTATTGAAAGGGAGCTGAAGGGTGTCAATATTGAGCTGATTGACCTCCGAAGCATCTATCCTTGGGATAGGGAGACCGTGATCGCGAGTGCTGAAAAGACTGGAAGAGTGGTGGTCGTCCATGAGAGCATGACGAACCTCGGTGTTGGAGCCGAAGTGGCCGCCACCATCCAGGAAGAAGCTTTTCTACGGTTGGAGGCGCCCATCGCTAGAGTGGCGGGGTGGGCAACGCATTCAGGTCTCTCCTACGATAAGTTCAACATGCCAGACATAGCGAGTGAGTGGGATTGCCGATACTTCTTTCAAGCAAGCTGACACGTTTAGGGATATACGACGCAATCAAAAGGACGCTCAATTATTAATGTCATGGGACTGTTTCTTATCATATCTCAAGACTCGGAGACACGTTTCAGGAGATGCAAGTCCTCTATGGCTGTGACAGATCGCCGATACGCACCAAGACTGGGGTGCTATAACAGGGGTGATAAATGGGACAGCCCAGTGAGACTGCCTGCTTCTGCTCTCATCGTTTATTTTCATGCCAGTAAGTATGCTGATGTTTCTTTCCTTCCGCTCTATGCTGATGACCTCTAGCTGAATCCGAGACGTAGAAAGATGAAGATGGCAAAAGTCAATGGTACTCTTCTCTGAAAACCATAACCTTACCTTCTCCTGTTGTTTCATCCACCCAAGCTCTGAATAGCCCGCCGCAGTTGAAGTCAGATACGACCGTACCTGCCAGACGAGGCTTTTCCAAGGCCGTGTATGCTGTTGTACCTCCTTCGGAATCGTAAGTGTCACTGCAGACCTCGATTCCAATCATACCAGCCTGCCCCTCACCTGTGGCTTCCCATCTGTCGCCCGCTGATCTTTGCATCTCACCATTGATTCCAGCTGTCATATCCGCAGCTGTAGCGAGCGCGGTGGGATTGGACGTTGGGCCTTGCGTGCGAAAGCGACAAATTGCAGCGATAGTGCGGCAGGCAGCAGTGCGAAGGAAGGTATCACCATTCCCTGTACCAGAGATTGCAACTGCACGACGTCTGCTGGCTCGTTTGTGCTTTGTGGAGCTTGCGGTGTTTTCATAATACATTTCTGGCACAGTGTGTGGTCGAGCTTGCGTTTCACCGAGGCTTCTCGTCCAATGGAGATTGGTTGCTTGGGCCGTTTTCATACCTGTTGGTAGCAAGAGCTCATCACTTTGGTCTGCGGTTGGCGTGGAAGGCCAACAAGCTTGAAGCAATTCCACAAAGCCGGCGTTGAGTGCTATAGTAAGTCTTTCTTTCATTGTAAGCATTACAGCCTTGCCGTGGACGAGCACAGTAGGTGCTGTGGAGCTCATAGCAACTGGCTCTTCCCAACTTTCTGCCCAGAAACCCGCTCCCAGGGTGGGTGTATCTCCAACTCTACCGACTTTCTTGTTTGTCATTCCTCCTGTAGAGGTGGCAACCACAACATCACCCCACGAATCCATACACACGGCACCAACAGTGCCCTGACTAGGCAAGAAGATGTCTTCATCATGTATGGGACTCGTCTTGCTACCCACTTGAGCCAGCGCGGAGTGAGGCCTACTATCGTCTCGCATCTGATCCTTCTGCAAACCTCGCAAGTGCTCTGCCCATCTCTTCTCCGTCCAGAACCAACTGTGATCCTTTCGCTCTAGGCTTTTCTCCCTCCATCCCCACTCTTCCACGTCTGGTCCACTCAACTGGCAGTGCATACTACTAGCCTTACCATTTGGCTGCACCAACAAGACCTCTCTGGCCAACTGAATCGGATGTCTGGTTTCTCTGACTAGTGATACACTGGCACCCCTTTTCTGCTCTGCTGCCATACTCCCTCGATCCCTGCCATCTCTGTCCGGATCCACACTCGCCACCATGATCGAGGCTTCCATTTCGATGGTGCCTTTCTCGGTGAAGACGGATCCTCGGCCACAGTTGAATAGAGGGTCATCTTCCATCAGCGACACTGCATGAACAGAAGCGTCTAGAGCCGAGGATCCAGAATCAAGTAATATCCTGGTCGCGTCCAGGTACTTTAGGAGGGACGACTCATATTGATCATACAAGTCTGGCGGGAGATTCTTGCGTGTAATGTTCCCAGCTCCTCCATGGAGAATCAGCGTGGGAATGTATGGCCCAGGCAGCTGGTTTCCCTTTCCTGGAGACATTGTTGAGAAATGACTCTACTATCCAGCGAAACTCTTCTTTGTCGTGCAAACATGAAGTACACATCCAACAAGGGAAGTGGTACCACATGAGTACGTGAATTCATCACCACGATTGAAGTGTCGATTCTGACCGAACCTCGAAGGGGCGATTGCAAAATGTGCGCAGAGCTCCGCACATACTCTCACAGCATATGAGATAACGCGAAGTACGATGCATTATTATAACTACAACTACCTAATGCCGCCCGCATGCAGGACGTCGTCAGCCTGCATGGAGTCAGCTGGGCTCACAAGCTCACATCTGTATCCTCGGCCTGGACAGTGTGGCGTTTGCTCTTTGTGGCTGCTACACCCCAATCAGCCAATCACGATGCACAAGTCATTGCACAGCCTCGATCTCTTCGGTGCCCAGTGGATCCAGACCCAGCATTCTGGCGCCGACCACTGTACAATCAGAGCATGCCAGCGTACAAGCCTACTGGACATCTGTGACATTGCCCTTTCTGGATCTGTACAAGAGTGCGCACTTTCCCACTATTTACCGCCTCATTTCCAGACGCTTCCACTCGACATTGATTGCCAGTCAATTCTATTGCCTCGTCTATCACACCCCGGCCGGCGCCTGCAGCTGGCTTCGGGGGGTAACGGCTCGATCAAAGGGTCACACCGCTGCAAGCCACTAAACAATGCTCCGATTTCTTTGATATCACAAATAACTTCCTGCGATTTCTTTGTCCGGAATTTGTCCTACATACTGCTCCTCAAGACTTTGAGATGCCTTTCCGAGATCCAGCAGCTATACCATCTTTACACGCACACAGCACCAGAATTACATCAGGTTGATACCTCATCTTCGCCACTAAGATACCTTCACCAGCCATGGCAGCAGCAATTGCGCATACAATTGCCGTGGTAGACAAGTCTGGTAAAGTCATCAGCACTGTGGGTCGCCCATCTGCCGAGGTCTTCTTGATGTATTGCTAACAGTACTACAGAGCAAACAACTCAGAAATGTTTTCATGGAAGCCAAATTCGCATATCAAGAACGAAAAGCGGAGATTGTGGCAGACCGTAAAGCGAAGGCCGGGTTGAAGCACGACAAAGACCTCAGAAGAGCAGTGAAAGACCTGCGCATCGAAGACTCTCCATCAGAACGATCCAGCACATCAAGAAGACATCATAGCCACCACAGACATCACGAACCCGAGCGACGCTCAAGGCCTGATGGTTTAGGAAGGATCCACTCCGGCTCCTCAGTCGGAAGCACCAGACAAAGAGCCGGCAGTACCTCCCCACGGTCCCCAGTATCCCCTCACACTCGCTCTCCCTACGCGGAGACTGTTACCTCTAACCACTCCCACTCCGCACCCACCTCTCCTTCCCTAGCCCAACACCGAAACCGTCGCTCCCTCGACCTCGTCCGCCGCAACACCGACATGGACCTAGCGCGGCTCCCCCGCGCGACCCGTCAAGGCGCACCTGTCCGCTCTATGTCCGCTACAGCTATCGACATGGACCTTGCCTACGGCGACTATCACCCTTCTTCCATCGCGCCCCTCGCCCACAAACCCCACTATCTAGACGAAGAAAAAGAACTTCTCACTCTAGTTGACCGAGCCAAACTCCTCCTCGACGAAGCCAACTGCGCCCAACACTCCGTTAAAGCCATGATCGAGCACCTGCAGAAGAACCCGGATGCCATGGCTGCTGTGGCCTTGACCTTGGCAGAGATAAGCAACATCGCTACGAAGATGGCACCAGGCGCTCTCACTGTGCTGAAGGGCAGCGCGCCTGCCGTCTTCGCTTTGCTTGCATCACCACAATTTCTGATCGCGGCCGGGGTGGGGATTGGTGTCACGGTCGTGATGTTTGGTGGGTACAAGATCATCAAAAAGATCAAAGCGAAGAATGCCACAAACAAGGAGGGGAGCATGGACGAGGCATTGGAGATTGATGGCGAGGAAATCAATCGCATCAATGCGTGGAGGAGGGGGATTGTGGCCAGCAACGATGAAAATAGTGACATTGCTAGTGTGGGCACGAGCGTGGATGGTGAGTTCATCACACCCATTGCGGCGAGCATGAGGGGGATGGAGACGAGGGAGAATATTCTGGCCGGTATGAGTGAAAGGGAAAGGAGGAAGGTGGAGAAGAAAAGGGAAAAGAAGGAAAATAAAGAGATCAAGGAGAGGAGGAAGACGGCCAGGAAGGCGATCACTAGTGGTGGGAGCGGTAGTGAGATTGGGAGTGAGAAGAGTGGCAGTTCGAGGAGGTCATCTAAACTGGGCATCATGGCCGAAGATTCGCGCAGGTCGTTGGTCAAGGCCAAGAAGCCGAGCCCGTTGAGGAGGTTGCTTGCTTGATTGATATGTACTTTGTTGCGCAACGCATCTGGAAAACAACCAGGGGTTGGTTTGGCATCCTCTGGGACTTTACAGTGAGAATCGAGGACATTCAACCTGCGGCTGTGATCGATATCCTGTCAGATGAGATATCAAGATGTTTCGAGCATATCAGCAAGCGAGGGGGCATTGCCCGCGTAGATCGGTTTCTTGGTCACGGTGATTGAAATGATAACATACTCCTTACCATAGTAACTTATTCAAAGAATCACTCCAATCCACTCCAATCCACTCCAATCTCACCAAATTTTCTCAGTCACCCCTCCCGAGAACGGAAATGAATTCATCTCTACCTACCCAATCCTCCTGAGAACAACACTGCCAACTCAACCCGAATCCTCCGAACCCAAACCCAACCAAGTATTCAGCGGGCAAGGAAGCAGCTATCTCATCTTATTTATCCCCTCTGTGCCCAATGGCTCAATTAGCGCCTTTGGTGGGATTTTAAGCTCGAATAAGGTTGCTTGTTGGATATCCTTTAAACCAGCACTCAATGACGGCGACTGTCAGATAACTCATTCCACAAGGAGGGGAAAACTCTGTCCCTAGAGACCTTCATCCTCAAATATCTACCTAAGGCATTCGTACAAGCAAGAGTTGTGGCAACCTCAAATTCAGGAGATCGACGACGCTAATTGCTCCATTCTACACCTACGGCGGACTATTACTTATTGGGTTGACGGACACGTCAAAATTTTGAATCTCAAAATCAGTTTGGAGCCAGCAATAGGGTTATTTGATTCTGTTTGAGGGCCCTACTCTCCAAGGTTCTACCCTCTTGAGATACCTTCTTAAGATACCCTCTTCTCTAAGGCACCCTCTTCTCTTAGGGCACCCTCTTCTCTTCAGACACTCTCTTCTCTTCAGACACCCTCTTCTCTTCAGACACCCTCTTCTCTTCAGACACCCTCTTCTCTCGGGGCAACCTCTTCTCTTCAGACACCCTCTTCTCTTAGGGCACCCTCTTCTCTTGAGACGCCCTCTTCTCTTGAGACGCCCTTTTCTCTTGAGACACTCTCTTCTCTTGAGGCACCCTCTTCTCTTGAGACACCCTCTTCTCTTGAGACACCCTCTTTTCTTGGGGCACCCTCTTCTCTTGGGGCACCCTCTTCTCTTGAGACACCCTCTTCGCTTGGGGCACTCTTTTAAGGCATCCTCTTAGGGCACCCTCTTAGGGCACCCTTTAAAGCACCCTCTTCTTACATCATCTTTTTCTATCCTCTTACATTCTCTTCTTACATTCTTTTCTTAAGATATCTTTTATATCTATAACAACTTAAGTGCTTAGTCTTCTGTAACATTATATGACTAGTTCATAGGAGGAATATTAATATATACTGTGAGAATAGAGTTATATAGCTCTTGCAATAACTTAAAACTGATTTTGAAGTTCAAATTTTTGATCTGTCGTCAACCCAATAACAGTCCACCATACACCCTGTTCGGGTACAGAGGGGATACAGATGCAATTCCTTCCCCCACTCCACAGAAACCAATGAGCCGAAGCACTGCAACAATCCTGAGGCCTGAACTTTGTTCATCTAAATGATTGCCCAACCATTTCAATTCAAATCTCTGCCCGTAATATCGCAAGACCATTCTTTGTGATGGCGAAGAATCTGGCTAGCCAAGAAAAGGGACACATCAACCACTGCACTCCTACTACTACTTAGTAGTAGTACAGTACTAGGTCAAAAGTCTCCGTTCAACCCCACTTTTGCATCAAAAGACATACTTTTCAACTCAAACTAACTATTTTTCCTAGGTAATAAACTATTTAAAAAATATTATTAGGTTGTTCTAAAATAGTAAAAAATAAATTATATATAAAAACTTTTTATCTGGATACCATATAGAAGAGAGAGATAGGAGATAAAGTAGATCCAAAAATTTTAGAGAAATTTTTTGGTGGGGTTGTCATACAAATTTTATTAAAAATAAAATATAATAACTTGATCATTAACTAACTCTTGACTAAGTAGATTAATAATTAAATAATATATAAGAAAAAGTTTTATCTATCAAATTTCTACCTAGATATAAAATTTCAAGTAGTCATGAGCTGTTTTGGTCAAGAAATAGATATTTCAAAGAAACCACTTTACGCGTAAAACACGAGATCAACGGAGACTTTTGACCGGGTACTGTATAGAGGTTGAAAGGTTCTGCTTGGCGGACTGGGCTAAACACTGTCGCGTACTAGTTAGAGGTCCGGAAAGCATTCTTTTCGCTCAAAAGCTGAAATTACGACAACATTGCAACTGCACAGAAGAAACGTGATAGGCGAGACCGTAAAAGCCACCAGATACCTGTGTCATGACACCTTTGAGAACGCAACAAAGCTAGAAATTAACACCAAATGCAAACTCCTTTCATTCTTCAGCTCGCAAGGCGGCGTTTTGCAAAATGACCCACACTGCCCCTTGGAAATGAGATTGTATTTTTCCGCAGTTTCCGTCGGAGACCAGCACCAGAAAGGCGAAGCACAGCAAGCTCATACGTAGGATCAAACCTGCATTCATCAGAAATTACGTGAACGGCGACAGAATTTCGAGATGGCTGCTAAATTGATATGCATCATACTCGGCTGAAAGAACTTGGAGTGCCAGACCCGCTTCTTGCTCTGTCTGGTGGGAGGGGATGTACAGCTTATGCACGTTTCAGCAAGGCTTCAGTATGGTAGTACAACGTATCTACCGTCATATCTTCGCACCGAGTACAGGGATCCATATCCTTCAGTATTTCACACCTCACCAAATTTTATCGCACGATAATGTCTGTATGAATGGCAGATCCTCAAATCAGCTTGTCCATTACAGGTGACTAATTCCTTGGTTATGAATTATCAAGATTTGATTTCTTCGCCGACGTATCCGAATGGGGCAGGACTGCTTTGACATAAGGTGTGTTTTACTGTCCTATGCTCGATTGTGTTGCTACCACCCAAATGGGAGAGGCCCAATAGTCTGGGCTCTGTTTAGAAAACCTAGCTAGGTGCCAAAGATCCATATGTCAGTTGAAAAAAAGATGGTAGGTCAGTTAAAGATCATTTTACCATTACAGAACCTGTCACTCAGCATATTCACATTTCCTTCCCAACTCTGGTTTCACCCTAGGTTGTTTCAGCGTGTTTACTCTCACGAATGGTTTTGGAACTTGGCTTGGCAGTCCCGAAGACCACCACCAAAAAGCTTGAAGGGGGGCGGCTCACCCTTTGAGGCTCCTCGGAAAGGTATAAGTTGAGCCATTCTTGCACCGAAGAACCCTTTTTCATGCCCACTTTATTCTCCCTTACTCCCAGTTATTAGCCCAACAGCCGTTATACGACTCATACTGCACCAAAGAACTTGCCAACGGAGCATATCAATAATCAACGCTTTGCTCTTCATTTCTTTCTTTGAAAAAAATGTCGCCCACGCCAGGACGAGGGGCCCGTCAGGCGAGATCCAGTGATTCAGGCCCATCCCAAGCCGCAGCACCATCCCAAGCCGCAGCACCCTCCCCCGCAAGGTCGGCCAACGAGGATGAGCCCAGCAACTCGATGGCGCCACAAGCTTCTGTTAGGGACCTTGGCTTAACTGTGCTCGTGGCTCCTAAAAAACCTGCCGCCGATGTTGTCTTTATCCATGGGTTACAAGGCCATCCGAAGAAGACGTGGACGTACGAAGGAGACGAACCTAGGAGGCCTGCTGGTGATCGAAGCCAGGACAAGGAAACACAAGGGTGTTGGCCCTTCAACAAGGAGGCGCAAATCTCTCTCTTTTGGCCCCAAGTTCTGTTGCCAGCCGATCGAAAGGATGTCCGAGTCATGACTTATGGATATAATTCCTATATCACAAGGCGCGGAGGGCAAAATGTTAATAAGATGACTCTTCACGATCATGGTCGGGGATTTCTGAATACGCTGACCAGTGAACGAATCCGGTCCCGTTGCCAGGACCGGCCACTCATTTTTGTAGCTCACAGTCTTGGTGGTCTTATCGTCAAGGAAGCCCTTCGGTTATCATGGCTTGCAGCACGTCATGACAACCATAGATCCGTATACACCTCAACCTATGCGACGATTTTCTTTGGCACCCCGCATCGTGGGTCACAGGACGCCGCATGGGGTGACGCAATCAGGGCATTGCTTTCATGGACCATGATCGACACCTCATCTAGTCTATTACGAGAACTAAACCCTCAGGGTGGGGGTTCAAAGCTGGATGAGCTCTGTGATGCATTTACTGAAATGCTGCAAGACAAAGATTTCAACGTATATACCTTTGTGGAGTCTCAGGGCAAAGTGGGATGCGGATGCTTAAGCAAGCAGGCAAGTTTAATTTTTACAAAAAGTTTTTCGTGGTTACAAGCTGACAATGGGGATAGGTTGTTCTCAAAGAGTCTGCTGTGCTCCATCTCCCTCCGTGGGAACAGGTAGACTACATCAGCGCAAATCATCTGGACATGTGCAGGTTCAAAGGACGCCACGATGATGGTTATCAGAAGTTCCTGGCTGCTCTAAATGAAACGATGAAGAAGGTCCGAGCTAGGCAACGGCGAGGCCAAGGGGGTATGGGTATGTACAGAGACCCTTCTTCACCACGCAGGCTCGACATCAATGGATACTAACAAAAGCATATAGTCGCCTTCGCAATCCTCCCGGCTTTGCTAAGCCTTATCTTACGCAGGTGACCAGCTGCCTTAGTGGATGCAGACGAAATGTCGAATAGATATAGATGCCCAATGAAATACACACTTGGTTTGGAGACTAGTCCTATTTAGGCTATTTTGCGGACGTCGATACCCAATTCTACATGGTACGTTTGATGCTAGTACGGATACTAACGTTTTTCAGCAGGGGAGGTGCAAGAATAGGCCTGTAGCCGTAGTATTCCGTTCTAGTTATTACATATTTGACAGGATCAGAGTAGATATGTACAATTTTCACGGTTCGGTGAAGTCACACTGCAAACAGCGTATCATACTACCCAACACCCTCAATTGCGCTGCTTTATGCGTAGAACTCCTCGGTGACTTGAGAGAGATGAGATGAGATAGAATTCCTGCTCAGTTGATCCCCATCCACACTCCAGATATCCGTTAAATAACTAGCTCCCCAGAGAATTGCCGGTGTTCGGACGTCTGCTCCCTGGTCCTTCATTCAAGCGGATTGGGTTTCCTCCCTCCTCCTCCTCCTCCTCCTCCTACTCCTCCTCATCAACCCCTTCCTCCTATCACTCCGATGATACAAAAAGCCGCCCACGCAAACGACAATCGTCACGGGCAGCGTGATGGCCCAGAAGACCCAGAACCAGGGCGCGACGTGAAGTCTGGGTCTTGCGGAGCCGCCGTCGTCCGGGAGGGAGAAGAAGGTGGTGCTGAAGACGGTCTGCTTTTTGCGTTACACAACGGGGGAAATTGGGCCCAGGGGGAAAAGTTTTGGCTCACAGCTATGGTGGTGACGGGCAGGAACAGCAGAGTGACGCCAGCGATGGTCTTCATGGAACTGCTGTCGTTCTTCAAGACGCGGCTGTCTTGCTGGGTGACCAGATTGAATGACTGCGTAACGACGGGGATTAGTTCTTGCTCAGAGCGAGAGACGTGAGGCGGGTCCAACTCGCCAGGTTGATGATGTTCTGCATTCTGCGATCGAGGCTCGTGAGGCGGATTGAGATTGATCTGAAGAGCTCGCCCTGGTGTTGCAGGGCGCTGTGGGTCGCCTTCGGAATCGGTGCGGGGGCATTCGGGCTTTTGATTTGATAGCGCTGTTCGTGGTGTTGCAGCATGCTTTGATGGGTGGCGAGTGCGGCGTCGATGCCCTCTTTCATGAAGACGACATGCTTCGCCACGTTGTGCAAGCCGACAAAGTCCGGTGTGGCGCCGAGGTCGTTCAGCGCGTGCTGTCACTCAGCAGTTTTAGTAAGGGCTTTGTTTGGTTTAGGAACGCTTCTGCCTTCATACATATTCCATGGCTCCAAAGACCGAACTAAGCTCCCATACCAAGCCATCCATCTGGAGAAAGAGTTCGTTGAGGACAACGACAAATAGACCGTATGGATCAACCACGGCATCATGCCATTTCGCATGAGAAGCTAGGCGCTGCAAGCGACGGACCAGAGGCTTCCCAGGACCAAAGCATATCAGTGTCACTGGACCGTCAGGCCGAGACTGCTGGAGGAAGAACCCGGCTTTATTCCAGCTTTGATCAGACTGGCTCTGGGGGTTGCGCAGTGGCGAAAGGATGCGTGGGACACCGTCACCGTCTCGCTGGACATGGACGTTCTTGAACAGATAATGGAACCACGAAGCTTTGCTGTTGTCTCAGTCAGACATCCATGTCTGGGTTCGCCATGGGACGTACAATAGCTGGCACTGTCGTCTTCGCGCACGCCAAAAGAATGCGTCACGCTCTGGGTCCTCTCCGTCAGGAAACAGGGCGGTACGTTGAATTGGCGATAGAGAGAAGTCAGAACTTTCAGCGTCCGCGCGTTGGGCTCATCCAAGGGAGCAAGTCTGCCACGAGATTAGATGTGTCTTGTGATCGAACATGATATATGGTGAGCCTTGAGGCGCACATTATGCGTAAAGAAGGCTGTCGAAGACTGGGTAGCTGGTCTACCGCAATGCTTTTCAACAATGGATCGCTTGGATCAGGATTGTCTGTTGGCGTTTGGTTGGATCAGCTGTGTGAATTTTCAAGGGCTCGAAATACCTCTCGGCCACTCGAGAACGTCAACGGCCACTTCGCTGCCGCCCTCGGGCTTTTGGTTCTCAACAAGACCCTGGTACTCGTCGAGCTGGTATTGATCATCGAAAAGGTAAGCCATAGCCGCTGCACGATCATGAAGACGGGACAAGAGACGTCTCTCTGCAGGACATCGACTTGCGGTCTCGTCCAAGTTCGTGAAGGCATGTTTTCAAAGTCGTCGCCTCGTCGAGGTAGTCAATCCTCTTTGAGTAAGGGCTGCCAACACAAAAAGGGAATATCGGGCTGGCTGCGGGCGCAAACTCTAAGGCTTCTTCTGCAGCCTCATCACTCCCGATCGCTCCAGATCAAACCCAGACCCACTCAAGGCAACGGAGACATTTCTCGTATCGGATCGGATGGTGGGCTTGAAAATACTACGAGTATATCACGTTCACTTCTCGATTCAGCTGCCTCACCCATGGCGTATATGCTTCAATAGTCTACAAACAAGCCGTGTCATTCGATCACGAAATGGTGGGCTGTCACAATGTAACATAATACTAATAATAGCGGAGTCATAGGGCGTCGTGTGTGCTACGGTACCAGCAGAAGTAATGTACCACTGCGCTAGTAGGAGGCTCGTCTCTGCTCACCTCGTTACAATTTTGGAAGCTTATTTTGTCTTTGGCCATACAGAGGTCAAAACAGGACCGCTACTCCGTATTGAGAATCAAGCTTAGCCGTTACGGAAAGCTTCTGTACTAAGCCAGGGATACAGGGATACCAGAGCTGTGTTATGAATACTTAGCGTCGTGTGAATCATATCGCCGTACGGAGTATGTCCGAGCGGTGATATATTGTCCAATCACCAGGAAATATGGCGCATAATCCCTGGCAGAGGTCCCATTCAGCCTTGTCCAGCCTTGAGTATAAAAGGGGTATTGCTCCTCTCCGTAACTGAATTGCTGATTCTCAAGTTCTCACAAATGGTGCGTTGAGATCCTCTGGCGCGAGGACATGGCTGACATTCTGAGTAGGCTGACACACGACGTACTGATCCCCGCTGGGATCATGAATCTCTATCCACCCAGGTAAGACTCACTGTCATGGTTGAAGAGAAGCCGCACTTACGTAACTCTCAGACACACAATTCTCATTCCGAAGGACAGCAGCAAAGCCCTGGGTACTACCCAGGACAAATCAACCAGCACGGCCAGAGTACGCACTATGGCGGCAGCGCCCCATCGCAGCAGCAACAATTCCCAGCACACAGGCCCCACGGCGGAGGTTTCGTACCAGAGCCTCAGCAACAAGCTCCGGCACACAGGCCCCATGGCGGAGGTTTCGTACCGGAGCCTCAGCAGCAAGCTCCGGCGCACAGGCCCCATGGTGGAGGCTTCGTACCTGGACAGCACAGCCCTGTGAGTGGAAACTACAACAGCACGTCAGCAGAGCAGCAGCATGGGCAGGGTCAGGGCCAAGGTCAGGACAGGTGGCAGGTAAGGAGCTCTCCTTGGCGGCAGAATAGGATAAGCTGATTGGGACGTGATGAATAGTACATTGATGCTGCGTCGAAACAGGCGATGGGTCCATCATATGAGAGATCTTCGACATCAAAGGGACCTTCGTCGGTACAGAGGCTCAAATTCGCTTTCCGTGAATAGTATAGTGATTTGGTCCATAGGATACAATGCCCAAGCATAGTGAGCTTAAGCCTAGTGAGCTTGGGCCAAGTCAAACCGTACTTGCTCAATATGTACGTCGTCGATGTATCTCCTTTTTGTGGCTGTTGTCTGAGCTTTAACGCCTCGCTAGGTTCCCCCTCGGAAGTATCAACGGGGATATTGGAATATCTGGAACGATCGCAACATGTGGCGATGGAAGTTTCCCAACGCGTACCAGATGCCAGGCTTGAGATTTGAATCATATGAACTGATCCGGCACCGAGACGTCCTGCAACGTGTCTTAGATAGCCCTGAAGACGACCGCTATCTCAGTCCTACCGACGGTCATTTGAGCAAGCTTGTGGTCCAGGCGGTAGATGACGTTTATGACACTCGTGCAAGATCGACTTGGAGACGGACCTTCATGCGCGACGTCAGCCCCCTAATGGTACGGATAGCAAATTGGGCAATCAACTCAGTTCCATTGGACAAAGCACACTGGAGTGGAGAGGATTGGGCACTCGTCAGTGCCAAGTGGTTGCTGGCTTGCGTTTTGCTGATGGGCGTGGTACGTTCTCCCCCTTCCGCCAGCGGCTGAGTGGTACGGGTGGAATCTGATGAGGACAGATGCCTGTTCCGACTCCCGGAGAAGGCGAAATCCGGAACCGAGGCTGGTACGACCCCTTCCCCTATCGTTTCTGGGGGTATGCCAAGTATTGGCGAAATCTGCATGAGAATGAAACCAAAACTGGCAACGCAGACGAAGAGCATCGGCGTGCTCAACAGAGAATCAAAAATCAAGAAATCGGATTGGAGAAAGAGCTTTCGGAGGAAGATGGGGGACTCAATCCGGTCGACGACCGCCTCCTCCAGCCCAGATACCTTTGCTTCTTGGACACAAGTCAGACGCAGATGCCGGCCACCCCAATGAAAGTTGAGGATTGGAAAGCGCGAGAGCCATCTGCCACTCAGCCAGAATACATGTTCATTGCGTACACGGCGGAGCAGTTCCGAGGACTCAAGGATCTGCAAGCTCTCGCACAGCTGGCTGAAAGAGCAACCAGAGAGGCAGGGCTCTCGGCGTACTGGATTGGATCCAGCTGCATGCCGGATGAGCAGGAACTGGAGCAAGACGTCTATCGCATCAGCGATGTGATCCGTGGCGCCAAAGCCATGGCCATCATCGTGGGTCACCCCGTCAACAACAGAAGCGAAAACTTCTCGCCCGAAGATCTCCTTAAACAATGGGGAAGACGCATGTGGACTTTACCTGAAGCGCTTCTTAGCCCCAGAGGAAACTCTATCAAGATCTACAGCCGCGTTACCGACGAGCCGTGGGAAATCTTGAAGGCCAACTTTGCCCACATTGTCTGGCATGATGCGCCTTGGACCAGACAGCTCATGGACCACTACGAAGGTACCTTGATTCTCAGTCCTCTTGAGCTCGTCGTCCTCGCCTTGCGATGCCTCAACACTCGTGACGTCGATCGCGAGACGCACTTCCCTGGAGATCTGTCTTACGTGCTGATGGGTCTGCTGCGACGTAGGCCCCGAGCCAATCGTTTCGATTCTGCCTTTCAAGCGTTTGCCAGGCTTTCGCTTGCCAATGACAGTAACAAGCTCATAGAGCGCTTGGTCTGTATCCATCCAAAGAACCCAGACCAAACATGGTCATGTACAGAAGACGCCTGGAACGTGCAGCTATGGGATATTTATCCGACCATCCAGGTCGCAGGCGTGGGTCACGACGACACTGTGATCCTCGATGGAGCATTCGGAGCAGCAATCCGTTGGAAGTCGTTCGCGCCGGTGGCTTATGCCTCGCAAACTTCCTGGAAGCGATATACAGCAAATCTGGCACTAAGGTCAAGCTCCCTCGTCTTTCTTACCGGTACCATCCTCTTAGGGATTGGGGCTCGCGCGGGCGGTACGTTGCGAGCAGTGGGTGTGGCTTTGATGTTATTCTCGGTCGCCGTCGTCCTTGCCTCACCGTACCTGGTCCGCGTTCAGTACGGTGGGAAATTGTGGGACACTCAACCCTGGTTTTTCGGCTTCGAAGGCTACCTAGATATCGAAACCATTGAATCCCACATCTTTGGCACGTATCGCGGTCGCCTAACGTGGTCTCCTTCCAGCAGTCCTCTCTCACGCCATTACTCCAACGAATTCGGTGAATGCATTGGCTTGGATCCGACGAGTGATGTCGAGGTGCGCCGCCTTGTGGAGGAAGCAAGAACAGCAGCATATGGGAAGCAGAAGATCTTTACCTTGGTCGACACTTTTACTTTGCAGGTAACTCTGTTTTCTGCTGTGCGGCCGCCGATCACTGCGCTGTTGTGTGGGAGTGAGGGAGGCATGCAGCGTGCTATTATGTGCTCGTACGATGCAAAGACGCAGACGCTGTATCGCGAGAGCGTGCTACGAATGGAGACACTTGTTCTCGAGAGGATGTCTCGAGTCGGTCGGGTTCGCTTTGGTTTCCGCCGGCCTCTTCCGCGCACACAGGAATCCGCATGAGAGAAGCCTGCTCTAAATGACTGGCTGATTTGAAAGGTTTCTTAGGGCACTCTATCAGCTGTCGTAGAGCTAGGTCAAACTTTTTTTAAAGGTATGTATCCTTGTAATGATAGTATTAGGGATAGGTCGATTTCTGCTAGAATAATACGAATATTTATCGTCTAAATTATCAGCAACTTGAGAGGAGAAGATGATACCGCTCTGATCAATCCGGAATGTTATCTGCCACGGTCTTACTGATAATGTCAGACACCAACAGAGCGGGTCCGTAGCGTTGAAGGTTGACGATGGTTGACGATGGTTGACGTTGCTGTGCAACCACAGCATTTGTTAGGTGCTGGGGGGGGGGAAGGCGGAGCGCTGAGCCTGTCAGCCGCACCAACACCCGAGACCTAACAAATGCTCCCTAGGAATCTAGATGCAAAGTTCGGATGGAAGAACTCCGCAGGCGCCAAGGCCCAATGCGCCCCACACCGTCTGGATTATTGGCCCTCCTCATTTTGACCAAAATACAATGAGTCGATCAAAGTCTGCATCAGTCAATTCATCAATTTCTTGCTTAAGATTCGGATTTCCTGCGAGGCCCTGGTACATATTCAGTGCCCGTTTCAAGTGCTCTTGTGCGTCCGTCCCCATTTTCTCCAATAATTTCCCTTTCTTGTATAGAGCCCGGGCGTTTTCGGGGCGGAAGTGCTTGCGACCACTATAGATTTTGAGTGCTTGATCAAGCAAGGACCTGGTTTGTTCATCAACATCCTGCCAAGGCGACGGAGGATACTCAAGGGAAGAGAAAGGCGTGTCATACATTGCTGCGTCACATTGACCAAGTCGAGCGTAATGATCAGAGACTTTGACACATAAGTCTCCAGTTCGGTGATGGTTTATTCCTATGGTTGACTTGTATTGCTGCAAACCTCTCAGGTGAAACTCGAGGCTCTCGTCTAAGCGACCCTGGGATGCTTTCACGTTTCCATAAGCGTGGAGTAGCTTTCCGGTCCTGCGACTTATCAGCGAGAAACCTTTTGGTGATTTAGAAACCGTTAGCGGACTTGTTTCCTTTGATTGCTTACATGAATGACTCCCGGTCGTTGATTCCGTATGCAGCCTCGCGTATTGCAAGGATATCATGCAGAGTCTGTTCTGCTTCTGCCAGACGCCCTTGAAGCCAGTACGAGAAGCCGAGATTGATGACTGGGAAAGAACAATCCACGGGCTTATAGTCCTCGAGCTGTTTCAGCGTATCAATTGAACGGATAAAGCACCCTTCCGCTAAGGTCCATTCCTCATTCATCATATAAGCGTTGCCGAGTTCGTTCCACGACACAGCCAATCGCATGTCCTGAGTTTGAGGGTGCCCGTCGGCGAAGGCCATCATCGTGGTGTTGAAGTTTTGAAAATGCAAGAGCGCGGCTTCTGGCTGATTTGTTTCTGTGGCAACACATCCGAGATCATGGCTGATTTCCGCCGACAAACTCTTGATGGATCTGAGCATAGAAACATCCTGACTACCAAGCTCTTTGAGTAGTCCCTCTAGAGAGGTGCATATTGATCCAGCAGTGTCTGAATAAAGCGTAGATTCGAGAGAATTTCCACGTTGCTGGTTGAACCTTTGTGTCCAGAGTCAAAAGCTTTCATGGTACCAAACTGAGGCATTACTTACCGACCTGCATCAGCTAGGAGCATGGGAAACTGCAAGCTGGCTTCCGAAACTCTCTGGGCCGGCTTTAGACGTGATGAGAATCTGTGTAACTGGATAATATGGGGAAACAGCTGGGCACACTTCGCCCATCTCGAAATACCATGTCCAAAACTGAAGTTTTCAAATGGCCAAACCGAGGAGACGAGATCAACGGCCAAAGAGAATACAACCTCAAATCTGTCTGCTGTCATTTTTGATCTTGCTCCATCTTGGACAAGCCGATGCACCATAATTCGGTTGGCACTCCGGTCCCTGGCTATTAGCGAAGATTGCAAGAGCTGTGTGCGTGCTTCTTGATACGCGGCTTCTGTCTGTGGATAGCCTTCAGCGGCGACTTTGGACAGCGTGCTTTGTAGGATGTGTTCGGAAATGTCGTCTGGATCTAGAAGAGACAGGACGTCCAGCAGAATCGCACCATTCTTGTTCAATTTTTCAAGAGCCCAGACGGTATCCAGAGTGTGCTGGTACCCGCTGCGAACCTTCGTATTGCCGACTTGCAGCTTGAAAAACTTGGACCGCGTATCCTCTTCTTCAAAGACGCTAAGAAACTCTGAAAACGAGAGCTCTCGACGTTCTATTACCCCTGCCATTTGTGTTAGTGCAAGAGGGAAACCCCCAAGCCTTTCCGCAACTGCACTACCAGAAATTTTCTCTGCCTCCTCTCCTTCACGGCGCGTGAGTTTGAGAAGAAATCTAGTTGCTTCATCCGTCGTAAAAGGTGGTAGGATAACCCCAGAATTGTCGGAATAGATATAAGTCTTTGTGAGTGGATCCCTACTTGTGATCAAAAGCGCCCCCGCCCCTGAGTAGTCAAAAGGCCAATAATCATCCAAGATATCTGGATCATCTACATTGTCAAAGATAAGGAGCCATGAGGCTAGTCTGGGTTCATTCTCCTGCTGCTTGAATGTTTTGAGGGGATTTGCAAGCCATCCTTTCACCAAGTCTCGCACCACAACGGGATCTTGAGCATCTGCCGAGTCTTCCAGCACCAGTCCTAGTTTTGTAGCAATATTGGTATATCCTTGGGACAGCTTCAAGAACTCATCGGCTTGCACCCAGAAGATTGCGTTGTAATGATCTTTGGAAGTATGCACGAATTCAGTGGCAACTTGTGTTTTGCCAATGCCGCCAGGTCCACACAAAGCAAACATACTCAGATGTGGATCATTAGTTTCCTGGCGTGTCTCATCTTCTGATTCGGGCAAGAGTGCTTTTCTCATTGCCTGCAGCACCATATCACGACCAAAAAAGGCACGATTTCGACTCTGGGGAGGCATAATATAGCATGGTAAATGCAGATCATTCCTGTCGGTGGAAAAGTCGGTAACAAGGGGTATCATCTCGAAACTCAATGATGTAGAACCACTGGTGGCGTTGTTGGTGGTCTGCTGGGTCCAATCTTTGTCATTGGGGAACAAGATTAGCCATCATGTGCCTCCTGAGCCCAGTGAAGAGACCTACCCTCTCTCTGACTGAGCGGCAAAGTAGGGCTCTCTGAACGTACGGTCTGTGAATCAAGAGCAGGTGGTACGATATCTGAACGTGTTAAAGGAGGCAACAGCCGCAGAATGTTGAGACCCCTTGCTCACATTCTTCAGATCCTCTACGTATACGGGCTAAGGCCTCATTCGCAGCCGAGGCGAGAAAAGAACTAATCTCGTCAAGGGGTTGGCTTCCATTTTTGATGCAGCACATTTTACTGTGATCCGCTTCAATTCCAACGGTTTTTTCAAGCCTGACGTTTGTCTTAGCAAGTTCCGACCCCACCAGCTGTATCACCTAAGGATTAGCATCCCGTCTGTGTGACTTCACTGAAATATCAAGACTTACGATGGTTTTGCTGGACAAATAACCTCCGAGTCTAGTTTCACAGAGCTCGAAGACCGAAAGAACAGGAACCAGATCAAAGGCTTGTTCGAATGATAAAGATACTCTTGCTAGTCTTCTTGCAATTTCTGAAGAAATAGGAAGTTTAGCTTTCTTGGATCTCGAATGAAGTCGCAGGATCGTGCCTGCATTCTGCCAGCTGTTTGGATTCTCTGATTGGGAATGAGGTGTTCCAAGAAAAACTGCCCCAGCAATAGTGCGCCAAAGTCGTCGAAATTCAGTTGCTTGTTGGTGTACCAAGCTCATAGCCTACTTCAGTAAGATCGAGTGCTTTTCTTGAGGGCTTGGGGCTGGTTTGAGATATACCTCTTTCACAACTATCCCACCGAGACTATGCGCTATGAAGCAGATCGGTCTATCCGCTAACTACGATGCCTAGTTCAGTGGATATTTGCCCTCAAGATGGGTTCTTCTTGCCTTGTCATCTTCTCCTAAATTGATCAGTTCGTCAAGTAACTCTGCACCTTGGTCAAACAGCGCCTTCCACGAAAAGTCATCGTCGGCTCGCAGATTATGCTCGAAGCAGTAGATTGCAATATCAGGCGCAGAGGTTAGCGGGATCGAGCTCAACCATATTCCTCCGTCGCCATTTTTCCAACTCTGCAGTGGTGCGGTGCCAACTCCAGGAACAATGATGAAGCTACAAGTAATGGACGGCCACAAATCAGAGCGATCGACTTAGAATTTCAAGTATAGGAACATAAAGTGAAGGTCACATACATTGTTGTGACTTCCACTCCACGATACACCTCACGAAGCTCTGTGCGTGGGTCATTTGCCTTGGCTACGGGCGACATTGTTAAACCACCCCAATGGTTGAGGAAAGGCTGGAGTACGCTGGGCGGAAGTAAAATGATGATGAGAGATTCAACATTACCCCGCACTAGACACTCTCCCGCCTCAACACCTAGTACTCTAGATCAACGCCGCGATTTTGTTACTCCCATGGCCCATCTTCAACCACAACCTACGGCCACATATCAAAAGCTATTAGTTTGAAGTTAAGTGTAACATTGATGGCCCTTGTGTAACTGAATGGGCAATATTTCCTTATTCAGAAGTGTTCCCGTGAGCTTAAATGAATTAAAGTACCATTTTACCGGGCAGAAGTATTCATAGCTCAGCGCTAGTATTTGTGGCCTGATACTACGGTAGGAGCATAAGTATTGTAGGTTTACGCTAGTAGTATCTAGTACTCAGTATCACGTCATCATCAATTTCTCCACATCCCTGAGAGCCCGGTTGATCAAGCGTGGAGACCATTGGTTGATCAAGCTCACGTGATGTAGCCTGTCCTTGTTTTGGATCTTGGCAAGATGTATAACGGCTGTCTTGATACAAAAATACTAGCGTAAACCTACAACACTTATGCCTGCTACCGTAGTACATATTGCTTTCATCACCGCTGAGCCAAATACTTAATAGCGGTTTTTTCATGGCGAATTGTATGGTCAAAAGCGAGTTAAGCTTCTCCAAAGTGGATGCTGTGATAGTTGTGGCGCCGTAAATGAAACTAGCTCCTACTAGCACCATGCTCTGGGTACTTCTGCCCCCTACGGAGTACCGTACGTAGTAGTAGAAAGTTTTGCTGCAGTCTTTTACGCCTAATTAACGCTTGTTTCTTCTTAAACCTCGTACAAAGCGACCAACAGCCCTTCCTGCACAGTTTCACATCCTTTTACGCCCAAATAGTACTCATTTGCCTCCATGGTTGCATGCCGGTACTTTTCCTGGCTCTCATTACGGCCGCGATAGCATCCTCACAACAGCACAAGAAATCGATATTATTCTCTCTACTCATATCTTAGATTTTTCTGGAAGGACGGAATTATAACTTAGCTGTGTATCCCAACCGCCCTAAACAGCCTATACCAACAAGTAACGACACAACGGTTCTAGTTTCTAGTCCTATTTAAGGGCATCGAACACACCATAACTGTCTCTTGCCATCCCAGATGCAACGGGCCAGATTCTCGCCGCGGTCGTCAATCTCAATGCATGATGGTCACACTCATAGGCAGAGCAAATCCGTCTCATGTGCAGCGCAATCTCTTCCTACCCTCCGTTGGCCTGAAGCGCATGGCCCTCCTGGCAGGCTTCCTCAAGAATTCGGCGTACCAGCGAGCTTCGTACTAAGTTTTCCTTCTGAACCACAAATTCATTTGGCCGGGGCGTAGTGACTGTTTGATAAATGCAGGGACATCCCACTTGAAGAAAATAAATGACAAAAAGAGCATAGGAGCAGACACCGCAAACCATACCCAGACACCAAGAGATGTGCTTGTTCCGAACTGGCGAAAATTCATTCCAAAGAAGGATGAAGTGAAAGACAATGGGACATAAAAAAAAGCTAGCAATGTCACCTTGCTTATCTTTTCAGCTTGAACTATTGCCCTCTTCGACTCTTCGATGTTGGCATTATTCATGATGACACCCGTCGCTGAAAGACAACGGTGTGACAAATCCTCGGCTTTGTTAAGTAGATACTCGAAGTCTCTCAAGAGTGCATCATTTGCTTCATTGGCTTTCTTACCAAGTTCTGATTCAATTGACGCGTGTGGCAATTGAGAACCTCCCCTGCACTTAATTGTCTCGATGTTCTCCTTCAATCGCTGCACTTGCTCCCGAAGTAAGTCCTGGTTATACAACAGATTTGATAATGATGGGGTTTCTTCGGCGAGTGTTGCGCAGCTAGTGTCTCGGTTCAGTTTTTCATCTATCAGGTTTAGAAACTGAAGTTTAGAGGAAGCCGAGAAGTCGAAAAGCTCATGTAGTGCGTAGAATGGATCAATCTTCATGAGATCTGTATTCAAAAATTTACCGTAGTCTTTTGGAAGTAATGGAGCAACTTGAGGAAGATCTCCATATTCTTCTTGTGGTAGGGAATACTTCTTCGATCTTAATGCCAGTCCTGGGCGATGTCGTATTGTTGGTACAAGGGTGGTCTTCAAATAAGATCTCCGCCTTCGCCCTACGCGCTCTTCTTTTGTAAGCCACGGACCCCAAAGACTTTCCGATAGGTCCTTGCCGGCATCCGAGCAGATCAGTGCTATTGAGGTATTAGCCTATGTTTGAAAAGCTCAAAAGCTGGGAATTCAACCTACCGATCCACTGGTTATCGAACTTCTTCAAGGAGATCGATATCTCTTGCTCTATAGAGAAGTGGCTTCCGTCATGGACTGAATATCGTCTAACAATGGAGTCCCCAGTCTTGACATCTCCTCCAACGTTGCATTTCAGATTATGCATGTATGCTTTCAGCTCCTTCCGTCCATCAGCACGTAATCGATCTATATGAATCTGTGAGTTTTCCTCTGAATGGCGAGACCCAAGTGTTATGAAACTGAGGGTGATGATGTTCTCAGCAGCCGAAGGCAGAGACGGGGTCAAAAAGTAAGATTTTCTTGACAAAAATTCAAGGTGCCGCCGAAAATGCTCGGGGTCGATACGGCATATTGACCCAATCGTAGTCAGCCATTCCGACGACGGGTATCCTCCAAAGAAAAGTAGATACAAATTGTCCTGGCCCGGGCTGCGTGACCGTAAAAGTTGGGATAAATGCGCCGGTACATCAACAGTATTTATCTCTCTGTTTGTGCTACCAGCTGCGGTATTATTTACGGGATTGATTGATGTGTTCGTTGTACTCTGCAAGGTGTACAATGTCGCGAAAGGTCGTAAAAGATGGCCATGATAGTGAGGAACCACATTGTCAAGAGGGCTTGGCCGTTGCAAAAAGAGGTCTAAATCTTCGAAGTGCTGTCCCGGGTACGAAGATTGTTTAGGTGTCTGTTTTGCATGGAATGAAACTGTGTCTCTGTACTGCTGAGTTGTGACTAAAACTCTGTTACAACCTGATGCACCTTGACCATGTACGGAACTTACGTTTCGTGATTTCCCTAGCGGAATAGGATGAAGTGGATGGCGCAAGGGAAGGCAATGAATTGGGTAGCGTTTGTGCCGACATTGTTGAGCAGTCTCAAAACCAACAACACAGAAGTCAAAGTAAGGAGGAAATCAATTTACAACGCAGACCAAGTCCGTGAATTATGTGGATAATATAGGCAACACCAAATACATTTTTGCCCAAGGCTGCCTTCAAAAACGCCACGCACCGCAGCTTTCTAAGTACATAGTAAGGTGTCGAAAAGGATGACGAAACGGCTCTGTTCTCTCTCAAAAAGGGGCGCAGCGCACACAGTGAAATTGCAGTAAAAATTGACCAATCAAAAGCAGGCGAAACGCGTAGGTTTCGCGTAGAAAATCCAACCAATGAGCGCTCATGCCGTTCGACATAAGGCATATCACGTCCTTGATCACCCAGTTCATCGTTTATTTTTCATCTTTTGCCGCCTTAGGGCTTGTTACTACTAACTACATCGATAATTATCACAGCCTCCACAACCAATGCCAAGACACTCACTCACTTTGCATCTCCCTTCAGCAATTGGAAAGCTGGCAGCCTTTGGAACCTCTTGTTACGGCAGTAGGCAGGTTAGCCAAACACACTCAGACTAGCATCTGGACAGGCGCAACCCCTGTGAAGACTACAGACTTGATCACCATAAACACTGTGATCTCTGTGATCACTCTACGTTATGACTTAAGATCAAAGCTCGGCAATTTGAGCGTTGGTGTACTATGGAGGTTTCGATGACAATCAAACTGGTCAACAGAGCCCTGCTGTATGAGGGTTGACTTTCCTGGGAGCTCTAGTGTAGCCTTCTAATAGTTGAATTCTCTATTCCTCGTGTCCATAATGAGAGTTATGCTCAACGTGGTCTGATTTAACTGTTGTTCTAGCCTGGAATGGTGTCCGCTATGTGCATGATACCTTGACTGTACAAGATGGTGGGCGCATCCTTTGTTCTCTCCCGGACAATGCGATGCAACTTATGCCATGCAGCTTATCTCACGACTCCTCAGAGAGGTGCTCCTCTCGCGCCCGAGATCTCCCTTCTCGTCAACCAGAAACGGTATCTCACACGCCCACGCTCTCCTTATTGCATGCTACTTTCTTGCTCAACTTTCCACCCATCTCTGGCAAAGAAGTTGCCCGCGTTCCCATCAAACACCATGGCTTCGCCTTTCTTGAAACCAAAGATTTGCGCCCGAGGTTGTGATTCGCGTGGAGCGGGCCAGATGGCTTTCCAGGGCTGGCGCTTCTCAGGCGCAGGAGCAACCTGCTCAACAGTTGAGAGGGAAGTCATTCGCGAAGAAGAAGAAGACATGTTTCTTCGGTCGGACTATTCGAGGTATCTGCTGATATCTGAGTAGCTGGCCAAACGTATGGGCAAAACCCAAGTCGCCGCACAGTTCGTGGCAACACATCGAAATGAATTTGATGCGATATTCTGGGTTCACGCAGACGACGTGTCCAAGCTTTCACAAGACTTCAAGACCATTGCAATCAATTTGGGGCTCATCTCAGAAGACTCGGTGGATGCTAACGACCTTGTCTTCATCAGGGAAATAGTCAAAAGATGGCTAGTTACGCCGTTGAAAGACTTGTCAGATGATCCCAAAGGTGAGCCTACCAAGGCCACCTGGCTGCTCGTATTTGATGGCGTTGAAGACCCAGATGTTTTGAATGACTTCTGGCCGTATGATGGCCCAGGATCCGTACCCATTACCAGTCGCAGTCCTTTCTCGTGGACAACGTCATTACCGCTCAAACCATTCACTTCAGACGAGGCCACGGAATTTTTGCTAAAGATCACTCGAAGAGAAGCGTCAGAAGAAGCGCGAAAGGAGGTGATAGAGATAATACGACGACTAGGCTGCATCCCTCTCGCACTATCCCAGATGGCCGGAGTCATACTGCACAAGCAACTTTCCTTTAGTGAATTTCTCGATTCCTACAACGAAAGGCGAAGCCAGCAAGAACTTCTACAACTCTCAGCTGGCGAGTTGATAAGCAGATCATCGGACTATGAGCACACACTCGCCTCTGTGTGGGCCTTCGACAATTTATCGCATGGACAGGGGCTCCTGAATGTTATATCAATGCTCGATCCCGACGGCATTCTTGAGAGTATCCTCACCACAAAGCCCGGAACTATAGACTTGCCATCTTTCCCGCAGTCTTTGGAGGATTACCTATTAGCAAGAAACGAGCTCCTTACATGCTCCCTCGTGAGGGGTAACTCGTCAGAACGAAAACTCTCCATACATAGGCTAGTTCAAGACGTTGCAAGGGCGAGGATGACCCAAGCAGAGTTTCGCGCAAATTTCATGACCTGCGTCAAGTTGATATCATCCATGTGGCCATTTGAACCCTTCGCATGGCGCCGTTCAATTGCTAGGTGGACAATGTGTGAAGACTTGGTTCCGCACGTGTTTCGGCTGAAAGATCTCTTCCCTCAAGTGGCTCCGTCGCCCGCCTTCTCGGATGATGACTATCGATTTGCAAAACTACTCACCGATGCTGGCTGGTACGTGATCTCATGGCGATAACTTCCCCAGATGCTAATAGCCCTTCAGGTACAATCATGAACGAGGTAGATCATCAGATTCAGACTTATTCAACAGTATGGCCAAGGACATTTGTGAATCGCTGAAGGCTCGATTATACGAGCAACCTGAGGCAATGTCGTCAAAAGCCGCCATCCACAAACAGCTCGACTCGATATTGGCGGAAATCCAGCATAACAGAGGTTGCATTGCAACTGAGACCAATGCACCATATGATGCCTTGGCTTACCACAAGGAATTCAATGCCATGATGGTGCGGGACATGGGCACCGACGTCCCTTCCAACGATATGCGGCTCGCCATATCCTGGAACGAACTTGGCAATGCGTACATGCTCAACAGTGAGTGGTCGAAGGGCGAGGAATGTTTTCAAAGTCAATTACCGTAATGCGAGATATTGAAGGATTCGAGAAAGTGTCGATATCTCTCCCACTGGCCAATCTGGGACTAGCATATTGGCTGCAAGGAAGGCATGAAGAGGCGAATGATATCCTGGTTGAGGGTCTGAAAGACCGCGTGGATCGTTATGGGCCCGACGATCGCATTTCGTTTGTGTAGGAGAACTTGAAAGACGTTTTGTGGAATTTGCGCTTACTTATCTTTGCACAGAACTGGCCGATTTCTCCACGCTCTTGGGAACGTCAAGGCTAGTCAAAAGGCGATGAACGACAGTCTGGCCTATCATCACAAGGCTTTGTTGCACTATAAGTCCACACTTGGTAACAATCATCACCGCACAGCCGACACCTTCGTCAAAGTTGCAGAGCACCACATGCGTCTCCGTCAGAATGAGACAGCAATGTAAGTTCACAACCCTCGTGCCCAAAATTCCTTCCTCGAAAAATCTCGCCCCATAATTCATGCTTCTTTTTGCCACTTTACACACTGCATCAACATTTAATTCTGACTCCGCTAAAATCTGCACCCACCATAGGGCGCTCCTCGACCACGCCCTCCAAGCCTACTCCAGCTCCAGCAGCTCGCATGCATACCTCCCCGAGAAAGCGCGTGCTTCGTTCAAACGATCCTGCACCCTGCGTTCCCTCGGTCGGATCGATGAAGCCGATGCCGAACTGCAGATATCCTTCGAGGATTACAAGAAGCTTCTTGGCAGAAAGTTGCGAAGGAGTGGTGGCGATGATGGTGGGTCCAATGGAACGGACATCCCCACTGCAGCAGGAGTTTCTCCCCGCCAGCGGAAGGAGGATCTGACAGATCAGGATTTTGATGACATGATCGTATTTTGGTCGAAATGATTGCGATCCCATCCCCGAGAGGGAGGAGGGGTTGGTTCTTTTGTAAGCATTTCCCAATTCCGAATATCCAAGACCCAAAAAATATCTTGCTGGATGAACATTTCTATGAAAATCTGGCAAGAAGGCGATATATGAGAGATCTCACGAGAACCGCGCGATTTCATGGACATCCACCCCTTTCCTCATCAAATATTTCATAGTAACTTAGTTAGAGAGCAAGCGCCCTTTGAAGAGAAAAGCACAAGAACCGGATTTTACATCCAATCTATGGACAATATCCCCTCAACTAACCTACTTACCTTGATCACATATCTCCCGTCAGCCATTGTTCAGCGGTCACTCCATCCGCCCCCAGACTGGCTGCCTGTATGCCTGCCTGCTTGCCTCACATGGAGCAGAGAATCCAACATCCCCCATTCCCACAACCGCCATGAGCCTACCTTTTTTTTAAAAAAATAAAAATAGAACAACTTAGACACTCGCATAGATGGTGAGAGAGAAGACATTCCCGCATTCCGTGCAAGTAAAACCATCAGCGATGTAAATTGATTCAAAAACCTGATTCGACTCTTTTGCAAGCCTCCGGCCGCTTAGGTACTTACTAGGGTTGCTGTACGCGATGCCTGCTGCTGCTGCTGCTGCCGCCGCTGCTGCCGCAAGATGGAGGTTCCAGCCCTAAACTCATAACTACCAGGAAAGAGTAAGGTAGGTTTGGTATGGTTCTATGATGGGTATCTGATACACTGAGTATCTTCGTGAGGCTATGTGATTCCGGGTACTGTATAACTAGCTTGAGTTGAGCTCTATCTCGTTTGCTTAGGAAATTTTATGTCTAAGTTAGGGCTCACTTTTTCGGCGCGCGGCACCAAGTAAGTACTGTACAGTTAGTAGGCCACACACGACTCTAACATCACTCTACCACCACCCCAGCGTCCAGTCTGATTAGTTACCTCCCCAACCTCCTCAGCTACACAGATCCCAATCCACCCAACCCTCCCACCCCTCTGCCCTCCCACCTTCCCGCCCCGTCTTCATCCTCATCCTCATCCTCATCCCATCCTCCCCAACCCGCAAGCCCCATGGCCTGCCTGAACCGCTCATTAGCAGCCCAATCCGGCCCCAGATTCACCGCTCGACATTCGCGCTGCTGACACCGGCTCGGCAAGACGTCTCCCCAGTGGAGGGGGAACAGGCATTTCCCGCATCGCGTCTGTGCTTCTGAATCGGTGGCGAACAGGGCTTGAGAGGCGGGGATGACGTAGACTTCCTCGTCCTTCTCCTCTGGTTGCTTGTTTTCGGCGCGCTCAATGGCGGTGAAGGAGGCGTAGCAGTGGTAGGGGAAGCTTGGGTTGAAATCAGCGGAAAAGGAGGCGTAACAGTGGTCGGGGAAGGTTGGACAGAGATCCGCGGGGTATTCGTTGTAAGGAAAGGTTGGGGAGTGGGTTCTTGTTGGGCTTCGGCCGCGGGTGGTGGGGAGACCTTGAAGAGCACAGGCGTAGGTGGCTTCTCTCTCGGCGGTGCGAAGGGCTTGGAGAGCTGCTGATGCTTCGAGTGGATGGCGGTAGGCGGCGTTGATTGGTGGGCGGTGAGGGTGAGGGGGTGGTGCGAAGAGGATGGATGGGTCGCCCGACGTGGGTTGGGGAGGCTGTGGAGCTCGTGTGTATTCGTCTTCTTGTTCTGGTAGATTGCCGTTTGCGAGGAAAAGCATGAGATTGTGGTTCTTGTCTTGATCGAAATCCGAAGAAGGTGTATCCGCTGTTGACAGCAGTGCATCTAAGCAAGATACAGATGTGGGTGGTGGGTGCAAGTTGAATTGCTGGCTGGATACAGACATGACTGTATCTGATCGAAGGATCTAATTGAGGTATCTGGAGCAACGAGAAAGAAAGGCTTTGGGATTTGAAGCACAGAAATATCAACGTCATATGACAATATTCCATGAAGGACGGAATATGAAATTGTGACTTTTGGTGACTAGCTCTGTGAGAGAACATGCTTGTGAGCAGCCAGTGAATCGGGCGGAATGAACAAGTGAACATCATCTTCGCGGGCCGTCTTTGTCCTGTGAGTGGCTTGTCACCTCTGTATGCGGCCCATGAGGAACCGCTGAATGAGCTGTGGGAACATGAAGGACAGTCTCTGGTATTATTGCCCCAGGCAGCTCCGGCAACTCAAATCTTAGAGACGGTGGTGGAATTTGGGAGCGATGGTGGCAAGCAAGCAAATTCTATTCATAGGCAAGGGCTGCTTGAATCCCACGAACAGAGGCATGATATTTCTGGAAGAGCAAAATCCGCTGGACAAGGTCTGGATGCTGAGATAGAATAACCATGAAGTCGCTCCAGTGTAGCTTACCTTCTAAAATTCCTTCTCGCTCTCGACAGCTACATCACTGATACTTTCTCTGTTAGTACCCTCTTTCGTAGCAGCACCTTGTCGATCGTTCCTCTCCTCTGCTTCTATATCATTTACCATGGTGCCAGTTGCTGGACCCGTAAAGTTCTTGCGGCCATCAAAGATCCAGGTGAGCAGGCTGACCAGGCCAATAACACCGACCGCGGCAGAGGTGTAGTTCATATTGTCCTTCTCTACTGGGCTAATGCTGGGGAAGTTGAACGTGATGCTGGCAAACGCAAGGAAAAGGAAACCGACCAAGTTCAACCAGACCCCATATCGGCCCAAAGAATATGGTCCAGGAAGCACTTTTGCATGGCCAGTAAACCGAGCCAGGAGACGGGCAAACAAAGGAATCGCGTAGGAGACGTAGAAACCCTGGGTCGCAATCGCAATGACGGTTGCAAATCCCGTATAGGACCCGAAATAGATGGACTGCATGGCCAGTTGCACGCTCAAGCACAGCAGTACCGAATTTGTTGGGACGCGTCGTTGTGGGTTGACCTTGGCGAAGAATTTGGAAAATGGCAGTCCATGATCCCTTGCAAACGCGAACAGAGATCGTGAGCCCTCCGCCGTCAGACCATTGGCGGCAAGGATACAAATAATCGTAATCATAGCCGTTAGAGTACATGAACCACGTACCGAACCTGTGCTGTCAATGAAGATCTGAATGAGTGGTACACCGGTTGGACTCGTAGCTGTCGTTTCAATATCTCCAATGCAATAGAAAATGCTGACAAGGAACACGAAGCCAGTGATTGCTCCGAACCATACCGACATGATGATGGCCCGTGGAGCTTCCTTGGAAGCATTTTTCATTTCCTCTGTCATATGAGCAGGTGCATCGTAACAACACATGCCAAAGAAGGCCTGTAGGAGACCAACAATAGAAGCCATGGCAGGTCCGAATCCTGTGAAGTTCTGAAAATCCTATCGAGGCCAAGTCAGCTCGACTGGTCTAGGCATGCAGCAAAAAGCTGACAAGATATGCTCACCTTCCATACGAAGCTTGAAGATTGCTTGTGATCATTGGTTGTCAGGACGGTGATAATGATCACAAAGAAGCTCAGTAAGTTCCAACAAAGAGCAGCAGTAGATATCTTGTTCAGCGAGCGAGGAAAGAAAATATTGACGCATGCTGCTATAATTCCCACCAGGTATGAGACCAAAGTGGTATGCCATCTCTGGATCACGTAGTCCGGATTGGACAGATTGGCCATACCGAGGAGGAAGTTTGCAGTGATAAAGTTATTGGTAGCGCCCTGTCTGTTGTTAGGAACACAATCTCATGGCTATCCGGATACACTCACCATAGCTACGATGCCTGTAATCATGAACCAGCCTGTGACCCAGGACAAGCCTCTAGCGATCTTGGGAGGAGCAAGGAGAGCAACCCAGGAGTATTGACCACCATTGACGGGATAGGCAGAACACATTTCCGCCAGTGAGTGGGCCACAGCAAGCGTAAGGATGCAGACACCAATCCAAGAGTACACAAGGACAGGAGGCCCGCCAGCTCCAATTCCCACAATCAATACACCAGCCAATGCACTCCAGCTGTTCCGAGGACGTCAATCAGGGTGCGAAGGTGGTCGCTGGGAGAGGGTCAATCAAACCTGGTGACGATGCTGAAAGAGAAGCCAATCATGCCCAGCAGGCTGAAAGACCGTTTGAATTCTGCATTCGTTAGCATCACACTCTTGGTCCTAAAGAGCAATTGAGCGTACCTTGCTCATAGCCGAATTCCGCGAGCTTAGCATCTTCGGCGACATTTTGTTCCATAACATTGTTCCTGCCAGGCTTCGAGATCGACAGGCGCATATTTGCCGTCCTTTCAAGCCACTTCTGCGCACTTTGAAGATAGATCCGGGGGGAAAGATTCCACTGAGCAAAGACAGTTGCGAAGGAACAGGACGGGAAAACATTTCTGCAGTCTCTGCAGCCAGGTACGAGATCTGCTGGTCCACGCATGCATCGACGCCGTACATATCAGCCAATGATTATCAGCACGGAAGTGATAAGAACAGAGGTCTGGCCCGCTTCGGATGCATATCCGTAGCCCTACTTGCTTAGTTAGGAAGTTAGTTGCATCCTTCTTGCAGCTCTGTCATGAGCCTTAAGAAACGGGACACATCAACCACTCCGCCAAAAGGACAGCGCCAGTGGGTTTCGAACCACATTTAATTGATGTACCCCTCACCGACTCCTTATGCATTTCCCCTCACTGGCAGCATAAGTAATGTGTGAGGGGCAAGGACAAAATATCTCAAGTTCAACCCATTGAGCGATTGCCATAGAAGCTGAATAGGTCAGCGGTGATTTGCACTTTTGCATTGCTGCATTGTTCGACCCTTGACCAGAGTTGCTTCGTATGAGTGCGCACGATATTCATTCTCGAGGTGCGTGGAGGCAACTACAGCTGCTGGAAGAGCGTTGACTCCAACTTCAAAGCTCAAAAGGGTTTCACATTGTACGTCATGATAGGACAATTCAAAGTGGTATAGAGTGCTAGACATCTTGAAGCTCGACTCGCACCCTATGGAGTGGGGCATGGTCTTGAACTAGCATTGTCGGTCAAGGCCAAAGCTTCAAATTCAGCATATCGAATCAGGGATGATAGAGATTCCACACAAGAGTCGAGATGTGTTAAGAATCTTTGCTTTTTGGCCTCATCGTGGTCATAGAAGTAGCCATCGTCGAAGAATGTCGGACCTCAAGTTGCACTTCCGCACCACCGGCTGTCAAAACCACCAAGTTTGGAGTCTTGCTGTCATTGGAGGCGAAGTGTGTTTAAAGCCTCAAGAGATGTAGTGTGCCACAATGTTTCCAGCAGACATTGGCAAATGCGGACTCATACCCATTGGGACAGGAAGGGATGTCGGTACGGTCTGATTCATCATGGAGCCTGGCGTAACTGGCGAGTGGGGCATTGGTTCGCTAGGCATTCGTTCACTTTTGGTGACAGACCGGACCGTCGCCTGCTTAAAAATTTCCACAGCCTCAATCACATCATCCAGCTTCGCTGTTGCCCCGAAGATGCCACCTTCCATCTTGATCGATTCGCATGCACCTACGTGAAGATTCGGTTCACTCGCTGCAGTTGCGTCTTCGAGAACGACGCAGTCAAAACCTCTGTCGTTTGCTTCCCTCATTGTCGTAGAGACACAGACATCCGTTGTCACACCCGCTATGACGAGATTCCTAATACCTTTGATGCGGAGAAGTAGCTCGAAGTCAGTGTGGGCAAAAGCGCCACGGCCCGGCTTGTCAATGATTGGCTCATTTTCAAGTGGGTAGAGCTCTGGGACTATATCATGTCCTGGCTCGCCACGTACTAGCAAACGGCCCAAGGGCCCTTGAGACCCAATGCCGAGGCCGGTAGCATTGTTCTTCGATCGGAACCTTTCTCGAGACGATAGAGTGGTGAGGTCGGGACGGTGACCTGGTAGAGTTAGGTAGAAATTCAGGTCAATATATGGTGACAGGATATCTTTCACCTTCGCGAGTATGATAGACTGGAAAGCCTGCTTCTCGAAATGCATGTAGCACATGCTGTATCCTGGGAATGATTGACTGTGCGGGAGATATGTCATAGCCTTGGTAATCCAAGTAGCCACCAGGGGCGCAGACTAGAAACAAGTTAGTCGGAACTTCATTCCATCCCGGGACCACCTACAGTCTCTTTGCATGTCGATGATTACCAGAGCGGAAGTGAAGGGTGAGAAGCCAGCATCATGCGGCCAGTCGTATGGAACAGCTTCAATCTGCCCCTTCTTGACTTTATGATGTGCAACTGTACGTGACGGCTCCATGATAGGGCCGTGATTGTGTTGTGGTTCGACAACCTCGACGGTCCACACACCAGAACTACCGTTGCCAATGACCATGAAGGGGCAGTCAATCAGTCGAGAAGTTCGTTTGCGTTTTCGTGTGGCTTCTGTTAGGCCGTTGCGAGGGCGATACTTGCCGCCTCTGTCGCATCTCAGCCATACTTTGGCAGATCTACCTGGCTTCTTGTCTGTGGGAATGGAGGAAGTCTTGACAACGACATTGTAACCATGTTGCTTTCCATGAGCCTGGACCGCTGCCATCAAAGACTGCTTGTCAGGGTAGGAAACCTGGGGAGGAGCAATCAATTGAGCTGATAAATCAGAGACATCCTGTATGTCGCTGTGGCCATCAGCACTCAGGTCGGACTCGTCAGCCATGATCACTTGTCATAGAGCAGGTGGCTCTTGAACGATCCTGCAAGCGAGCCATCAGTGCTGTCACTCGAGGATGTCTCTGCCCCCAGCAAATTGCGACGGCATCCGAATTGCATGGACCAAAGCACAAGACGTGAGCATAAGATGTATACACGCGCTCAGTATCTAGAAATCGAGGAAGAGGACAAATTCACACCTCAACAGGGCAATCAGGCTGCGCGTGCACAGAAGCAAAGTCCGTGGCCGTAAAGCAAAGCACTGCGCTGAATTGAATCACATGCAGGTTGGCACGAGTCTACCCAGCTACCGAACCAAACAAAGTCGGAAATGAGACTCACCAGTGATCCCGCTCTGTTGTTGCCGCTAGGTACACCGTCCTGCCCTTCCAACCGTTTGAGGAGTTCATGGCGTGGCAATGAGACCGGGGAGACTCAGGCTGCTCCTGATATTGCCAAGGCGCTATTGTTCTTCTGCGTTAGCGTCAGAGTTTGGCAGCTGCCACTTGTGCATATCGTGATCGTTGTCAACATGGAGAGACAACACTGGCCTGGGCGCAACAACATTTCGACATTTCGACATCAGGACATCAGGACATCACCAGCAACCTTCGAGCGACTTCTAACGGCATCGATATTCATCTCCAGCGAGAATACGGCATACCGCAAAGACGAAACATTCATACCATCCACCACCGTAACCATATTACGACGATCCCAATCTCGCCCTACTGCCCTACCGACTGCCGACTGACGAAGTATTAATGAAGCCTCCCATGTGACAACGAACCCGAATACTGCTAGCGAGAATTAAAGATCGGTACAACTTGCAGGCCTTACGACCTCTTCCAACAAGCTCTCTCACTGAACGCTGTAGTAAAAATGACCCTATCTGATGGAATGCCCTCATCGCCTCCTGGACCATCAACATCAGCAAGCGAGGCAATTGCTTATTACAAAGCGCAGTATGAGTCCCTGGAATCCGAACTCGCAGAATTTCAGGCTTCAAGTAAGGAGCTGGAAGCAGAGCTAGAGAAGGACATTGACGCAGCCGAAAAACGAGAGAGGCAGCTCAAGGAGAAAGCTGACAATCTGCATTATGAAGTCGACGAATGGAAGACGAAATACAAACAAGCAAAGACAGAGGCAAATGCTGCGCAAAACACGCTGCAGAAGGAGATCACTACTTTACGCGACACTAACCGAACGCTTCAAATGAGGCTCCGCGACACCGAAGTGGCCAACGACGACTTCGAGCGTCAGCAAAGGAATACAGAATCGTCATTGGAGGACCTAGAATCAAAATACAGTATGGCAATCGAAAGGTCGGTGATGATGGAGGAGGAGGTCAAAGCAGGGGAACAGGAAAGGGAAGCCTTACGAATAGCCGCTCAGAGACTACGGGACGAGCTGTCTGACCTGAGAATTGAGGCCGAGATCATCAAAGAGAGATTGAGAAAGGCCGAAGCCAATGTGGACCATCAGAGAAAGCTTCCTTTGCTGGAAACCCTGGCAACCTCGGCCTCACCACGTTCCGAGCTCTCACCTACCACGACTGACTCATCGCCCTCATTCGATACACCGCCCGGGAAGACAGTATCATCATCTGGCCTTTCAGATACACATACACCGCCTTCCCCGCCAATGTCTGAGAAGTCTTCGAATGCAACAAAGCCGTTGAAGACGCCAAGCATGCCCAAGACGAGGATGTCAATCACTTCCAACACCACTCCGAGACCATCAACAACCAGCCTTAAACCTTCTAGCTATGCTCGCCCGCCTTCCATGTCAGTGGCGGCTGGACGATCCACACCATCAACCAACTTCCGCCAAAGCATGTCTCGCCCGAGCACCGTACCTAAACGACAAGGTGGTCTAGCTCAATCCAATTCCATCCACCACCTTCACAATCTGCAAGGCAAGATGCAACGACTTACAGAACGCGTTCATACGGCCAAGTCCAAGCTTCCGGGTCCAATCAACACCCCTCCAAGGCCATCACCTAGAATTGGTCCAACTCAAGCCAGCAATATTCCCGCTACAGTCACCATGCGCAGTAACCGCAAACACGCCAATGGCAGTACTGTTAGTGGTTCAGACTCCTTTTCAGGCTCGGTTAACCAACAAGCCGACAAGCAAAATAGCACCACGAAAAGCACAAGCGCTAGCATCAGCACGCCCACACCATCCGTCAAACCCAAACCCAGCCGCCAATCCTTCACCATCATGCCCCCTCCTGCCTCCACCCCGACCCGCACCCAGACGCAAACGCAAACACAAACAGCAGTGGACAAATCCCACCCTGCCTTCGTGCGCCCAAGCAGTCGAGCCAGCGGCTCCACAATCTCCAGCCGCGCCTCCGCAAACCCACCTCCAAGCGCAAAATCAAATATCCACAACTACCAAACCGGCCATCCCCGTCTGCACTCCCGAGCAAGCATGTCCATCTCCCACACTCCCCTCGGCAAACGCGGCGGTCAACGTTTCACCCCCAACGCCTCAACAGACAAGATCCGCCCGAAGAGCAGTTTGAGCAGCTACGGGTATGATGGCGCTATGGATGAGGAGGATGACGACTCAGTCCTGCACGAGGGGGAGAGCGCGACGCCAGTGCCTAGACGCATCTCTATTCATTTTGGCCGCTCGGGAAGGCTTAGTGATATTGGCATTGGTGGAGGACTATATCATGTCCTGGCTCGCCACGTACTAGCAAACGGCCCAAGGGCCCTTGAGACCCAATGCCGAGGCCGGTAGCATTGTTCTTCGATCGGAACCTTTCTCGAGACGATAGAGTGGTGAGTGGTGGTGGTGGCGGCGGTGTGAGGGGTAAAAATGCGAGAGATACTGGATTCGAGGACCCGAGACCCTCTAGTAGTAAGAGTAACTCGAGCTTTACATTGGCTGGGGTGGGTGAGGATGATGCCGATCTTGATGAGACGTTTTGACATTGCGGTATGATATGGCTGGCAATACGGGTCTGGGTCAAGGATCTGGGTCACAGGTTCGGGATTGGGGCTTGGAATTGGGATTGGGCTTCCGATGACAGTGATGCATGGAGGAAATGGATACATATGATTAAGCTGCACTCGCTTCTATTTTTTCCATCTTTCCGTCCGTCCTTTCTTCTGTCGCCCCTTTAGGACCGCGATCGGGATCGGTAAGAGTGAGTAAGGGGTTGGTGTGCATGGGTATTTTTGGGTGGTTTGGTTGGGGGGGAGAAGGAGGCGCGGAGCATAATTTCTAACTAACGTACCTGACCCAGAAGTGCAACA